TAGCTTAAGAAGTATAATTCTCGAATCAATTAAACTATTAGCTAGATCTTATGAAAACAAGCTATATCCAGAGAGATAGTTGCAATCAATAATACAGAATCGAAGCTAGTTATTGAAGAATACTCAGAAAAAGAAGCTTTAGATAACTTTATATATACTTTCAAATCAGCAGAGCTGGCAGTTTAAGAAAAAGAATCTAGTAATAAGCAAACCTAAATAATACTAGAGCGCTAATAGATTAGCAAAACAATGAAAGCGAAATCCTTAGCAAGTTGGTTCGCTCTGGAGCAGCAAGGAAAAGCTTTAGAATATAGATTGTAGAACTATACAGGAAAAACCTTGAAACCAAGCTTTCAAGCACTCAGTTCAGCTTAAAGCAAACGCTCAAAGCTCTTGAAAATGCTATTAGAAAAGAAGCATGCTTAACAGTACTTACTGTTCCTTCAGATAGCAGAAATAGTATAGGAATCAGAATCAATACTTGCGAATATATTACAAGAATATTATAAGTTCAAGAAACTATTTCAGAAAGAATTGAATACGAGATTGCTAGAATACAGCTTATACAACTACAAGATCCTATTATAAGAAGGAAAACAGCTCAAATTCTTCTTTATCTACAGACTAAACAAGATATAGCTAGAAGCACTTAGAGAGTATTTCAATAAGAACTTTAAGAAAGAATATATATAATTATTATAATTATTAGCAGAATATCCTATTCTATTTATATTTAAGAAAAACAGCAAGCTTAAGCTATATATTAATTATAAGCAATTCAATAATATTATAATTAAGAACTGATATTTATTGCTATTTATTAAGGAACTATAAGATAGATTGCAAGAAGTATAATAATTCATAGTTCTGAATCTGAAAGGAGCTTATAATCTGATTAGAGTAAAAGAAGAAGAAGAATGGAAAACTGCTTTCAGAATATGCTATAAATACTATGAATATTTGATTATGCTCTTTAATCTAATAAATGCTTCAACTTTATTCTAGAAAATGATTAATTACATTCTATGTAAGCATCTAAATTAGTTCATTATTGCTTATCTTAATAATATTCTTATCTATTCTTGAATACTTGAAGAATATAAGAAATATGTGAAAATAGTATTGCAAATGCTTTAAGATGTAAAACTTCTTATAGAATTCGCAAAAAGTTACTTTTATATACAAAAGATTAACTATCTTGAATTTATAATCAAGCTAGAATATATTAAGCTACAGAAAAATAAGATAGAAGCTGTTAGAAATTAGCTAGTTTCTAGAAATATTAGAAATATTAAGTTTTTTCTCGAATATATCAATTTCTATAAGCAGTTCATTAAGAACTACAGCTGAATTGCATATCTTCTTACAAATCTCATCAAAAAGAAGCAGCTCTTCAAATGAATTCCCAAGATATAAGAAGCTTTTAATAAGATTATCAAGCATATTATCTTAAAGCTAATTCTGTATAAAGCAGATCTCTACAAACTCTTTAAAGTTGAAACTAATATATTGGAATATGTACTTAGGAAACAACTTAATTAACAAGATAATCAAGAGCATTTAAGGATTATAAGCAACTTCTCAAAGAAATTGAATAGCTTAGAAGTTAACTATAGAATCTCTGATTAGAAGCTTATAGTAATAGTAAAAGCTTTTAAGGAATAGCAATATTATTTTATTAGCATATAGCATTCAATTATAATTTATTCGGATTATAAGAATCTAACTATATTTATAATAATCAAGGTTTTGAATAAGCAATAAGTTAGATAAGCAGAGTTTCTCTTATAATTTGATTTCAGAATTGTATATTGTAAGAATTTAGAAAATGGATAAGCAGATGCTTTTAGTAGAAGATCAGATTATTGAAATGCAAATTCCTCAGATATATAGAATATCTTTGCTTAAGATAAGTTAGAAAATCTCGTTAATGCATATAGAGAACTGAATACTATCTTCAGAATTGGATTCTTGAAGAAGAATTCAGAATTAATAATTCTAAATGAATAAGATAACTATATTAAGAATATATACAGTATATTAGTATACAGATATTAGGAAATCAAAGCAATCTATAAATATATCAAAAAATACTGAAATCTACTAAGCTTTAGAAAAAGAATTGAAAATATTCTATAATAATATAATAGCTGCAAGAAGAATAAAGCAGAAAGATACAAATCTTACAGACTGCTACAATTCCTATCAGTATTTATAGCTATTTAGCAATCAATTAGCTTAGACTTTATTATTAAGCTATCTCTCTTATAAAAACTCTTAACTAAAGTATAGTATAATAGTATTCTAGTAGTGATTTGCAGACTGAGCAAGTATGCATACTTCCTACTCTATAAGGAAAGCAGTACTGTAGAGAATCTTATATATACATTTCTCAGAACGATCATTGCTAATTACAGTATGCTAGAAGAAGTTATCTCTAATAGAAACAAGTTATTTATATCAAACTTTTGAAAGTTATTCATGAAACAACTCGAAGCAAATTATAAGCTATTCACAGCTTTTCATTTGCAAATAAACAAACAAACAGAATAAATTAATCAGATATTAGAATAGTATCTATAATACTATATTAATTATAAACAGAATAACTGAGTTAACTTATTACTACTCATACAATTCACTTACAATAGTGCAGATATCAGCACAACAGAAAAATCATTATTCTATACATTCTACAAATACAATCCAACAGCTTATTATAAAGCTTTGCTAGAAGCAAATGCAGAAGCTGCAAACAAAAGAATTAAGAAAATTAAAAAGATTTAGAAAGATCTACAGACAGATCTACAATTCATTAGAGAACGAATAATACGATTTGCAAACTCAAAAAGGATTAAGAAACTAATCTTATAGAAGGAAGATAAAGTTTATCTTCTTTACAAAAATATTAAAATAACTAAGCTTAATAACAAACTCAATTACAAGAAATTAGAATCTTTCAAAATTCTATAACAAATCTCGCTAGTTAATTACAAACTTATACTATTCTACAGAATGAGAATATACTCAGTCTTTCACATCTTACTGCTCGAATCAGCATTATAAGCAATACTTATAAATAATACTATTGAAATTGAAAACAATGAATCAGAATACAAAGTAGAAAAGATTCTCAAATACAGAAGCAATAATAATATACTCGAATATCTTATCAAATAGAAAAGTTACTTAGCAAGCAAAAACTTATGAGAACTGCAAAAGAATATCAGAAATGCTATGGAAAAATTAATAAAATACTGGAAAACAAAGACTAGCTTCAATTCTACTACTATATCATTAGCAGTTATTTTAGCATTACAATGATAACAGAAACTACTACTTAAAACCTTTCCGCTCCGGAATAGAAATCAGATATTGCAATCTTATCCAAAACGCTATTCCAATCCACCACATCAAGAGCATTCCAAGACTGAGCCTCAGCTACAGCCTCAGATTCAGCAGCATGCTAAGCATTCTTCTTCTAACACTCCTTCTTCTCCAGCTTATCCAGAGAATGCAGATCCTAACTAATCATCTTCGTACTACAATCATGCAGGGAATGTTTCTGTTTCTGCAAACGTATTAAATGAGCTGTTACTTTGCTCAATTTAGACTGAAGCTCGAGAAGAACTTTCTCTACATCCAACTCCTTCCGATCTAAATAACCAAGCTTAGTAGTAATACGAGATATTATCAGAGGAATTAGAAGGCAAATAAGAAATAATTCAGAAAAGAATAAATCTATAAGCATTTACTGAAATACCGGAATCATTGCAAGAATAATCCTAGCGAATATAATAGGAATATCTTTTAATATTTTCTATTATCTTATACTTTAATCTCTTCGAAATATAGAAAGAATAAGATATAACTTCAAAATCTTAGAGATTGATAGTTAAAGAAAGCTAAAGATATTGTTTGGATTTTCGAGAAAGAGACTTTTCGATTCTGTTCAACATCTTAATTAGGAAAGCATAACCAGGCTTATGAATAGCTTGCTAGAAAACTTACAAAAGTATGTTGAAAATAATAACTGATAGAAGGAAGATGATATTATAGCTTATTTAACATGCAGATTATGAAATAAGCTCTGCTAACAAGAAACTAGATATTATAATTCAATATTAAACAATCACTAGGAATTATATAAACAAGAATTAGAATTAGATTATAATAATACAGATGAGCTGCTTACTGAATTACTACAATACAGATTATGGATCATAATGAGCTGAATGAGCTACAATGAAGAGCTGGATATATAAGAATACATTCATTACTAACTAGATAGATTATTATATATAGCTCTTCAGTTATCAATCTAAGTATTCAGTCTTCTATACTGAGTAGCCTCAAAGGCAGTGAATACTTGCATCGCTCATCAGAACTTGTACGGTTCCGTATTCAAGAACTTGATACTTTGATACTGCTCTTGTTAGCATAAACCTCTTCGTATACTTAGGAATCTTCGGATTGCTGCAGTGCTCATTACAATGTGCTGATTTCACATAGTTATTTGTAATTCTAACTCTAGGTTACTTAATCCTGGTTAGTTTGTCCGTGTGTTGGGTTGTAATGCTTGCTTTCTTGTTAGCGAGGCTTGTTTCGTAACCTGTATGTTGGATGAGTTATAATATATTAATCTAAATATTTATTTGTTACACACTTGAATAGCTCCAAAAGCGAATGAATATACTTGTATAGAGATTACTTGTTTATATTTCCGTATTCAGAGATTGATACTTTGATACCGCTCTTGCTAGCATAAACTCCTTGGTATACTTCAGGATCTTCGGATATTGCAGTGCATTCATTATACAGAGATTGACATTTTGACACCGCTCTTGTTAGCATCAATCTTTTGTATACTTCAGGATCTTCGTATATTGCAGTGCATTATAACAATATATATTTTATAAATAATAAATAAGATGATATAAGTAGCTAAAAAAAAGTGAGTATAATAATAGATAAAATATATTATACTTAGTAATATCTTATCATGAACGCTGTCTTATAAATAAACCTTGCCTCTCGACTTTCCACTCGGCGAGATGCTCTCTAGCATTAACATAGTCGACTGCCATCTCCCAACTCTCGCGGTCGTCGGCGTCCCCGCTCTCAAACTCTAGGAGGAACGGCCAGTTGCCCGCACTGTCGACAGGCCTGACAAAGAGCATGGGCATGATTTCGGCGTACGCCATATTACGCTCGGCCCACAGGTCGTTCATATCGATCTGGGCCATCGCGCGCCGGTCGTCGAGGAGGTCACCGCGTGGGACCAGCTGGACGAACAGGCGCTCGACGCGAGGCAGCCACAGGACGAGGGTGGTGCACACATGGCTCGCAAGAGGGAAGATGGCAACGTAGCTGAAGGCGCGGACGGTCGTAGGCACGAGGGGCTCATTGTTGGGGAACGCCCCAGCGCCGAGCAGGGCGCCTAGCACGGAGGGGGGGCGCTTGTGGAAGTACTCGTATGTCTTGTACACCGGCGTCGAGGAGCCCTCGTTGAGGAGCAGGCTTGTCCAGGGGCGGAGCGTGAAGAGTTTGCAGGGGATGCGAGGGGGGGTGGTGGTCGAGGAGGGCTGGGTTCCAGAGGCTTCAGCAGTGGACAATGCAGGCTGTAAGGACGGCTCTGCTGCGTTGCTTCCCGTATCTTCTTGTGCCCTCTCTTCCTGTGGCGACCGCATCTTTGGCATCCTCCTCGGGCCATCGCCATCCATAGACAGCGATAAAACGTGGTGAGACTGGTTGAAACCCCACTCATTGCCCAGGAATACCCTCCTCGCCAGCAGGGACGCCAACACGCGGGGGGAGGCGATGATAGTCAGGCGTGCTGGGGTGATGTTGTCAAATACAAGTCTCCAAAGCCAGTTGTAGTCCTCGTTAAAAATCAAATCACTCTCACCGCCACGATCTCGTGGAAAGGGCCATGAGGGCTCTGGAGTGGCAGGAGTGGCCCCAATGACAAGTGTCAGGCTCCTCACATAGGACATCAGACTGTTGTCCTGGATGAAGAGCAGCAGGGGGATTGCTGCAGGTGAGTCCTTGAGATGCTCTCTCTGCAGCAGGTCGAGACCCTCCAGGGACCATACAGCACTGCGGAAGAGGAGTGGCAGCACCGTGGCGCGCCACTGCCTATTGACCACAGAGACATTCTTCAGGTTCCTTGATCGTGGGTCCGACTCCTTCAGCATATCTGCATGGGGTTGGTTGTGGAGGCGCAGGTCCGACGGCGCAGGCCTGTCCAGGAAGCTGAGGACATGGAATAGCAGCTCTGTTGGCAGACATCCGATCGTCGTGGCTGCCATCTTATCAGGCGTATGGTCCCTAGGATTCTGTAGGGAGGAGCTCTGTGTTGTGCTTGACATTTTCACTACGCATATCTCCGCGGCTGGATGAAGTCAGGCGTTAGATAATTGATCCGATCCGTGAAGCTCAACGTGCTTCTAAGTACTGCGTGACGTCACCCTTGAACTTGAGCCTATGCTGAAGGCGGGGATGAAACCCTTCCGCATCCCGGCCCAGAGCACCTGCTGTCTCATGGAGTAGTTGTTACTGTCGTAGCACTACTACGACTTACAGACTACATCTCTAGGCGAGGATAAATTTTGACTGGACACGCCTATCCTGCGACGAGTGAGGCACCTTTTAATATGAACGAGCCCCACTCCTTCGTACCTAGGTATGCATCGAACCCCCGGTCTCGACCTGGTAAAGATAAGAAACAGATCGTAAGTGAGCCATTCCAACCGGCCGATCTATCTGCGCCAGCAACAAATATTGAAGTTGCGAGTCGGGTGGCGGATGGCATTCTCCAGAAGCCTGCAGCAATAATCGGCAAAGAGCTCTATTGTTCCTGCTACTATACCGCTGTCCCAAGTACGGTCGGACGTCAAGTCGGCCGAACCGAGTGTACACCCAAACACAAGCCCTGAAACGATCGTTCTTGCTATCTCCAGCTGTCCGATTATGTTTGAATCCGGTGGAGTGTAAGTGTGCCTAATAGTGTATCTCCACTGCCTAGCATATTTTGCTCCGTGATAGTAAATTCCAGCAGACTTTATATCGATGCCCAAGACCATATCAGAGAAGTCCATTTTCCCGAGTTGGATCCTAAGAAACATTCGTCTGCATGTCAATCTAGCCCATGTGGCATGGCTGTCCGCTGGGGTCTAGCTGTGAAATTATCTCCTCGACGAGACTACTTCTTTTTGTGAGCCACCCCTAATATGACTAGGGGCTTACCTTGAGGGTAAAGTAGGTAGGTTTCAATACAGAGTAACCATATCTTCGCTTCGGTCAGCAATGCAAGACTTATACACACCACTCGCCCGGTATTGAGGTTTATATGACAAGTTATCGGAAGCCTTCCATTGGGGTTTTGCGTCTTCTTTGCACTCCCAAATAAGTCACCAGTGTCAAACGCTCTCAGCGTATTGATGAATACAGACCTCGAACCAATTATGCGAACTTGCCTGGGCAAAAAAGCGAACCAGAGGAAATACAGGTGTAGAAACATCAAACCCGGGAAATTAGTGATGCGAATAGTCAGCCCTGTGCAGCCCATGGACGCAATCATTCGGGTCAGCCGCCACAGTCTGATCATTGCGTTAGAGTATACGTCCGCCAATGCAGTGACTTCTTTGACCCAGCCATCCTCATCATCCTAGATAATTCAAAGGCCGTCGCCGATCCAAAGGCGGCGTAGACTTAGCTTCTTTGCGAAAATTCTGGCATTTGGGAATGTCTTCATTCAAAGGGGCTCCTTGTGCGCCCCAGCAGTACCTCGCCTAGGCAAGTATGCTTTATAACACAGATCAGAGCTCTCAAGTTTCCAAGGTTCGATGAGCATTGCCTGTGAGTTTCTATGCAGGCTATCTTTCAAAGGCTCAACAAAGGCTCGAGCTCAAGTAGCCTCGCCTCGTTGGACGGATGCTTGTGTCCCTGGACTGGCAATAATTGTGGCTTGCTCTGCTCTTTTCGACCCACTCGATGCACTGCTGCAAATATCCAGTCAAACTGCCGTTGCCCTTGCGACGATAATATGCGGATTTGGTGTTGATTTGAAAATTGCAGGGCATCTGCTTTTTCGATCCAGCTTATGATAACTAGCAAATCTTCCTCGCCTCCAAATTATCAATGATTCTTAGCTGAGTGCAAAGTTCGCAGATAATGAAGCACTGTACAGTAATATTTTGTGATCAAGTCTCTGCCCAGTCTTGTTGAAGAAGCTCACCTTGAACGAAAATCAGTTTGATGACCTCTGCGAACGAATCTTTTCTTGCGACTGCGTGGCACGCGCTCCTCATACCTGAAATTGATCTGAGTCGGTGTCCAAAGTCCTCTCACACTCCCCAAATCTGCTGATTCAGCATACACATGGGGCAGAGCTTCCGTATAGGTAGCCTCGAGAAGTATGCTAGACCAGTGACAGTTTTGTGGCTTCTTGCTCCATCTCCTGAGGGCAACGACTATCTATCCTTCCAAGCAAGCCGTTCTTTGTAGCCAGGGAACCAATTGACAAGCGATATGGCCGTCTCTTTGACCACCGAGGTCGTTTACAGGATCCTCGCTTGCTTTCTGAGACTGCGCGTCTACCCTGTCTGGTGTGGTGACTCGGAGGCGACAATTCCCAATTGAGGCCATTCTCGTTAGAGAGGAGTACCGAGATGAGTAGAAGGAGCCCTTAACGAGGATGTGTGAATGTTACAGACTGGTTGAAGAATGAACATTTAGGACAGCTTGCTAATGAGGAAAGGATGGCTTGCGACTTTGATGGATCTAGTAGGGTGTAGCAGACCATTTTAGCAAATGGCTGACTTCTGTGAAAATCATTGCTCGGCTGAATTAAACCCGGTCGAAGACGAGGATGCTTTGGAGTTACATTACAGCAGTAGACCAATGCAACGTGACGGCCGCAGGACCACCTCCGGCATTTCTCAGTCCGGTGAAGGCACCTTGCCACCTACTGAAGCTCTATCTATTACTCTCAGGCAAAGCTTGGAAGAATCCCATATCAATATCTGGGCAGATGTAACGCTGTTAGTGTCTCCACCCACTCGAGGTCATTCCATTGATATAGCTTGCGTACTGCTCCGAGCATGCTTGTCTTGGAAATAACACACGCACATAATAATTATTGACCTCCTCCAGTTTCCCTGTCCGGGTCTCTGTTTTAGTGCCGTAGGTTCAAATCCGACCTTCTGTCCTGCTCCCTCTCTCTGTTTTGTTATAGAAGGCCCCTCAGTCTGGTGCGCAGCCATTGAGAGACCCTTGATTGTCGAGAGTTTCGCGATCAAGTCATCCGGCACAATGCTGTCCCTTCTCTTGGTAGCGCCGGTCGTTCTGGGTGTGACATCGCCGGCCTTGGCTCTTTCAACAGCGACGGCGACGTCGTCAGCGGCTGCCCCAGCCTTCACCTACAATTCGTCTTCGTTCCTGCTTCATGGGGATCCATACGTTATCATTGGAGGTCAGATGGACCCACAACGCATCCCTCCTCAATACTGGCAAGACCGATTGGCCAAGGCCAGAGCCATGGGTCTGAACACGATCTTCAGCTACGTATACTGGAACCTCCTTGAGCCTGAACAAGGACTGTGGAAGGACGATGAGGACTACAACGATATTGCGCAGTATTTTCGGATCGCGCAGGAAGAAGGGCTTCACGTTGTGCTGCGGCCAGGACCGTACATCTGCGGCGAGCGGGAATGGGGAGGATTCCCGGCCTGGCTGAGTACAGTACCAGGCCTTGTTGTGAGAAGTTTCAACGAACCCTACTTGAACCTCTCAAAGACCTATCTCGAGCATCTGGGTGCAATTTTGCGGCCGCTGCAGGTTACACAAGGGGGTCCGCTGCTGATGGTCCAGGTGGAGAACGAGTTTGGCTCCTACAACGACTCCGACCACGAATATACACAAGCACTACGGGATGTTCTGCGAGAAAATTTCGACGTCCCGTTATACACAAACGATGGAGGCACAAATTGGACTTTGGCTGGCGGAGAGGTCCCTGGCGCCCTGGCCGAGACCGACGGAGACCCGTCGAGCGGGTTCGCAGCACGAGACGAATATGTCACTGATCCGAGCGAATTAGGCCCTCTTCTTGACGGTGAATATTACACATATGCACCGGATACGTGGGGCAGCGACAATCCACACAGCACTACTGTTGGGGATCCTTCTGAGGTTGCCCAGTTTGTAGAGGTTCGTGCCCATTGTATGATCCCAAAATTACCACCTGACGGTCCGAATTTGCATTATCGTCTCTAGCTGACAACTGCTCACGGGCGACATAAGGACTTGGACTATGTTCTCGGGGCCAATAACTCAATAAGTCTCTATGTGCGTGATTGATGCCCCCGGTCAAAGGTCAATACCTCGAGTGCTAATTGACACGGCACAATCAGATGTTTCATGGGGGAACCAATTTTGCTTTCAGCAATGGGGCCTTGTGGAAGAATTATACAGCAAGCTTCACCACGTCGTATGATTATGGTGCGCCTCTTAGCGAGGATGGTCGAACAACGGACCTATATTTCACATTGCGCGACACTATCCAGAAATACACGGCCGACAAGATCCCCGAACCACCCGCTGACATACCTCTTCTGTCTATCCCCGACATCACACTCTCGGCAAAGTCGTCGCTCTTCAATGTTTCATCCTCAAAGACATCAGAGACATCCCCTTTGACCATGGAGCAGCTTGGCCAGAGCTACGGCTTCATTCTTTATGAACACCAGGTCGTTCAAGCCGTGGAGGGGCTGCTCTCGCCAGGTGATCGACCGCGGGACAGAGTTATCGTCTATGTCAACGGGGATCCGGACTGGAGTCATCGACAGCACATACGCGCAGCCCAAGGACGTCTCCCTGAATCTTGGGCCGGGAGACACTCTGCAGCTCTTGGTCGAGAATCTCGGCCGTGTGGATTATTGGTCTCTGGAGTCGGACCTGCCCAATCACGTCCTGGATCCTTACAAAGGAATCGTTGGTAATGTGACCGTTGGTGAATCTGTTCTGGAAACCTGGTCTATGGTCACCATCCCCTTGGACGAGATCCCTCCAATGGCATCGCCGACCAACTCATCACTGCTCAGCCAGACACCGACCTTTTACTCTGGAACTTTCACTTTGGGATCAAACTATACGGATTCCGCCCAGCTTGACACCTTTATTGCGATTCCCAATGGGGTGAAAGGGATGGTATGGGTTAACGGTTTCAGCCTCGGAAGATACTGGATTGTTGGACCTCAACAGTCCCTTTATTTGCCTGGCACAGTTCTCAATGCTGGTCAATCAAATGAGATTGTTGTTCTCGAGTTGGAACCTGGAAACAGCGCGATGATCGCAAGGGGGGAGGCCGAGAGAGTCTGGGCCAACTATCCTGACCCAGATTACAGTTGATAAGCCTGGCGCAAAGAGAAGAAGCCTGAGTGGGCCACCAAGTTTATAACAACCTGTGGAATGTGAGTCGCAAGATGAAAGGCGAACGAGGTGCACGTATTTCTCACCAATAGAATATCCAAAGTTGTGAGAATGTTTCCATGTCCAAGACAACCTAATTTGGCGTATATATCTTTAAACGTCTATGATTCTCACATATCGCCTCCCAGCTTATCATGTACGGTCCAGCAGGTATTGCTGACTTGGCCTGCCGACAGGTATTCAATCATTGTATTGATGCTTGTGCCGCTTTGAGACTGCCTACTACGGTGAATGATAGGACGGGAGAGATGAGATACGATATCTGGAACCTGATTATCAGTCTACCATTATGATATACCCTTGCGCACATATTTTTTTTTTTTCAGCGCTTTTCGACTCACCGTGAGCAGCTTGGCAATGATGGCCTCTTCTTCATCATCTGCACTGCTGACTTGAACCATGGTGATGAGTTTCATCGCCGGGGGTCCGCTGAAGCATATCGTATTAGCTCTTGAAGTCAAGGGTGTGTTGAACCAATTATTCAAATGCACTCACCATGGCATCAACATCATCGCGAACCATAGCATTGGGTCGGACCCGAGGATGCTTGTCCTCGATGCAAGCAGGTAGACGAGGGAGATGGATGCTGCTGGCCACAGAATGAAGCGGACGAGCATGATGTACGAGACTGTAGCCCATGGAAGCTTGCTCGATTTGCCCTGGGTCTTTTCCGCCGTACCTTTGTACGCCGAGTAGAGTGACGTGCCAGCGATGACAACTGGCAAGGGCACAAAGAGGGTGCCAATATTCTTCAAGGAGGCCGTGAGCCATGCCGTGAATATACCGCCGTGTTCAGAATCGTTGAAAAAGGCTCGGTGAAGGGATGGGACAAGCCCAATGACCGCGCCAATGATGGCCCCGAGCAGAGGCGCGTTGAGGAAGTCGGACAGGAACAGGAGCCACCACTTGGTGCGCGGGCCCAGCTTGATCCATCGTGTTTTGGGAATCACGGAAGCCCGCCGGTTAGAAGATTGTCTGGACGCACCGGCCATCGCAGCAGAAGGCTTTCGGGTCGAGGGAAAGAAAGACCTGTGGTCTCCAAAAGGGTTGAGTAGTTGTACATTAGGCACAAGCAGTCGATCACCATTAATCAGCCCTGTCTCTTCAGTCGGTGTGTCGACACCTGCATCGTCTTCATCGTGCTGGTCTCCCACATCTGACTGCGCGTCGCTGTGATCGTCATCGTCAGGTGTGTGCTCCGTGTCTATAAGACGTGGCCCGACGGCGAAGGTGAGGCAGCTAGAGACAGTAGAGAAGATGAGGAAGTATGACTTGGCCCGCTCCACTGCCGCGTCTGTTGTCTCGTTCGTGATAATCAGGGAGCTCAAGATTCCGGTCTGCTGCAGCGCGCTTATGAGCAGCAATGGGTATGAGCTATACAGTGAACACTTGACATCAGCTGTCAATCTTCAGTCACATTTTCATTTGCAAACTCGCTCCGACGCACGCTGTATTGTTGAACATGAGAGCCGGGGTGACCCAATCAGGCATCTTGAAGACAAAGTGTCCAAGAATGCCGATGAGGAAGCTCACAAAGTGGCAGAGAATGCCCCAGAGAACGATGATGCCATATCTGTCGGCTGAGCCCGAGTGCAGCTCTGCACCAACCTTGGTGATGAGCAGCGCTGGCAGAAACATTCGAACGCATACTTTCGAGATGGCCTTGGTGTTGGCTGGAGAGAGCATGCCGAGCTTGGCTGCTAGCGAGCCGTAGGAGATCACCAGGAGGACAGAGACACTGGCTTGTACTGCGCCTACGAAGGCCTCCAGAAGACCTGACGGCGCCATGCTGCTTGTGTGTGTGTCGATGGCGGCGAATGCAGGTTAATTGAATCCACAGCCTGCTGACAGTGCTCTCGAGCGACTCGTTTTTGTGATGATGTTTTCTATGTGGAATTGAAAGGCGTTGTGTGTGACTTGATCTAAGAAGCAAAGTCGAGCCTCTGGTCTGATTTAACCGCAGTGACGCAATCACAACCCCAATACAACCAAGAAGCTGTGTTTCAACGTTCCAAGGTTTTGTTTTGTTTAGCGTTCGTTTTCCAGGCTCTCTCAAGCCCCACAGGATCTGCTTACTGTACATGAAGTATGTAGACTGCACTGCTGTGGCAGGTGTGCCGAGAGCCGAATGCACCCCTCCCTGACCGACAAAGATGTCCAATGGATGTCAATTTGTTTGGTCTTGGTGGCTAAAAAAGGGAATGCGGCTCATTCTGCTATACTTGAGGATGAGATGGCTGTAAGTCGTAGTTACTACAGCATGACACTGTCGAAGGAAGGCTTATGAGTCATTTCATATATAGCATATTGAACTGGGCTGGTCCTTTGGTATGAAATCTGTGCTGCTTGACTATGACCAGCCTTGTCAAGTACGGCGAGGAGCAGGCCAGACGCCAGGCAAAGTCAAGATACCGGCTGGAGCATGCAGAGCTTACCTTACGCAGAGCCAATTGTACAGCGCAGGAGGCACTTATCGTCAACAGACCGGGTTTAGCTCCAAACGATTGTGTATGTATCTTGAAATGCCGCGGATGATATTACTTGAGATGGGCAAATGTTAGAAAATGACTGTATGACCATAGTTACCATATATATATACATACATATATATATACATACATATATATATACATACATATATATATACATACATATATATATACATACATATATATATACATACATATATATATACATACATATATATATATATATATATATGTAGTTGGCCATTCATCGTCGAATATGCCCTGGGTAGTGATGTTTAAAAGATATGTTATTCTAAACAAAGAAACATTCGTCTTCGTATCAACGTAGATTCGGAGACGTGCGCGTCCTTGGTCACCTCGGGTAGAATTGTGTTTGGAAAAAAGAAACAGCCTCCCGAACTCAGCCTCAAGTCCAACGGTAGAAAGCGTGCCAGTGCTCAATTAAAAACTTGCATTGAAGTACATGCATTTAGATCTATAAATGGTTGACGGCAGCAAAGGGGCGAGGATCTTGGCAAGCAAGGCGGTTTTCAGGAAAATTGATGTATACTATAGTACTATGTATAGTAATCTGTACCATCCCCGTACTTTACGTGAAACATGTTTTTTCCTAAAATGTCGCGCGAACCTGTGGGGCAGGCTAAGCTACTTGGCTTGCGGGTGACGCCTCAGTGCATACATCATAGCGGCGCCCTACCTCGGAGAAAACGGTGGACCGCCCGAAGGGGCCGACAGTGGAGAACAACCACAAAACACTCGACGCCTTCGCCTCGTCGTACTGTAGTGACACAGCAAATGGGTGCATCGTACAACTCTTGTAAACGATTGTCAGGAGACAAGAAACGGACACACATTTCAACAATGCCTCTTCCCAGGGTCCCTGCTTCTCTTTCAGGGGCAATCTGGACCGCCATAGAATCATTAGGCCATCGCAGGTTTCTATTAGTTTCTACAATGCCTACCTGTCATAATGTAAGTAGCATGTTCACATAGTTGTGGCAGACGACATGTAGCCTAGCACATGGAGTAAAAAGCGCTCTGTATCACATTGAGAACTCTCGCTGGGTATTCTTCAACTATGACCATCTATAAATCAAGAAACAGTTCAGAGGTGGGGGCCGCGTTGAGATCGTCGAGGACTAGAGTCAGGCGTGGGTCATGGATGCTACCCCGGCACGTGCCCACCTCCAGGTTCCTGGACGTGACGCATGGTACCGTACATAGGTTCTATAGCAGTCAATTTGAGGCGGAGAGACTCGGCCAGACCGATGTCAACGGTATGGAAGCTACGTAAGCCTGGGTGGATTTGCTTTTACCAATCGGATGGACGGCACTCGACTGAGGAAGCAGTATGATGATATCGACAAGCAGCGGGATGCAGGATGACAGCGCAGGGATTTTCAACATCAGAGTTCTATAATGAGATTATATGCAGTTTCAAGAAGGCTCAAGTCATCCAAGTCCGCACGTGCAATCGCTCTGTAATACTATCTGCGTCCTCTTCAAGCTGCTTGCTCAACCCATTCTGAAGGCAGCTTTTGTCCTTGAAGTAAAAGAGACACACATTCTCCACTGAGTGATGAATTTTTTTTTATTCTAGTGCAGCAATGAGAGAGAAAGATCTACCCAAGTCAAATTCGCTCAAGCGCTCTCCCGAGGGAAACAAAACGAAACATGTTAACGCCGAGCAGTACCATAAAAACGCCTTTCGTAGGTGGCGCGCGGGCGGGTGGGTATAATGGGGAACGGGCGGTGCCTCCTTGCTAAAGGCCGAGTCAGTGATGGCCCCCTAATGCCGAGAGTCCTCAACCGTCGTCTATGCTTGAACTGAGTACTGTATCTTTTGCAATGGGATACGCAGACAAAGCACCGAAAGGGGGAATCCACAACCATGTGGAGCTACGTCCATGAGAGTATCACGCGTTATGGAGAAAGCACTGCCCACGTTCTCCCTGACGTGGGTGAGCTGCTCGGCCTAGGCACACAAGCTTATATGTGGGATCTTCACGAACCCCTTGCTCAAAAGATCTTGAATATAAAAGACTACCACTGCTGCTCCGAAAGACTGGAGGGATTTCCTTAAGATCGGCAGCCCTCTTGGGATTAACAGACTTCCCTTCAGCTCGTTACAGTCACTTTCTTGTTCGATATCTACTTGACAACCTTTCCACTCGCTGGTTTTATACCCTTGTCCTGTACAGTCTTTCTTTTTTTTTTTCTTTTTTTTTTTTTTCTTTTTTTTTTTTTTCTTTTTTTTGTGTTCAGGTGCTTCCTCCTCACTCGCCATGAACTTCAGGCAAATCCTTGCGGTTGCCCTCACGGCAGTTGCTGTCGAGGCTCGCAGCATTCGCCGCGAGACCAGCGACGCAACTCTCCCTATCGTCAACACTACTCTGGGCCAGCTTCAAGGCTCCCTCTCCAACTTCCGATCTCCTTTGGTCACTTCATACAAGGGAATCCCTTACGCCAAAGCCCCCACTGGTGACCTGCGATGGAAGGCGCCCGTGGCTGCGGAACCTTGGGACGGCGTCTTCAACGCCACCGAGTTCGGCCCACAATGTATGCAGATCTACTCTGATGCCGGTATCTTCTCGTCTGGCAAGGAGACCATGAGCGAGGACTGCCTCACTCTGAACATCTGGACACCTACCTACAACGACACTTCGGACCTCACGTCCCTGAACACGCCCGTGTACTTTTGGATCTTTGGAGGTCGCTTCGAGGGCGGCTCTGGCGATGTCAAGACATACGACGGCTCTGGTCTTGCTTCCAAGGGCGTTATCGTGGTGACCCTGAACTACCGTCTCGGCGCGTTCGGATACCTGGCCCACCCTGACCTGCAGGCTGAGGATGCGAACAACTCCACTGGTAACTACGGCATCATGGATCAACAGTTCGCGCTGAAGTGGGTGCACGAGAACATTGCCAACTTTGGTGGCAACCCCGAGCAGATTGTTGTCGGCGGCCAGTCGGCAGGCTCCTCCAGCGCCCTGGACGTCATGTATAGCCCTCTCACGGACGGCCTTGGTGTTGCTGGCATCATCGCCGAGTCTGGCGCCCGAGGACCCCAGGACGAGATGACGGGAGGCCTGGCCACTTCGTACAGGAACTTCACCTGGGCCATCTCGGAGGGCGAGAACTTTGTCGCCAACTCCCTGAACGTGTCGACCATCGCCGAGGCGCGAAACATCTCGGCTGAGACTCTGGCTACCTTCGGCAACGACATGGACACCAGCATGGACGGAACTCCCTTTATCGCCGCGTCTGCTGCTTATAGCGACCCTCCTTACTGGCGCCCGACGATTGATGGTTACGTCCTGGCCTACAAGTATGGCGAGGCTCTGCTCACCGGAAATCACCTCGATGTCCCCATCCTGACTGGCAACAACAAGGACGAATCTGGCGCAGCTCCCGACACGGACCTGACGGTGGCCGAGTTCACCTCCGAGATGACCTCCGTGATGCAGAACTACTCGACTGAGTTCTTCAAGCTGTGGCCGGCCGGCGACAACTCCACTGCTGCCAGCGACCAGTTCAACACCTTCTTCCGTGACCTCAGCCGCGTGTCCACCTGGACCTGGGTCAAGGACTGGATCGCCGGGGGTGCCACCAGCAAGGTGTACACCTACTACTGGACGCACACTCCTGCTGAGAACTCCGGCAATGGTGCTTACCACGGCAGCGAGCTGTGGTACACCTTCAACAACATTCCTTATGCCGACTACGACAACGTGACCTGGACCGAGGAGGACTACCAGATCGAGAGCATCATGTCTGACTACTGGGTCAACTTCATCAGCACTGGCAACCCCAACGGTGCCGGCACCAGCAACCTCACCAACTTTATCGAGACCACTAGCGACAGTGCGCAGACCATGTGGCTTGGTGACAGCTGGGGTGCCAGCTATCTCGCCGAGAGCGACGAGAGGGTGCAGTTCATCCTGAACTGGCTGAGCATCTTTGACATGTACTAAAGGACGATTTATTTTCTCAGAACGTACCTGAAGTACTCCAATGTAAGAACAGAGAAGAAGTGAAGTGTGTACATGTATATAGTTAGAGGGAACAGCCCATTATACCCAACCTGAGCAATGATAGATTTTCACCTACAAGTCTTGTTTGCGTTTCCCAACTCTAAAGACGGTGGTAGCTCCTGTTGACAGTGAATGTCTGCATATATGTATGATGACTCGGCAGACGCTGCTGCTGTCCATTGCAATTGAAGGCAAGAAAAAAATGGAAGAACCTTATGGATGATGGTAATGATGTTGATGAGGACAAGCCTTGGAAAATCCCACAGGTGTCCGCTGTAGGCCCTAATGCTTGCTCCTTCCAAAACCCTGCCCAGTGCCCACCCAATCTCGGTAGTGAGTAACAGGGGGCAGGCCAAGGGTGGCTGCGGCACTCCGTAGCGGGGTAAGCTCTAGCTATTTACCACAAAGACGCGTCTTCCTGACCTATTGCAGTCGCGTTGGACGAATCTTTGCACCTTGCGGACTTCCTATTTCAACGTGCCCATACAGTTGCGAAAGAGGACACACAGCACCTTGGCTCCACATTCCATTCCTCTGCGACCTGTCCAAACTCCATGATCCTTCGACTGAGTTCTCGTTGCATTACCATACTTTGACAAGGTAGGAGGCGAAATGGAAGCTGTAACGAAGCGCCACTTTTTCCACCATGGCCCAGACCAAGAGGTAGGCACGAGCCATTTGTCTTGTTCCTCATGATAACCTATACACCAAGTGAGAGAGGGAGATGACCTGCTGACTGTAACTGTTTGATTCTTTACTTCCTTACAGGTGGCCATCGAGGAGCGACAAAACTGCCACTGGTGTCAGCTCCGTTCTTTTCGGACCCACAAGACACTCCCTGTCACCATCGTCAACGATACAGGCGATGGCCAAGTCCTCCCGTCCAACTTTCGTTTCATCGAGCGCTCTGTCCTAGGCGCCGGCGTTCCCCCTACCGCAGACGAGTTTCGCTATGGTTGTGACTGCCCCGACGAGGACTCTTGCATGTACGCCGGCTGTGCTTGCCTGGACGAGATGGCCGGCTCTGACGACGACCAAGAGGACTCCATGACGGGCGAGCTTGACAAGGAGGACGAGGAGTTTCTGCAGTGGGCCGCCAGCACACAGAAGAGGCCAGAATGGGCAAGACAGAGGGGCAGTAGGCAGAGCTCCAGAGACGACGCCGCGCCCTCGCCGGCGCCCGCCGCTGATACCGGAAAACAGCTGAGAAAGAAGCGTTTCGCCTACCACTCCCAAGGCGCCAAGGCTGGTCTCCTGCGTGGATCGGAGCTGGAAAACTCGCGCGCCCCCATCTATGAGTGTCACGAGGGCTGCCGCTGCAGCAAAGCTGGGTGTCCTAATCGCATCGTGGAGCGTGGTAGGCAGGTTCCCCTGCAGATCTTCCGCACAGACAACCGAGGCTGGGGTGAGTGCGATCTTTGGATGCCCGCGCAGGAAAGAAGCATGGTGTCTTGCTAACGAGGAACCCCCTCCCCCCACCCCCTTTCCCCAAACCATTACAGGCGTCAAGACAATGCGCGCGTTGAAGCGTGGTCAATTCGTGGATTGCTATTTAGGCGAGATTATCACCCCCAGTGAGGCCGAGAGGAGGCGTCACAACGCCAGCAAGGCCCAGCGCAAGGATGTCTACCTGTTTGCTCTGGATAAATTCACAGACCCCGAGTCCAACGACCTCCGCCTGCGCGGCGCACCACTGGAGTGCGACGGAGAGTTCATGTCTGGGCCGACTCGATTCATCAACCACAGCTGTGAACCTAACCTCCGGATTTTTGCGCGTGTGGGCGATCATGCTGACAAGCATATCCACGACCTCGCGCTGTTTGCCATTGAGGATGTGCAGAAGGACGAGGAGCTGACTTTCGACTACGTCGACGGGCAAGGGGAGATAGCAAGCAACGCCAGAGATGCGGCGCTTCAAGGTGAGATGACAAGGTGTCTGTGTGGGAGCGAGAAATGTAGAGGCTACCTGTGGTGATGGGCCATGCGGCATAATGGCAAGAGGAGCTTGGTTGCCCTTTCTGATCTCCGTACCAGCCTGTATAGCCTCAGGTTTCAGTGCAGGAATAATGAATGGACCGAAATTGGACCATCACCAGCCTATGAGACACACAAAGTTGAGGATACCATGCTCGCACACACAACTTGCGCCGCTACTTGCAGTTAAACACGGGATAGAAGCGTAAAAGTCTTATGTGCTCCCGTGGTCTTTCGAAAGCAACATCTTACAAGCTGACATGTGTGGGTCGCTGCTTATAGGCGGCTCTTTTTTCTGTTTTTCAATACCCGATTTGCAGGTATCCAAATCTACTATAAAGTATGCCATCTTTTGGCAGAGTGTTAGATCTTGTAGGAAGAGAGAGGCAATATGTATTCAGGCCACCATGCAGAGGAATGAAGCACGATGGTCTGTGAAAACATAGTAACCACTGCATCACGACACTGGATTTAGTACGAACGTAAGTACATGGCAGGGTGATGGTGGTCATGATGCACTCTGTCGTTGAGATTCAATTGGATGGATGCTTGAATGGTCCAGGGTAGGTTGGGGGCCGCCAAAGGTTGACTGAATGGGTAGACACGCCCTTGAAGGGGCTTCCCGTGGTCACAGCCGCAGTGGGGACCTCTTCCATGACCATGGGAGCGGACCACATCCTTACCCTTGGAACCTACAGTACCTCTTTCTACCCTTCCAAACAACGCTCACTCACTCCTTGAGGTCGCCCACCGTCACGCTCCCTGAGCACCAGCACTATCGTTCATCACTCTGTCGCTACTTACGAGTAGAGAAAAGGGCCGTATCTCACCTCAGGGAGAAGAAAACAAAGGAGAAAAAAAAATTCAAATCTTCTCATCGTGCGCTCCTCGAGACGAATCAGACTGTGCGATGCGATGCGCTGACCAGGCTTCCAAGACTGCAAAGGGATAGCCAAATTGTCGCCTCATCTCCAGCCCTGTTTCAAATCGTGGCACAAATCGCTATATCGAGCCTGGATGATCGAAACGAAAGAGGACGAACGGGTTGATGAGATTTCGTGAGAGCTGCTCGGGAAGATCAACAACCTAGGACTGCATGCATTCTACTACTTTTGCTTGATATCATTATAAATCATTGGTGGAAGCTCCTACAACTAAACAACCAGCATGGTATGTAATCCAGATCCTAAGCATGCACTCTCCCTCCCTTTCATACACACACATACACACACTCTCTCACCCCATATATGTAGACTCGTGTTATGCGGGTATGTGTGTATGGGTTAGACCATGGTTCAGCGAAAGCACTTCGTTACTAATCATCATGATGCCTCACCTTCTAGGGCTGCTGCTTCTCACGCCCGCATGGACCCAACTCTCCTTGTCCGGGGGCTGTCCAGTCCGGGTCTGCACGGGCTACAGAACCCTCTTCTCCCCATTCCCAGGCTCTCCCTCCACCTGCTCTAACCCAGGGTTCTGAAGATGGCTCTGCCACCACCCCTCGTCAGCGGACCCGTCGCCGCCGGCCACCTCTGGGCCAGCATATCAACAAGCCACTGCGCCGACAAGACTGGACTTCCAAGGATCACCCGTGGTCCAGGACTGCTCTGGACCGTGAGCGTCTTGATTTCTTCGAGACGAGAGTCGACGGCCGTCCCGAGATCTGGCAGGCCCTTCACGCCGCCCTGCGCGTGCTCTGGGATGCTGATACCACCAGCCACGCCGCTGCCTCTTGTGCCCGCGACACCAGCAGCGAGGCTGAGGTCGACAGCGACGAGCATGATCCTGCCATGGCCCTCGCCACCGCCCAGAGCATCTTGAATGCTGTGGACATCACCCTCCCGACCGGTAACCTAGCCGATGGCGCCTACGATTCGCTTGGACATTACTATCAGCTGCCCGCACACATCGTCTCCGATCCAGTCAACATCGTCTCTACTAGTCAGCTCGACGGTGTCCTCGACGATGGTGAAGACAATCTGAGAGAGGCTGGTGACGCCGCAGCAGAGAATCCGGACAACGATGTAGCTGAGATGCGTAGGGAGGAGAAAGGCAAGGCTGTCGTTGACGTTCGAGCTCAGGTTCTTGCAGTTGTGCGCCCGAGTGACGGCTCGGGAGATCTCAAGCTCTACCTTGCCAAAGAAGAGACTGTTCGCAGTGTCATTCGTAGAATCGTGGAGGAGCCAGGCGTGAGTCACTACCCCCCATCTCAATGGAATTCTGCCTGTCTCTTCTCTATTTTTTCTTCTTCTTTTTACTGACGGTGCCTCCTGACTAGTTCAATAATCGATCCGCTCACAGCATTCGCCTTGTTCTTCTTGGCAAGATTCTCAACGAGAGTCAACCACTCGCGGCCCAAGATTGGCAACCTGATCTCGTTCTCAACGCCTTTATCAGGGACGACCCTCCAAAGTGATAGCGGGTGCAGCAAGGGAGCCGAGATTCTTGGTTTCCCAAAGGAATAGCCAAGTCTCCGTACTACTTTCTCAGTATACTCGCTCTTGCCTGAACACGAGCCACGGCGTCACAAGTGCGTTCAGGGTTTTGAGGCATCGAACGGCGCACCCCATCTCATGACATCCTTATGCAATCCTTCGCCCCACAAGGATGCGACACTCAGTCTCAGACGGCAAAGACCTTTTTTCTTCTTTCATTCTGAGAGATATCGCCTTTCGAGAAATCATCTCGATTGTATGGGTGGATGGGTGATAAGTCCCATGTTAGCAACGTCTCCCATGCGCAGATCACTTTTTGTTCTTCTCCCCCGCCCCTTTGCACAGATGTTCTGTCGCAATTTCTAAGATACCCAAGCTTTCTATTTTCATTGTACAATAGACATACCATGGACACAAGAGCGACTCTTCTGTTGTCAGATCGTGAGAGACTAGACTCGTCACAGTTGCATCTCGAGGGCCGGTGTGGTCCTCCTTATCTTATTTAATCTATCAAAATAACCTTCTTCGTCCGTCTTCATTCGAAAGCAACATGATTCTGGCGACTTTGGAGTGGTTGTGGCCCACGCATCACCACCATTGCCGTGCTCTTCACTACGGGCTCAGGAAGCAGAGACAACAGAGAAGCTGTCCGTTGGACCTAACAGTAACGTAATTGACCAGCATATTCAGTCGTGGATGTAATCGCAAGCGACAAACAAACCTTACTCGGTATCAAGTAATAATGACAGTCGCCGAAAGTCTTCCTGAAGGGTCCTGGGCATGAATATGACAAATCCCTAGATCAGTTGCGGGCGGGTCTTTACACTACATCCACCACCTCAGCCGCGCAGCTCTCAGAACCCACGTTATGCAGATATTGTGTTAGACCCAGGACGTCCGCAAGGGGCAAAGGGGCAAGGGGCTCCGAAGCCAATCGAAGCCACGTGGGGTATGAACCCCATATATATGCTGTCCATAGAGATTGTTCTATCGTGTCATGCCTTCTCACGGGCGCGCCCTCTTAACCTCTCCTCTCGGCTTAGGGCACTGTGCTCAGAGCAAGGGTCATAAAAAGGTTATATCATGTTTTGCACCGTGGTGCGGGCTATCTATATCGTACCACAAACGCGAGATTCCTCCCTTCCCCCTCCCACCTTGGCCCTGAACCCACCCTCCTGGCAAAACAGCGCTTTTGAATTAATCCACTCACTGTTTTCTATATAATTCAACCCCGCCCCGCCCCGCGTTTTGGAACCTCAAGCGGCCGTGCCGATCTTGTTGAGGCCCTTCAGACTCCCCAGACTTAGCGCAAGACCTTGTGAACGGCTGCGTATGCGGACAAATCCTGTGATGGGGCCGTCCTCTCCTTCCTTCTCGATGCTCAAGTTCGCAAGTGCATCCTCTCCTGCGGCAGTGGGTCAGTATCGGCTCTCGGGAGATGCATATGACCATGGAGGAGCAGACTGGTCTACTTACCGAATACACTTCTAGCATAGAGATTTGCGCTCAGGAACTGGCAGTCGCCCTTCAGGCTAGCCTCGGGTGTGAGGCAATTCATGTTGGTGGCCGCCATCAGCTGGTCTAGGAATTCCCTCAAAGTTTTGGCCTTGCTGTTGATGTTAACCTTATTCTCCCACTCAAACTCCGTCCACATGGTGCGGAACTGTGTCTCTGTGCAGGTTGCTGGCTGGATGTAATCCATGATGTCGACATGTAGATCATTGAGGATGACCACATTTGTGTCTGTGCTGTGCGCACCATCGTAGACCACGTTTCCAAAGATGACACCCGTGTCGGTCGACGAGACCTTGATTGTGCATTGCACATTGTGGAAGTCATGCGGCCCAAGATTCTGGGTGGTCGGCCTCTCCACCACCTTGAGATCTCCCAGGGTTGCGAATTCGACAGACAGATTCTGCAGGGTTTCAGTGGTCTGGTTCACAAGTAACACATCCAGCACAATGTCAAACTGGTGGACCTTGACATAGGCTTCTGCGTAGACGGGGTCCGAGAAGCCTGTGAGCTGCACAACCCTGCTGAGCTTGGAGCTGAGGTCTTCCGCTGCAGTGCTGTCGCCACCCGTGGCACGTTCCAGGTCGACCTCGATCTCATCCGAACCGTCGCCCATGTTCTTCTTGCCAAGTTGCCGGATGGACACGACATCATCCACCTGAACGGCAGTCTTGGCCTTCTCCACGGCCTCCTTGGCAGCCCGTTTCTTCTCCTCGACCTGAACCATAGCCCGGAAGGCCTTTCGGGTGTCATCCAGGTACACCGACTCCAACTTCGTGTGTTCAGTGAACTCCGCCAGAGACCGTACGCAGGACATGATACGATCAACCGAGTCCTCGTCGATTGGAGCCTTCACGAACTGCGACTGTCCCACGCGGATGACAGAAACCATGATCAACATGGCTTCTGCACGCAGAGCATTGGTGCGGGCATGGTCGGATGAGATCTCGGAATGCCGCATGACAAGCTTAGTGAGCGTTGCCGACAGAACGGTCGCCAGATAGTAATCACCCTCGAGGATGAGCTGTCTCAGCGGCGGCTTCTGCGCTGACTTGACAGCCTCCAGTTTGGCCGCAGCAGACGACTGACTGGTCAAGGCCGTCTCCGTGGCATATGTGCCGTCCGCGAGGACCCTTCTTGACCCTGTCGGCGCAGTGGCCTTGTGGTGGCCATTCACCTGATCCTTGTCCTTCTCTTCCTCGCCATCAACGTTGTCGAGCAGGCGCTGCTCCGACGCAAGAATCGGGATCTCTCCAAGACTGGCTCTGATGCGCCTCCACGCGTCCCGGATGTCCTTTTCCTCGAGGGAATACTCGCCAACGATCCACAGAATTCCTCTGTACACCTTTCCGGCACGCACCTCGCTCAGCGTATCGACTAGTCGGGAGACAATCGAGGGCCGCAGCTTGGGGAACTTCTCGACGACCTCCTTGACGAAGTTGATGACATCGACGGCAGAGGTGTTGTTGAAATCTGCGATGAAATCCATCAACAAGTCGACAACGCTGGCGGCCACTTCGGAGAACTTGATGGCGCATTGATGTATCGAATGGATGAGGAGTTGGCGGTACTCCGAGTTCTTCTCGTACTCCTGGTCCACCGTCTTGGACAGCTCCTTCTTGAGCAGCAGCACGACCTCCTCGACGTTCTTGCTGGAGACCATCTCCAGAGCAATATCAAGAGCCTTCTTGCGAACATCGATGTCAGGGCTGGAGAGCACCCGCAAGATTTCCATGACCAGGTCATCGAGCACGCCCTCGTTCTTCCTTCGCAATTGGTCGACCCTGTCTAGGACGATGAGCTTCACATTGTTGTCGGCCTCCTTGATGCTGAGCTCGATGAACTTGGCAGCGGCCGCCTTGATTGCTACGGGGTTATTGGTGAGGGCGGTCAATGACGAGGCAGCCTCGTAGACAACGGTTGATGCACCTGCCTCCAGAAGGTCGAAAATTAACCGCAGGTATCGGGCCTATTCATGTTAGAAAGCCACCTACGTCCCTACGGGATCGGATGCCCACCTACCTTGTTCTGAGAGTTTTGCACGGCATCCTTCCGGATAAATTCTAGCTCGACAAGCTGAAGCAACTCCTCGGCATTGGGAATCCCTTCGAAGACGGAGCTGAGATATACCAGGGCCTTCTGGTGATCTATGCTGGCCAGTGCAGCAAAAGCGTTCCTCTTGCAGGTCGCATCGCTCTCAGTCTCGAGGAAGGTGGCGATGAGATCTGAAGCATCAGGTATCAACGAGGGCGAGTGCTGGTAGATGGATGCGACGGCGAAGACGGCATTCTTGCGCACGTATGCGTGGCGGTGCTCCAGGCAGGACCTGGCGGAGGAGAGAAGGGGTTCGATGAGCTCGGGCTCACGGAGCTTGCAGAGGAAGCGCAAGGTGTTGCCTCGAATGTACTCGTTGGGATGCTGCAGATCGTTCCTGATGCCGTTGCTGTAAAAATGGTCAGCAGGCGTAAGCGTAAAAGAGAGAAGAGGAGGAGAGGCAGGGAGTCCGTGTTGGGTTGACCGGCGTACCAGACCAAGATCATCTCCTGCTTGAGCTTGCCGGCGGCGTCAAGCTTGGGACAGATCTCATAGTAGAAGTAGAGAAGCTTCTTCAGGGGCTTCGACTTGGAAGGCATGACGAATCGGATGATATGCATGAGCAGTTGAGGCATAGGATCGCCATTGAGCATGATGGTGAGGATGGTCTTCATGGTCTGTACTTTAGTCTCGTCGGTACCCTTCTCGAGCTGCGTGCGCAGCTCGTTGGCGGTGGGCACATCGGCGGCATTGTCCTGATGGACTAAGCTGTAGGCGTTCTCTAGGAAGGTAGACATGTTGACTGGGCGGTGGGCAGCTTGAGGAGCTCCTCAAGACATGTAGAGGAGGTGCCGTGACGGTTGCTCGTGTCGTGGGTCAGGTTTGTCGCAATGGACGGGTCAGCGTGCCCAAAAGTGCTCGGGGGGTACGAAGGGACAGAGACGAAGCTCTGTGAGGACTCTGACGCCAGGAATTGAAGGTGTAAGATGCAGGAAGATGCGGACTGTCGCCAATGTGTAGCGTCGAGGCGAAGGGCGGAGGGACAGAGCACGAGTCGCGATTCACTGCCCACAGAGGTAGAATGAACCGGATCGGATCTTGGATCGAGCTGGGCGGACTGCGAGTGTCTTGTGTGTTCTCTTGTCTCTCCGGCAGATAGCGACTGGTGGTGCCCTCTGCGAATCCACTTGAGACTGCTCTGAAGCCTGAAGGAGCACTTTGGGGTTTGGAGGTCTGGCGTTTGGGCGGTTCTAGAGTCTGGAGATCTGGCCCCTGCCAAAAATGGCTTGTCAACTACCAATGTACGAGGTTACTGTGGTAGGGACTGACACAGTGGCACTAACAGCTCATAGCCAAAGCACTCTGCGGCCTCTCTGCAGGGGGGGTCGGTAGCTACAGTAAGAGTGGCCCGGGCGCGGAACTGGATTATCGTCAGCCTCCGTCCAGACCCCTGGAATGTGTGGAGGGGTACACATCTGTGCCTACCCCTTGCCACTTGGGACGTGCATAGTGCTACAAGTACGGTACAATGAATTGGGCTGGCAGGCTGGTAGCTGCCGGCGGTGCTAACAGTCCCCGTCTCCCAATTGCGGACCCCCCTCCTGGTAGCTAATTATTGTGTCTGTACCCTGACGTGCCCCTCCACCAGATCTCGCAACCATTGGTTGTTGGAAGCCTTGCCTGCCCTGAACCGCTCTTGAATATCGCATTGTGAACGACTTTGGACCTGCCCTCCCATCCTTGGGTTGCATACTCGAGTTCAATACGAACCTGAATTGTTGCGATCATGGCATCCACCAATGAACCTTTCTACCTGAGATACTAGTAATGAACCCCCCCCCCCCCCAAGCTGTTCTATGTTCCCTCTGTCCTGCTGACAATACCGTCTCAACAGCTCCGGCCACTCAGGCCGGTTTGGCCACGAGTTTCTGGGTACGCTTCATCGCACCCTCCTCCTTCAAGATCGACATGGGATGTTTGAACTCGACCGGCCGTTTCTAACCTCTGTTTGTTTCAGAATTCGATTTCCGTGTCGTCGGTGATGGGCGTAGTGCAGTGGCCCGCTACGCTAACAACTCCAACTACCGCAATGACAGTCTCATTCGCAAGGAGAGTGCGTCTTCCTGCTCGGCCTGCTTCTCTGTCTGCTTTTGTTCAGCTATCTGAAGACCTGCTGACCATATCATCCCATACAGTGTGCGTCAGCTCCCTTGTTATCGACGAGATTAAGCGCATCATCAAGACTAGCGAGATCCTCAAGTACGCCGCTCGTCATCCCACGAGAGGACGACGTCCTCCAAGGCAGGAACCATGCGCGCTGACATTCAGAATAGGGAAGACGACGGCAAGTGGCCGCAGAAGAATAAGGATGGCAGGCAGGAACTGGAGATAAAGGTAGGCGGGGAGCACATCAGCTTCGAGACGGCCAAGATCGGATCTCTGGTCGATGTCACGGAGTCGGCCGATCCTGAGGGGCTCCGCGTCTTCTACTATCTAGTGCAGGACCTGAAGGCGTTGGTATTCAGCCTCATCTCGCTGCACTTCAAGATCAAGCCTATCTAAGCAGTGGAGGAGAGACTTGGGCCGCCAGCAAGAAAGAAGGCGCACCACTGGGCTGGGGAACACGATGATACCCTTTTCTGTTTCGCATAATTTGAGACTATAGCCGGAGTTGCAGGTCAAGAGGTCCCATGGCGAGGAGCGCACATGTTCGTGCACCAAAGGCTTCGCATCGCTACAGCAGTACGCTGTTGTGAGGGACCTGAAGAGAGTATAGCAGGACCGTGTATAGAGAAAGCTGGTACTGACCTGCTGTTGCGGTCGTGGCAGGTAGGCCTGGAAAGACGGCCGAGAGACCAAGGTGGCAAGAAGGCAGCAGCACTGAGATATCCGATGGGGGCAATAGTCTATGAAGAGGTCTGGCTCCTCGTCCCTGTGGGCCCATACTGTGCGCCAGACACTTCGCGTTCGGTTTCATCAATAGCCAAACCAAGTGTCCAGAGACAACGCGCATTTTGAAGACTTGATGTTGACAGCCGGGCTCAAGAAGAGGAGAGAGCTATGGGCGCTCCCGTCTAGGCAAATCAGCGGGCTTACACCGACGTTGGCCACATTGACCAGAAATTTAGACCATGGCTCGTTGCGCTTCAAGTTCTCCTGTTTGCTGCCTGCGAAACACTAGAACTCACGACCCTCGAGACATTGGAAACGTAAATCTTGCATCACAGCATCAATGCGTGTCTGCTCCTAAACAGGAATGGGAGGAAGAAGGCAGTCAGGCAGTCAGATGGGATTTAGAGGCTGGCTTATGGCTGTCGGAAGGAGTGTCCGCCAATCCTCTTAATGAACTTTACATCTGTCAGCCACTATGTCCAATCCGTCTTTTTCTCTTCTGTAACTTTCCTTCGAGTTCAGGTGTTTGTCTATTCATCTTCTCTTGCCCCCCTTTTTTCTTTTATTTCCCTTCTACTTCTAGATTTGCTGATTAAGTTGGTAATCCTCGTTTTTATAGTGTTGTTTTACCCTCTCAGAACAAAGGGAGGAAAAGCAGTACGAAAGAAGGGGTCGTGGGTGTTGATTTTAATACTCCCGAACCCTACCAACCACAGGTCTCCTTTCTTATCTCGGCCGATCTCGCCTCCACACAACGAACGCCATAACAACGTTGTAGTCAAGTATCTCGTACCTCGCTCACCTTACCATTTACACCTGGCCTGGCCCGGCCTGGCCTTTCGACCTACATCCGCGCGGAAGAAAACACCAGGCGCATTGCATTGCATTGTATCCGCCTCGCATCTGTGTTCTTCTACCCAGCCTTTCGACGCCTTCTCCGCCTCAGGCTCGCCTACGCGCCTTCGATGCAACCTGTCGTCATAATCACCTGCCGCGCGAGGTCGCCATCGTGGCTCTGATCCTGAACCTGAAGAGAACTGGTCGTGTCGCTTCACCACACCCACCTGTCACCATTGTTATACATCCACCAGCTTGTCCAGAGCTTACTCCTGGATCTGTAACATCAGCGCCGCCTCCTCGCTGAGCGCGACAGGCTCGGCCGCGACCTAAACGCGATATCTCGTCCTCTTCTGCTGCAGCCTGCACAGCTTGCGACTTCTTCGTTCACATCCATCCGCGATCGAAGCCGCGAGAAGACCTCAACATGCCTACACCATCTGCTCCCGATCCTCACGCCCCATATGCCTTCTCCTCGACATGTCCAGAAACAGACGACTCTTCCACCTCCCGAGATGATACCCCTGTGAACTCGGCCCCCCACTCGATACGTCACTCCACGAGCGAGGAAGACGAGTCCGCCTCCAGACTGACCGCTGTGTCCTCTGCTGCTCGCTACGACGACACTGACGGGCCCGTCCCAGACATCGATCCCGATGCTGATATGTCGAGCACCGTTGCTGACAGCTCATCACCCTGTCTCGAGTCCCATAAGACACCAGAAGTCGACCTCGACCGCACAGACTCTCCCTCTGAACAGTCTCCCGTTGAACACATCCGAACCTTGACACCGCGACACGGCGTAGGGACTTCGCATCGGTCCGCTCGTCATATAGACATCGATGCGACATACAACCCACAGTACCAGCTTGGGCATGCCATGGAATATGACTACGGCTTGCCTAGTATGGGGCGTGGTTATCCTTCTGGGAGGGTATGTCGTCCCATCGCGCATAGGGTTCTTATATTTTGTATAAAGCTGAGACTGACAATCCTCTTCGGCTCAGGTCATCCCAACTTCCCCCTCCTCGTTTCTGCGGGCAGGAAGTCGCTTCACCGGCACGCAGCAGTCCGAGAGGCAGGTTTATGACGTTCAGGTCGAGATCAAATACGTCGATCTGCGAGAGTCCTCTCTCTGCGGATACCTACGCATCCAGGGTACGCCTGGCTCAGCCCTGGCCTGAGCTCACCATATACTCTTGATTCTCGTGTACATCTTTGCTAATGAGCCTCTTTCTAGGCCTCACCGATGACCATCCCACGCTGACGACATATTTTGAGGGCGAGATCATCGGAACGAAATACGGCTTCATGACCAAGCACGACAGCTGGGGTGCCAATGACAAAACGGATCTGTCCCACTGGTCCAAGTTTCCGGCCTTCCGCCCCTATTCTAAACAGGCAAGGAGGGGCTCTTCGGTTGTCATCAAGGACATCGCCCAGTCTGAATACATCTTCATGCGTTGGAAAGAACACTTTTTGGTACCCGATCACCGCGTCCGCACCATTACTGGCGCCAGCTTCGAAGGTTTCTATTACATATGCTTTAATCAAGTGCAAGGGGAGGTAAATGGCATTTATTTCCACAGCAAAAGCGAGAGGTGAGTGAGCCAAAGTCCTATGCACACGCTTTTGAGACCAGTACCACGCTGTACTCAGACCAAGAGGCCCACCACGCACTTTTGCGCTATTCTGACAGTCACCGCCCCTCAGATTCCAGCAGCTCGAGTTAAAACACGTCGAGGACAGGGGTTGCCTTGGGGCTTTGGAGTTCCGGTGATATTGGATAGCGGGCAGGGAGTTTTGGGGTTCCATGACTGGGCAGCAGCTACACTGCACGACGCATGAAACGGATGAAATACCGATGGCCGGAGCAACTCTGGCTTTGCCGCGGGACGACTTTGCCAACGGCCTCTCCAAAGGCAAGGAGACAGCATGTTATGATTTGGGCGACAGGTTGGCATGCTCCGATATGAGCGGCATTAGCACCTCCTTCTTTCCCGGGTTATCCGGGCATTGATGTAGCATGAGATATAGACAGATAACCTGCTACGTGCTCGGCTATCAGTCTATAGTGAGGAGAAGATTGAAGTATTAGACGACCGAAGTGGAGCGAGGTGCAGAAATACGAGAGCCGACTTGTGTGCTGATTGCTCTTTATGGGCGTCCCACAGTCGAGACCGGCGTCTATCAAGGTGGCGTCTCTTTTTGAAATTTGTTAAAGTACCCCTTTCTGAAAGGGTTGAGTTCCTCTGCTGTCACTCCAGCGTGCTGGGCACCTGCTCTGACCTCCCACGCCTCCAGGTCTGTCAGGCTGACGGACTCATCGGGCAGCTTGCGGTATGTGATTAGCCTGCGTGACCACTTGTTGAATGGCTGCACACAGATGGTAATGATCTCCAGGCAAGGGTGTGTCGGCACCCCGATTTCCTGATCCTGGTCGTTGGCGGTGGGCATCCAGAAGGAGAGCCGACCCCCATCGACGAGCGTCTCTGCTGAGAATTGCAGGATATCGTCGAGCATGGCAAGGAAGCTGTATGGCTTCTTGGGCGCAATGAAATCCGGATCTCTGTCGTCATCATCAGCCTTTCAACCCGAGATAGAAGTCACAACCTTCCTTCGGTTCGACTGAGCTTACTTGTACTTCGTGTAGCCTGCCTCAACCACCCAGGGCGTGCTCTCTGGATCTCGACAGCCGAGGACACGGAGGCCCTCCCTTACACCGTAGGGAGGATCACAGACTATGCCGTCGAACAGTCGCGCACGACCGCCTGGACCGCCACGTCCGAATGGTAGACGCCGCAGTGGCGTGTTGGTCAGGTCGGATGTGAAGATGTCGCCCAATCTACCAAGGAGCTCGTAGTTTTTGAAATTCCCGCGCAGAGTCTTCTCGCCCTTGACGAGACTCCTCTTGGCCTCTGCGCGGGAATCGTGGCCAGAGCCCCTCACGGCCCGTCCGTCGATGTCACTGCCCCAGCTGATGGCGCCAAAGGCCGAGCAGGCGATGGGGAAGCTGCCAGTGCCCACGAAGGGGTCGTAGAAGATCTTTCCGGGACCCGCGAGGGCCATGTTCGCCGTGACGAGGGCGAGCTCGGAGTCCATGGACGTCGTGCTGATGTAGGGTCTCTTCTTGAGATCGTACTTCTTCACAAGATCGCGGCCGCCCTTGCCGAGGAACCGGCCAAAGTGGTAGCGCGTGGGGGGCGGCGTTGACATGCGCGTGGGATCAATCGGCCACTCCTCGAAGATGGTGTAATCGTGGTCCGGATCCTTCATCCTGATGGGCCCATGGAGGGGCATGTAGCGGAAGGTGTTGATCATGTCCCGCCGCTCATCTGCAGTCCGGGAGCCCTGAAAGGAGTCTATGCTGAATTTCCACGAGCCCTTGCTGTAGCGCTCCCATAGATGTGAGGATTTTGCCTTGACGGACTGGTGGAGCTCGTCCAGAGAGCCGCCGCCGCCCCAGTACTCGTATACAGACTGGGTCAGGATGGAGCGGTGGACGAGTCGGACGGCAGCTTGTGCATCACGGGCACGGATGACACAGAAAGGTTTCTCCGGGTCATACGACACAACGTCGAAGGGAGCATCCTCGGCCACGGCCAGAGCCTGAAGCTCGGGAACACGGAAGGACTCATGCAGCTGGCCGAAACGGACGAGGAACTCCATCCTGTTAAGAAGGCCCGGTCGCGTATGTTAGCGCTGGCCCTGATTTCTTCCTGAAGGATGAGACTGGATTGCGTATCCGTACTCTGAGAACAAAAGTGGAATCGACGAGATGGACGACTAAAGATCTCGTACCTGGTCTTAGATGTAGACGCTTATAATGCTCGATTTGATACTGGCTGATTTTGGATCAAGTATTTCATCTTGTGCTGCGCTGGAGAATCAGCATGTTGTTTTGTGATCCTAATTGCTCCACCCTCAGTTTGGAGTCCAGTATAGAAACATTGGACCAGCTCGAAAGTCAGTGTCTCGTGTCGGGCAAGTGTTGAAAGGGCCTCACCAGAAAAGCCTGGGAACCAACCACGAGTGAAGATATTTAGTTATAACCCTAACCCTGGTACTGTAGTAGTCATGGGCAAGTTGACATTTCTGCACTTCAGAGCAAAATACTTACTTGTTCGGACCTTCTTCTCCATGTTTCCGCTATGCTCTTGCGGACACACTTGTTCATCTTGGGATATTCAGACTACAAAGTGCTCCAGTCATGTCTGGGGAGATGCTCTCATTCGGAGAGCCCACCGTCTATGAGCGGTCCAAGTGCTTCTTCACATACGGCCGCATGCCCTACCTCGACCCTAACCAGCCTCCAACCAAGTGGATGTCCAAGGGAAAGCCATGGTCGACGCTGGTGACACACGACTTCATACGAAGGGTCAGTAATCTTAGCAACTCCTTGGGGGTCTCTCTTCCCACCGAAAAGAGTCGTGAAAGCTGACTGTACCACCAGGTCGACCTCATTCTGCCACAGGAGACATGGCATCTACTTCGAGAGACGTTATTAGGTGTTTCGATTCCTCCTCCCGAGTTTCATCGGATTACCATGTCGCTTTCCCAAATATTGCAGGGCGAATTTTTCACAGAGTACATCAAGATTGGTGTGTAACCATCTGCCCTTTGATTTCTTCTTCCAGGGCCTGACCGTGGAGGTCTCGGCTCGTACTGGGCGCACTGTTCCTGGCACGATCTACTGACGTGTGTGCTGCGCAGGTAATATAATCATGCTTTCGCAAGGCCGAAGAGATGTCGACAACGTATTCACACTCAAGGACGGTGAGGATCCATCATTCTTCTCTTCCGCGTAGATGATTGTCGCTAACATCTGGCAGGCCAGCTAACCATGTTCCTGGAAAAGGAGACATATGAACGAGCTGGTCTGGTTGGGAAGCCTTACGGCGCCAAGGGGAACAGAGGTTTAAGGCCTCGGTGGGTAGTTCACTTCGATCTCCGGAGTCCATCCATGTTTCAGGGTAAGAAGGGCTTTGACCGGTTGATTCACGCTTGCAAAGATGTGCTTGACGAGCCGCGAACGTGGCTGTTCAGAAACGTGTCTTCCAAAGGTGGGTTAATTCTGCACCGCCTTCTTTCTTCTTCTTACTTTTTGGTTGGTGTTGTCTCTCTGCTACGACATCAGAAGTCTTGAAAGTTCACTTCTAAAAGATCTTCTATAGTGCCCATTCCCAACCCTCTGAATGCCTTTCACCCCATAAAGTGCAAGGCGTCTCCTGAGATATGCGAGGGCCTCAAGGTCACGTTGCCTCCACTCGAGCCGCCTTCCGACTTAGTCACTGACCTCGGCACCAACAACTTGCCAGAGGCGGTGGCCGATATTTATGAGTGGCTCTCGCTAGTCCGCCTCCAAAGCCCACGCATAACGGCAGCAGATGCTATCGACCCCTTTCTCAGCCGCTACGAAACCCCCGGCAGTCCAGACGAGCAGAGCGTGACCAAGCTATGCACCATCAGCTGGGAAGGCCTTCTCCCACCCTCATTTGCCCAGGAATTGCTTGCGGACGTCATCTCCAAACTACCTTCCCGCGGCTGGGTTTCCTTGAGCGTGTCATCTTTTTCCAAGACGTTGTACGGGGATGCTGCCGAAAGTACCTTTCTTCGGCCGCCGGGTGCCCCTAAAGAATATTTTCTTTGGGATATCAAAAGCCATGAGTAGTTCGACTCCGGGGAAATTTATGTATCATCCTTCCCGGGGCCGGACGTTACGATCCTCTGCCAGCTCCTCGCCCGAAATCGCCTCCTCGACCAGTTGCCGTAGCGCTGCCTGGCCAGCCGCTGTGTGGAAATCCTCCCTCTCAGCCAGCTCCTCGATGCGCCTCCTAAACTCCGGGTTGGGCAGTGCATCGCCGGTATCTTCTTCAGTCATGGTACCGATATTCACCGATAGGCCCTGAGGAGGCGGTGGAAGATCGCCATTGGCAAGTCCATTGACCGGCGCGGGCTGCACGATGTTCTCATTGGCCAGCCCGGACACCTCCTTGGTCGCGAGATAGTCGGCCACGGCTGGGAAGTCACCGTCTTGTTCAATCTTCTGACGTGCTGTCTGTCCCTCCTCGCCGGTGATGCTAATATCGAGCCCAAGCTCTTCGACAAGGACCCGGGCGGCCTCGACAGTCTCGACGACGAACAGGGCGGTCTCGGAATCCTCGTCACGCAGGTCGACAGGCACGTGGAACTCGTTGACTAGGGCACGCAGGAGATCAAGGTGATTGTAGCTCGCAGCAGCGTGGAGCAGTGAATACCCGTGATCATCCTGTTCAGAAGCGATAGAGGGGTTCTCGCGGAGCAGTGGCAGTAGTGCGGCGGGGTTGTCCGCGGCCAGGAGGAACGGGTTGGGCGGCATGGTGATGCTCGAGTTGTCGCGCGCCGAGAGCACAACAAGTGGACCCTGGGAGAGAGAATATCGTGGAATGCCACTCGTGCAACAGTGCCTGATTGACTGACGATGAGATCGATGCACACAGTAACGAGTGTCCCAGCCCCGTTTGGATTCGTTGGGTGGTTGCCACACGTCAAGTTGCACCTTCTGAAATTTCTCCAGTCGTTGGCGGGGTCTCACGTTCCTGCATAAATTCGTTAGGCGCATATTTTCTTGACAATCGGGCCAGAGATATGCGCCAAACCCTGGAAATCTCAATATCGGTGAGATAAATGGTACATTACTTGTAACGCAAGAGAGTGGCGTTTTGAAATGCTCTACAACGTTTTTTACCATGGGATGTTTCCTGCTAAGTATTATTTGATAATTGCACTCGACGAACTGACTTCTTGACGATGCTGGGTCGGATCGCGTGCTCTAAGGAGAGGCATGTGGTGGCGTGGAAAGCAATTTATGGTAACGATTCGTACTAGGACTGAGGAATCAACACGTGAGATGTCTATAGTAATGATGGCACCCAAGAAGGGAGATGCTCAAGTTGCCCTGAGATGTTATGGAACCTCAAGTTGGTCGGCGGTGCAAAGTGCCGCCAGACAACCATGGCCTTGCCACAGGAGTGAACATCTTGACTCTGGAACCCTCTGACCAATCTGTGCACTTGCTGGGAACTCATTCAGCAAGAGAGAGAGGCCTTACTATTGTGGGGGGAAAAGGAAATTGTTAAAAAGCCCCACAGTCCAATGAACCTCTTGCGCCCGCCGCCCCCCCCTTGCACCTGGCCACGCTAAAATTTCAATTAGTGGCTTATGTAAGTCAATCGCACAATCCAGGTGTGGTCTCCCGAAAATTCGCAGCAAACTCCACCCCGACATTTCAATCTTTAAGAATCTTAGCATTGACAACTCCATCACCAACGCCATCCTCAGTCCAAGATGCCTACTCGATTCTCCAAGACCCGCAAGGTATGCCCAATACTCTCCGAAGAAACAGATCATTACAGCAATCAAGGATTCAGGGCAGACGTAACTGACTTTTGGATGATTGAAGCACCGCGGCCATGTCAGCGCCGGTAACGGTCGCGTTGGCAAGCACAGAAAGGTACGAGACGATCGAAATATCCTTCCACAGCGGCCAGGCGGCGCAAACATCTCCAACGCGAAAGATGAGCCTGAGAACGAACCTGCCTTTCGAACACGATACTGACGGACCTCTCTTCATCCTACAGCACCCCGGTGGTCGTGGTATGGCCGGTGGTCAGCACCACCACAGGACCAACCTTGACAAGTACCATCCTGGTTACTTCGGTAAGGTCGGAATGAGGCGCTTCCACCTTCTTCGGAACCAGCAGTGGAAGCCTGAGATCAACGTCGACAAGGTGAGCACTTATTCCGTCCACTCCCCAATGGACACACGGACGACACCGTGGGGTCTGGCTACAAGCAGACGGCCCAAGCAGTCACTGACATGTCTCTTTTCTCCTCAATACAGCTGTGGTCTCTGGTCCCCGCCGACCTGCGCGAGAAGCACATCAACAAGTCTGCCGATACCGCCCCCGTCATCGATCTCACCGCCCTCGGATACGCCAAGCTGCTCGGCAAGGGCCGTCTGCCCGAGGCTCCCATTGTCGTCCGCGCGCGCTACGTCAGCAAGCTGGCTGAGTCGAAGATCACCAAGGCCGGTGGCGTCATTGAGCTGGTTGCTTAAAGTGAGGTTGAAGAAAGGCGGCAGCACGTTTTGGGGAAGGGGGGAATCTACAGGGATAGGCAGGCAGGCATGGACACAAAAAGCACTTTTCGCAGAATCGGTCGCATGGGCTGGCTGAAGGAATTTCCATCTGGCGTCTATCGGTTTTCCAGTGTCTAGAGCAATGACACAAATCTTACGATGAACAAAGAAATACCCTACCTACAACATGATCGACATGAAGGGGGGACACGCCCTGTGGCCGTTGCGGCGGGTGCCCGAGGTCTTGTTGGTGGGACGGAGCGACTTTTGCTGATGACTAGCATTAGGCCCAAGCCCATCTCACGAGCGTCGGCAGGCTTTCCATAGCACAAAAAGCAATTCAACGGCGCTGCAGACGGATACACAACCAAGACTCTTGTGTGACATTCGAGAAGGAGGCACGGTGTTAGGGACGATCGCCAGCTGTGACCAGGAGACATCACCACCCTTGCATTTATATCTGCCACCCATCCCGGCTCCAATGACCAATAGTGCCTCCCACATGCACAAGCTGCGGTCGGCCCTGCTCTGCTTCATCGGCTGGCCTCTACCTGGTGTACATGTCTTTTGAGAGAACTCTTAAATGGTCTCTGTGTCCTGAGACCCTCTGGTGTCGAGATCTCGAGCCTCTGATGTAATGTGATTTTGATCTTGCAACGTATCTCGCACTTGACACTGAATTTCAAGCAAGTAGCTGACTGCAGCTGATTATCGATCCCCCTCTCGGTACGTTTGGTAAAGCTTCCCATGGACCCCCAACACATGGCTGGTTGCCTACCACCATTAAGGTCTGTCCTTGGCACAAGCAAAGCAAACAGAAGCTGACCTATAATCCTGTTTCGTGCACCATGCACTGTGTACGACAGTTGTCTCTGCACCTACCAATAGACTCAGCGGATCAGGATCCTCAGCCCCCATTAGGCTCGGCTTGGTGGTGCAATGATACGCCACAGGGGGAGGGTAGGCGCCTTGGCATAGGCAATCCACACCGAGGTGACGACGTCACGGAGCCAGCGAGGGCCAACCTGGCTCTGAAAAGACAGTACAAGAGGCCGCCGTCGGCTGAATCTCGAGCAGCTGTCTTCGTCCGCTCACATTATACCATCTTTTCCTTTTAAAGACCAATAACACTCTCCCATATCTCACAGCCCAAATCTCGGAAGGCAAATATCACAATCATGGACTTTGTCAAGAACCTCACAGGCGGCGGTAAGGAAGGCGGGCAGCAGGGGCAACAGGAGGAGCAGAGGACTGGGGGCGGTGGTCTGATGGACAAGCTCAACAACGTGGCTGGAGGTGGTGCTGCGGGAGAGAAGAAGGAAGATGGTCTGGACAAAGGTGTGTATATATCTCGAGCGGCCCTGTCACCACCTCCTCACTTCAAACTCCAGAGCGGAACCGTACTAAGCGAGCACATGGGGGAGCACAGGTGTCGACTGGGTTCAGGAGAACATCCTCAAGCAGGGTGACCAGTCAAACGAATCTGCTGTCGAGCAGGCCAAAGACGAACAGATCTCGGGTGAGTCAAATTTCCATAGGAAGGAAAAAGACGGCAGCATGCATGACTGGTGGACTCACTGCTGATGTTGGGACCTGGTTAGACTTCATCCGCAAACAGTACAAGTCCCAGACTGGGAGTGATTTTCCTGTCGCAGACAAATAGGGGATACGCTGCAAAGGGCAACTAGAATTGATGTCAACTGTCCACGATACGGAGATAGACTCTTTCTGGGCAGGCCAGCTCTCTTCGCAAGAGGCACTCTCTCTACATTGACATGAGAAGAGGTTAGGCTATCCAGACAGCGAAGTGAAAGACGCAAACACGCACGTGTTCTATACAGACAGTATAATATCTACTATAGCATCCGAGCTCAGTAGTCTGTCTTTATAGAACTGATCGTGTTCACCTTCTCTTCCCTCTCGTATACGGATTCCCATTCATTAGTCCTTATAAAAATAGCAAGTTGGCATTGAACAATGTTTGCATAGACATGTGTATATTTGCATGTTTAATTGCTGTTCATACTGATGATTTATTTATCCCGGTTGGCGGGTGGCTTGAACGGAACTACGGAGTATCCGCCGTGTCCGTCAGGGTCCTCGGACACGGCGGCAGTTTTGGGTGGGTGGCTGACGCTAAAATACCCACTGCATGCGAGACACAGTTGAAATCCATCCATCCATCCATCCATCCACCACGACCTTACCTGAGACGCCCTTCGTTTTTGTATTTCAGAGTACACGCACAACAACAACGTACACGAGTCTCTGTGCTCTCTTTCTATCTAATATCTAGGGTAAAGAAAAAGGAACAGTCAAAGAAAAGGACAAGACGCAAACAGGAGCAACGATTCTTTCCAGTCCTCCCGCCAAGTTTCTACGTTGATCTTCCCATACGCCTCCCGCTATGGACTACGTCGAGCAGCGCATGGCCCAGGAGGCCCAGAGAGCCGCCGCGTAAGTTCATGATCGTCTCGAGGCGTTCTCCCCGTCAGAACCAGCGCTCCGGAGCTCTGCAGAGGGTATCAAGAAGCCTCGTTCGCTGACCACCCATTGCAAACAGGAGCCCGTACGGCGATGCCTTCATCACACCTCTGAACGTCCTCCTGCTCTCACTCCTAGGCTACACCCTCTACGCCTTCCTCAAGCCCACGGTGACTACCGTACTCCCCAAGGAGCCACCTGCCACCGTCTTCCGCACCTTTACCCCGCGCACCTTACTCCCTTACAATGGCGAGAACGGCAACCCCATCTACTTTGCGGTCCGCGGCCGCGTCTTTGATGTCACGAGCGGTGCCAACTTCTACGGCCCTGGCGGGCCCTACGAGAACTTTGCCGGCAGGGATGCGTCCCGTGGTCTGGCTTGCGGCAGCTTCGACCAGGACATGCTCACCGAGGATCTCGACGGCCCTCTCTATCCCTTGGACAAGCTGCAGCCCGACGAGCTGGAGGCACTGCAGGGTTGGGAGGATCAGTTCTCGTCCAAATACCTTGTCGTCGGGAAGCTGGTTCCCGTTGGCGAGGAGGAAGACTAGGATTGCGACTGTCCGTGTTCTATGGTTTGCTGTAGATCAGCTCCTCGTTATCTAATAGACTGTTCTTACTTCCCCTCTCAATGTCCTCGTTCTCAGCTCAATTATGAGACTTACAAGTTCCTCAGGCAATGGTTTGGACGAAGAATGCGGAGATTTGAAACCCCCTTGACTGCCACGTACCAGATCAATGTCTATATGGGCATCCATTCATTCTTGACAAGTGTCAAAGCTGATGTCGGCGTCACTTGATTTGGTTCTAGAATCCTCGCATACCCCCCTCCCCCCCCCAACACACACACACACACACACACACACACACACACTGTTGATGTTCCTGAAGGCGGTAACTGGTCATTATTATTTTGCCTTATTTGATTCTCCAGCAGCCCGTTGACCTGGATCTCTCTCTGTGTCCCAGCACAAGTACCCAAACGTTGCTTTGAGGCTGTGATGCCAGAAACGTTTGATGATAGTACAGGAGCGTGAACTCGATCTCACCAACAACCAGGGGCCATTCTGGTTTGAGATAACACATCTTCGCGCATCCTTATCAGCATTCAAATCAAGCTGTCGAAGGAGGAACTAGACCTCCGCTGGACGATACAGCTCCCCTCTTCAATATGGCTGCCCTTTGGTCTCACCAGGCGCGTGGTCTGTTTGCCGAGTCTCAAAAAAACTCATCGTGCTGGAAGCGTCCACCCAAATGCTCTTTGGAGACCCTGAGACAGATTTGTCCCGTTCGTGTCTCTGCGAGGTTTACACTCTGCTGTTCCGCGGCAGTGGAATCGAGCAACAAGGTTTTCGACACGACTTTCGAGTATGTACCTGCGTTCCGAAAGCTTTCCTAGAGTAGACGACAATGATGAAGACGACGCCATGCATCCCAGAAGGAAGAGGAACAGGTTCTTCTTTTGTTGGATGCAGGGCAGATCTGACTGCGCAACCCCTAGGCCTCTCACATCAGACAAGATGATGTTGCGTGGACCATGGATTGGCCGCGGCGCCTTGCATTTCTGAGTGCTGTTATTTGGGTGGGTTCCGATTCCTTGCTCGTCATTTACAGGAGCGTCGCCACTCATTCTGGTCTGTTGTATCGCTTCTGATGATTGACGATTCGAGTTTTATTTTAGAGGATCCGTGATTCACTCTGCAAACAACAAAGTCTCACCGGAGACGGGGCCTGGACGGAAAGCTTGTTGTATATTGAACGACATGGCTGTGGACTGACTCTGCGGTTTGTTTCATTTGGGTTGAACTGCGGCCACTGGGCCAAGGCATGCAATGCAACAAAACGATGTGACTCCGTAGTGTCGTCTTGTGACGTTGAACAAGAGACGACAAAGGGAAGCAGTGGGATGTACCACCACAGGCCCAAATCTTCTTACGCCAGATGCGCAAATACTCCAAGCCCTGAGGTGGCAAGAAGCCAAGAGCGGAACATTGGCATGTCGTCAGTCGCCACATGGTCATGCTCCTGCTGAAATTGGAGCGTCACCTCACTTGCGCAGTGATCTCCTCTCACCTATCACGACGACACGGTAGAAGGGGCGGAAGGATCGAGTTGTGATTCATTCATTCATCCCATCCGCCTCCAACAAAGCGAGAAGCAAAGTTGATCGGAAGTTGTCGTCGTCTCTCGTTTGTCTGTCCTCGGTGGAGCATCTGATTATCGCAGGGATTCTCTCGTGTGGCCACTTTCCGCATCCAAGCATGCTACGACGACAACAAGGACCAATGGCACTTGCGATGGTATCAAATTTGGACCACGGAAAAAGGGAGGACATTAAGTGACCAGATCCACAGCGGGACGGGCGGTTTTTATTGGGACTGCCGAGAGATAAGTAGCAGGACGGGCAAAATATATTGGAGAGGTCCCACTCGATAAGCTTTCAGCTCTTGAGCGCCGACTCAAGTTATCATTGCGCTTTCCCAGAGCAAGCCAGGTCAGGCTCTGTATTCTGTGGCGGCCGACCGTTGTAGGAATAGTCGTATATTTTACTACTGTCGGGTTATTTAGCTCGTGTCTCTTCCTGTGCTGTGTACTTGAAAGAGGGAAACGACAACATTGTGAAGTCTTGGATGACAACGCGGCGAGTCGAAAGGAGAGCTTCAAGATGAAGGCTGAGCCAAGAATCTTTGCTTGGGCCGCCACGCGGAGTGTCATCTGTATGTGTCACTTATCAGCTATAGCCAAAGTTTCTTGATCCATGATCTTCCCACTTCCGCCCATGTCATCAGACATGTTTTCCTTGGTAAAATTGCTATACAGTACACTTACAGTACTGTGCATTACGACGATCCTCCTCCTCCGCCCGTTATTTTCTCTACTAGGACGTAATATCTGGCCCAGAAGAAGGGGGGGAGGGTGTTGGCTTGCGGACAACGGCTCGGATCCGAACGATGCTCCCTCACCCACGAGGTGCAGAGAGTGTGTGACCTCGTTCTGACCCCTTTGTGTGTCCTTCGAAAAAGGCAAAGGCGAGTGGATTCGTGACGCAGCAGCAGAAGGAGTATGGATCCAACCGAACCTGCTCCTGTTCCTGGTGCGTGTGTGCTGTGTGAGTAGATATGCAGCACGGCTGTATGAGGCAAAGGATCGCCTTCTAGAAGACGTCGACTGCAAGAAATGTGCATGGGTGATCACTGTTCCATGAAGATGAGGTGTTGGCTGCCGCATTGTGACAGTCACTGCAGTACATACTTTGGTGTTTGTGTACCTCTTTCGCATCCTCTCCCCTCCTTCTTTTGTCTCCTTCCTATCGACGATCTTCCCACCATAACCGATCCGAGCTGCGAGTTGACGCATTTCAACGGACCCGCTCTTATAATTCCAACAGAGACTCTTTTTATATAGCTTGGCAGGAAGTGTCGACAGGTCTCCCCCAAGCCTGCTTACCTGTCTATTAGTATGCCGCCTGCGAGTCGAGCCACCCAGCCTGTACGAGCGCGTACTGTGCTCCTCCAAGTTTTGTGTTTCTGTTTGCGTCCGCCCCCCCCCCCCCCCCCTTTCTCTCTCTATTTATTTCTATGCAGAGAAAAGCACACGAGAACGACAGTGATCTGCATCCCAAACTCACCCCCTCCTCCCCCACGCTCGCTCCACCTGCGATGTCCTCTGCAGCCTGAGCAGAGTCTCCACCGATTCCTTTCTCTCTCAGGTAAAAAGCATGACATAAAAGAAGGTGCATATATCATCGTACCAACTGGATGTGCAAAAGTGGGAACCAGTGGGTTCTCTCGCTCATTTGTACATGAAGTATGTCGTATGGAGACGTGGTACCATGCGTGTTTATTTGTGTTGAGTGGACTGCAGAATGCATGCCCGACTTTCTGGGTCCTGGGTCCTGATCTTAGAATCAATCATATATTCTTTGGACCCCCTTCACTAGTTCTTGTCCTGTGTGGCCACTCTTGCTTGCCAGGAAAACACGGCCCTCTCGCTTTAGGCGGCTTCTACGGTTCAGCAGAGAAAGGACCTGTCCTGTATTCACAAACCAAGCCAGCCCGGCAGACAACATGGGCTCAAGTGAAGAACACTCGACCGAGAAGTCGGTGCCTCCCTCTCCGACCAACGGTGATGTTGGCGCGGGTGTCCTTACGGACCATGGCGCGGAGAGTGAGCTGCACAGGCGTCTGAGCAGCCGGCACGTCACCATGATTGCGCTTGGCTCATCCATCGGCATGGGTCTCTGGCTCGGTAGCGGAACCAGTCTGGCCAACGGCGGCCCGGCTGCTCTCTTCATCGGCTGTAGGCATTCATCCTGTGTCGTGAGGTGGCGGTGTTGTTGTTGTTGTTGTTGTTGTTGTTGTTCTTGCTGTTTGACGACGTAGAGAGAGATTGGCTGACAAGGGGACGCCTCAGACATCCTTTCCGGAACCATGATCTGGTCTGTCTCGCAGTCTATCGGTGAGATGGCCATCATGTACCCCCTACCCTCGGCCTTCGTACAGTGGACCAATAAATTCGTCGACCCAGCCGCCGGCTTCGCGCTGGGCTGGTGTTACTGGTTCTCCTGGTGGATCACCATTGCCAACGAGCTTGCTGGTCTCGTGACAGTGCTGGGCTTCTGGGAAGGGAGCAGCAAGATACCCACGGGAGGTTGGATTGCTATTTTTCTGGTCGTTATAGTGCTTGTGAATATCTGCGCTGTCAACTACTTCGCCGAGACCGAGGTCGTCTTCGCAGCCATCAAGTTCGGCTGGATCTTCGTCATCATCATGTTCGTCTCCCTTGGCTCTGACGTAAAAGAAAAAGAAAGAACCAAAAAACATGGAAAGAGAAGAAGAGTCCTGCTGACATGAAAGCCGACAGCACCATGATTGTCATCTCCGCTGGCGGCGCACCCAAGGGCGGCCCAATCGGGTTCAAATACTGGGACACAACTCACGGCTTCACCAACGGCTTCAAAGGGTTCCTCGACATCATGCCCACCTGTATCTTCGCCATGTCCGGCTCCGAGGCCTGCGGTCTCGTCGCCGCAGAGACCGAGAACCCGCGACAGTCGGTTCCCAAGGCTGTCAACTCCATCTGGATCCGCCTGGGTCTCTTCTATGTCGTCGGCTCGCTCATGATCACCATCACAGTCAGCCCATACAATGAGAATCTGTTTGGCGGCACGGGTACAAACGCCTCGCCGTTCGTCATCGCCTATAGAGATTCTGGTCTCGAGCCTTTGGCGCACATCATGAACTTCATCATCTTCATCTCCGTCTTGTCCACGGGCAGTATCTCGGCATACTCTGGTGCCAGGACTCTCGTCGGCCTCTCTGAGATTGGCATGGCTCCCAAGGTCAGTCTGCTTGACGCCCTATGTCTGCTTTCGTATCCCCGACATCTGCCCACAGACAGAATCTTGTTTGCTGACTTTTCTTCTCCCTTTTCTGGCTTTGTAGAAAATGAGGAAGGCCGACAGGATTGGGCGTCCCTGGTGGGCTCTCGTGCCGACACTTATCATTGGTGGTGGTCTTGCGTTCCTCAATGTCGACCAGACTGGCACGACCGTGTTCACATGGTTCTCCAACCTGACGTCTCTCATCACCCTGTTCGGATGGGCCATGATCTGCTTCTCCCACATCAGGATGCGGCACGCATGGAAGGTGCAGGGCCGCTCCGTCGACGAGCTGCCCTGGAAGACCTGGACGTTCCCCGTGGCTGCTTGGTGGGGGCTGGGCTGGTGCATCCTTCTCGTCATCGCCGAATTCTACCTCAGCATATGGCCCCTTGGCGACTCCCCGAGCGCCAAGAACTTCTTTGCCAACTTCGTCTCTATTATTGCTGGCGTGGTCATCTGGCTCGGCGCTCGCCTCTACTACTACCTGACAGAGAAGTCGGGCTGGTGGGTTAACTCTCGCACCATCGACCTTGACGCAGGCCGGCGGTTCTACTCGGCGGATCAGGTTGAGGATATCGAGAACAGTGCAGTTGACAAGAAGGCGTTCGGCTGGATACGGAGGAAGATCTGAGTTGACTGTACGACCCGCGATGGAAACCTGCTGTCACATCAATTGGCATTGTTCACGTCATTGAAAACCCCTACAGTACGCGTAAGATTGTATGCGGACACACTTACCTTTTGTGTGTCTTAATTTACACCCTTATAAACCACCAAAGGAGTATGAAAGCCTACTAGGCACCTTTATCGATTATGTCATGTTGAATCTGGCCTTGAATATGCAGTGTAATTAGGAGGCGAAAGGTCAGGATCTTGTCGCGCCCCAACGGTGTGCCATCAAAAGTCGCAGGCTATCTTGGGGCGTTATCCACTCTTCACCGACCTAAGTGTGCCTTTGCGCTTCGTATCTTTGCGGAGAATTCCACTTGACCACGGAGTGTCTCCTGCGAATCTCTTCATGGCCTCACTTCGATCTCCTCTGCCCCTTCTCCCTTATCCACCTTTTCGTCAAGATGCATGTTCAGCGCGTGTTGCCCAGGGATGACTGTCCTGCCACGAGATGCGAAAACGCCGCCGGTGAAGCCCTTCGTAAACAAGAGAGGTATATCCTCCAACTCTATGCCTTTCGTCTCCGGGTAGAAGAAGAACACCATAGGGATGAAGAAGGAATTCAAGACAGCAAAGACGATAAAGGTACGCCACCCGATGTTTTCTACAGTGTCATGGGTGGTGTCAGCGAGCAGGGAGAGACAACACCAAGTAGCGAGACAGACGGGAAAGAAGTGGTTATCACTGACCAAAAGAGATCGGGGTGATCTTGACTACGGCGAACACCGCCATCCAGTTCCAACCAGACGCGATTGCTTGCATTCTGGACCGTACACGCGTTGTCGAGAGCTCGGAGGGGTAGAACCACGGCACGGGAAGCCAGCCGATGCCGTAGCAGAGCTGAAAGATGAAGATGAATGCGACGGCCGTATAGGCTGCTCCCTGGGTTCCGACCGAGAGCAAGATCGTGACGGCGATGAAGCACAGGCACAGCCCCGCTGAACATAGCATAAGCAGGGTCCGCCGCCCGTATCGATCCATCAACAGGACCGGAATGGCTGAGCCGACCAGATATGTACACTGAGCGCACCCACCGAGGATCAGTGATAGGTTGCGAGTCAGGCCCATGTCATTTTCGAGGATGGAGGGCAGATAGTAATTGATCATGTTGGATCCGCTGAACTGCTGGCCCAGCTGGACCGAGATGATGAGCAAGAGCCGTCGCAGATTTTGGGCCTCACCCCATGTGAACAGCTCCCTGATCCTGAACGGGCCGTCCTTGTGCTCCTCTTCCAGACCGGACTGGATGTCAAGGAGGGTCTTGCTGACCTGGGCGTCGTCTAGAGGCCTGTCCGTGATAGCCGCAATGACGGCCCTCGCATCCTCGTGCCTGTCGTGCGCGACCAGCCAGCGGGGTGTCTCTGGTAAGCCGATGATCTGAAAGATCAAAAATATGGCGAAGACGGCCTGGAAAGCGAAAGGGAAGCGGTAGGAGAAGGAGGATGCCCCGGAGAACGAAGCACCATAGTCCAACCAATAAGCTTGAGCACGAAAGCTTTCTTGTTAGCCTTCAACAGCCTCATCTTCAGAACCAAATAAAATATCGAGGAAGGCCATCATTGTGCAGGGGAGAGGGATGGGTAAGGGACTGCGCACCTATCACAACTCCGAGTATGGTCACTGTCCCCTGGAGCGTCAACAAGGCTCCTCGAATATTGGCAGGTGAGCACTCGCTCTGGTAGACCGGGGCTGTCGAGGAGTTCATGCCGTTTCCGAAACCTGTTACTATGCGACCCACGAGCAGCTGGGGAATGGTAAAGGAGGACGTGAGGATGGCTGCGCCGATGATCATGATAGCGCCACCGACCATGAGCATCGTCCTGCGACCATACTTCTCGCCGATAAAGTAACAGGCGATAGATCCAAACACACAGCCAATGTCGTACAGGCCGGTGATGTCGCCCTGCATGGCAGCTCCAGGGTCGTCAAAATCGTGGGCAAAGGCATTGTTGGCACCGATGATGCCTGACATGACACCTGTGATATTCAGACGTTAGGGGTCAGCCATTTGGATCAAGTGTTCGTGCTGAACCCTTTACCTTGATCGTAGCCTAGCAACAAAAATGCCTGGCAGGAGGCGGCCGTGATAGCCACGATGAGCTTCCGCCCCCGGAAGTTGTGTCTCCAAAGATACATGTCGCCGGATCGATATGTTGGTGTTTGGCCAAGATACGAGACTCGATAGAGGGCATCTGTGTAGGGTAACGGTGCAAAGTTCAGATCAATATTGACCCTCAAGAATTGTTGCTTTTTCTGTCTTCTTAAGCTCGTCATTGATTGTCCCGAAGTTATATCAACCCACAAAAGTACCTGGCAGCTGGGGCAAAGTAGTAAGCAGACCAGCCTCTGACAAAGACAGTCTTGACGATGAGAACCCCTGGCATCCTGCTGCGTTTCTGCTCTGTGTAGACACCGAGCATTACTGGACTTGCTCACAGGTAAGCCAGGGATAGCAGTTGTCGCTGTGGTTCGGGGCTGCCTCCCCACCCAGACTTGCAGGGAGTTCGCTCCGCTGCACGCTTTGTGCTGCATGCGGAGTGCCAGCGGCTGCACCGAAGAGGTGATGTCTCGGGTGATCAACCCCCCGAAGTGCCAGTTCTCATACCATTGCAAGCAAACTTCTTTCAAAAGAGAGTAGAGCATGATACTTCGACATACTTGACATTTGATCTTGTGGAGGTGTCACTTGACAGTCTGTCGTGATGGGTTTCAACGAAAGCCAAAATCAGAAAAGAAAACCAAATCACGGCGCACACTGCCTCGAACACGGTTGGCCTTGATGATTGCAAGTGGCTTCGGCTCCAGGACGACTATCTGATAGCCTCATGGCGTCCTTTTCGTCCCGACCAATGTGGATGTCCGAAGACACTCTGTCACTTCTCTTTCCCAAACGTCGAGATGTCTACCTCCAAGGGCGAGAGCGTTGACCGGCTTACGGTATTGGTCATGTCAGCATCAATCTTGCGACATCGACTTGCCTCTTGGACACTCTAGCATATCATTGCTGCTCGCCCGACGTGGATGTTCTCCCAGGACGTCCTTGTCGACGAAGTCATGTGGAAACCTTGACCGTATGACCTTCAACCCCCGAGCAGGTGTTGACGTGTAAGTCGTCCGTTGGCATCGTCTTTTTTGACGGGGACGACTGGCAGGCACATGGCTGTTGGAACTCGGTGATGCATGTTTCTCAAGTCCAGGGAGCGCGTAGGTCGAGATGATGTTTGAATAGTTGTCCAAGCCAAGTCGGAGAGTAGAGACGGGTCCGGAGAAGGTAAAAAAGGTTGACATGTTTTTTGACCTCGCCCTATATGCTGTTATAGCCCTTTGCTCCTTCTCCACGTCAGGCCACTGTGCACATGATCTACGACTGAGCATGTAGTGGCCATGGATGGCAGGCGCAGATAGCACTCGCGTAGGTGCTACTCATTACGATACTATGTATATATGGAAGGTGCTGTCTTCTGTGCATACATACTATCCGTGACAGCTCAGCGCTTTACCCAATCAGGTTTGAAGCCAAGCCACACCCGCCTACGCCACGATTGCCTCATCAGTGGCTAAGGCCTGAACGACGTCAACGGGTTCGCAGGGGTCCGACGGCCAGCTCCTCCCAAAACAATATTTCTTGATGCATACCACAACAACAATAACAGCACGGGGTCAGACCGAAGAGCTCGCCAACCCAGCCCAAACTCAGACAAACCAGACCGGGCCTGGCAAAGTGCCCGACAAAAAGGCCAGGCTGAACATCGATCGATGATGATCGGCCCAACTTTAGCGCCCGGGGGCTGTTCAGGGCGTACACAACAAATAAAAACCTGATTTGTCGCCACGGCTCGGAAACAAGGACTGCATCAAAAAGTCTGGTCGTCGAATGAGCGTGTATCATGTATATTCCAAGGCCAATCGACCAGCATCATCTTTCAGCGCCACTTGCCCAGCTTTGGGGCACCCAACCTCCTCCGGCCCACCACAAACTCGCACACCAAAGTCATAGTACGTCCATCTTCTCAGAGTGCTTGGACTGCAGCACCATGTAATCTGCCTGTCTACTTACAAGGTTATGTTAACGTGGGCACTAGGACGCCAATCACTACCCATAATTGTTCATATCCCCATCCATCCATCACGCTCATCCCCCTTCCTGGCTCCACCATCCAACTTCTCTGATATTCCCCCCGCGCAATCACCCCTGGCCAGTCAGCAAACATGATGTCAGTCGGGGCTCACTACTATGGTACGGTATACTATTGTCATCATAGTCTGGGGTAATAGCCCTGGCCAACCCACACGCGGCTCTCGCTCACCTATCTGTGTGTTTCTTTTCTGCTATCTGGGCCGTTGGTGTCTTTTGATGACCTCGGGGCCTAGATGAGCTATCTACAAGGTCTGTCTGATCGCTCGGGAGCTGCTTGAATTGGTAATTTCATCGCCGCCACCATCATTCTTTATCCGTGACCTACATTGTCCGCCTGGAGAAGGCCGAAAGGGCCTAGCAGAAGAGTGGAAGAAGAAAAGGAAGGCCCTCATGATGAAACGTGTATTGATATGACAGGAACTTTGTCGTTGATTCTCTGGAGTAGGTCATTCAGAACGTCTTCACAACGGTGGGGAAAAGATCGGTATCGAGTGTACCCGAACAGATCAACATCAAGACACGGCAGGTCTCGCCAAATTTGGGAAAAGGCCATGTATGAAATTCCATCTCTTGGTCCTCCAGGGGCTCTCTCGATTCTGCTGTATGACCTCATCCCCCTCTGGAAACCCTGTCTTGACGAATCGAACCGATGCAACGCTTGTTGTTCATCCACCACACCACACAGGCACAAGTATCCTCTCAGCGTTCTCCTGTCTATCGCCCCCCCGTCTCCCTCCCCCTGGAGTTCCTTTTTGCATGGTGGCAATATCACCATGAGCAGTAGTGGTTGGGCCCGTTGTCCCTTGGAAAGACTAGTTTGTTCTGTCATGGTCCCCCCCCAATGGCACATAATTACATAGTACATGCTTATAATTATACCCATCACGAAAGAATTCATTACATATTCTATATTGTTAGCTTCAGGGTCCTCTTGACCGTTTTGGTTTCCCCCTTCTGCTTTCTCCCGCATCATGTCCTCTGAAGAACTATCTCACTTTTCTCATACCATTCTCGCCGATACTCGTCGGCCAGGATTTCACCAGCGGAACACACAGGACCGCCTGCGTGAGTCTACCAGGTCGCCACCTATGCCTAACAGCAACATCAAGAAGAACCGGAGGTCCGTCTTCAGGGAAGTGGGCCTCATCCCAGACAACGACTGCGCCACCGCTCTCATTGTCGAGGAGCCTATCCAGGAGGCGAGGAGGGAACCCGCTAATAGACTGCCGCCGCTGGATACGAGGTCTGCTGAGCAAGGTTCCACAACTGCTCACGTGCACGAGGAAGAAGAGGAAGAAGAAGAAGAAGGAGATATTGAATCTGAGAATGGCGGACATCGGGACGATGACGAGATGACGGGCCAACAGCAGCAGCAGTCGTCCCCATCTGAAGCATCTTCGTCGACGACACAGTCTCCTACGAGCAAGACGCCGTGGTACGCCAAGCTCGCAGCAGGGAGAAGACCTCGCGTGAGGACAGGCGGCTCGAGTGCACCGCCGTCTCCCGTCCTTAGTCTGCCCACCATGACCATGCTTGCCCTCGCCGTTGCTCTCGTCGCTCCACTGGTGAGTCGGAGCGACCACGATCCCGCTGGTATTGTGGACGCAGGTCCCATCTCCATCAGGACAGACAGTCCGACAGACGTGTGTGCTAGATGGGCACAGCAAAGTAAGTTTGACACTGAGAAGGGGGGGGGGGGGAGGAAGAGCGGGAGAGCATCAGCATCTGCAGGAAGTTGTTGTCGTTTGTCTTGTTCTTGTTCTTGCTGTTGTTGTTGATGATGATGATGATTATAATAATGATGATGGCATCACTAACCACAACCTTTTCCACCCTTCTCAGCTGCCCTCCTGAACGGCACCTTGTTCATTTATGGAGGCGAGGCCAAGACGAGCGAGGACCAGGTGAATAACACATGGAACAATGACTTCCTCACCCTGGATCTCACCTCCTCTTGGGACGCAAGCTCGCCCGCCCTGACTGGCCTGGCCCAGCCCAGCGGGCCCCCAGCCGTCTCCCTGGGTTATCTGTGGAACGACTACAACAACCTCTATCTTTACGGAGGCGAGTTTGCCGACAACCCTTATGTCGAACCAGCCGCGGTGGCCACCTGGAAGTACGCCATCAGCTCGGCCACGTGGACCGAGTATACAGACCTCGTGACGTCGGCTGGCAACAACTCGGCAGCCGGCGGCGTGGCCCTGCAGCGAGCAGCAGAGGGCGCCGGCGTGAGCGTCCCAGAGCTGGGGCTGAGTTGGTATTTCGGCGGCCACCTCGACGACTCCACCACGCCCGGTTGGAGCGACCAGGTCGCGCGCGTCTACCTCAAGAGCCTGCTCGAGTTCACCCACCCAGGCTACACCAACGATGCCGTGTCCTCGCTGTCGGGAACAGGCGCACCTGCCGCGGGCGTCTACCGAAACATCACGCAGGGCGGCCTGCAGACCAGCACTGGCTTCGGCGAGCGTGCAGACGGCGCGCTGGTCTTTGTCCCTGGCTGGGGCGCCTCGGGCGTGCTGATCGGCCTGGCAGGCGGCACGGAGAGCGAGTTCACCAATGACATGTCCACGCTGGACGTCTACGACATTGCCAGCTCGCAGTGGTATCACCAGCAGTCGACGGGCACCGCCCCAGGCGTGCGGGTGAACCCTTGTACTGTGGTCGCCAGTGCGCCAGACGCGAGTAGTTTCCAGATCTACTTGTTTGGCGGCCAGAATCTGCAACCTGCTGTGAGGTTTCGCCCCTCTCTTCCCTACTCCTCCTCCTCTTGGGCATTATTAGCAGTCTTGCTAACGAGCATTCATCTACACGCAGGGTGATCAAATCCAGTACGATGACATGTACATCCTAACCATCCCCTCCTTCACCTGGATCGGCCCCATTGCCCACTCTGGGTCCTCGATCCCCTTTGCGCGTGCAGGTCACACCTGTAACCTCCGCGACGGACAGATGGTTGTCGTGGGCGGCTTCAACACGACCGTCACGACCTGCGACAGCCCTGGCATCTACGTCTTCAACGCCTCGTCCTTGGAGTGGGCCTCGTCCTTCACAGCGCTCAGCCCCTCGGACGATCTGGACGCCGGGAATACCGTTCTGGCCGACAGCTATGGATACACCGTCCCCGACGAGGTTGTCAGCGTCATCGGCGGCAACCCCTCTGGCTCAGCCACCGTGACGACCCCTGCCGCGAGCGCCACTGGAGGACCTTTTGCCACGGGGAAACCACCCGTCTACACCATCACCGCCTCAGGGTCTACAGCCACCATTACCTCGCCGGGCCAGACTGGCGCCTCCTCCAGCGGCAGCGGCAACGGCGGCGTGGATGGTGGTCTCGTCGCCGCCGCCGTCATCGCGTGCCTCGCAGGCGTGTCGGCCGGTTACCTGGGCTACTGCGCTTGGCTGTACAGGCGACAGGTCCGCGCGTACAAGACCCATCTCGCCGTCACAAACCGCTTCCCTGCGCGATCCGCCAGCCACGGCAGCTTCGGCCGCATGCTGGCGTTTGGTCGAAAACCAACAAGCAAGGGCTCGCCCCGGCACGCGCGGGAGATGAGCGAGAAGCAGGCGTGGGCGGCAGCGGCAGCAGCAGCAGCAGCAGGTGGTGGACACAAGCGAGACGAGAGCGGCTCGTCGAGCGCAGGCGGCGAGTCGTTTGGCTGGGTCGGCAGGGGCAACAACCTCCTGGACCCGACCACCAGCAAGGCGACGCCGACCAGCACCGGGTCTCGGCCGAGCCCGTGGAGCATGTCGGGCGAGGACAACGCAGCCGGCAGCGGGTCGTACGGGTCTGGAGGTGAGGCGAGCGGCGGGCGCCAGAGGGCGGGAAGCGGAAGTGGTGCTAGCACGTCGAGCTCGACCGAGGGTTTGCTCGAGGGCAGGGAGCCGAGTTTCTTCTCTGTCATCCTTGGCCCTAGGAGGGCTCTGAGGGTGGTTAATGGCCTGGAGGAGAATGAAGGATACTGAAAAAAGAGTTACGACGACGACGACGACGACGACGACGATTTGACGGACAATGGCAATCATCATTTGGTAACAAGGGACATGACGAAGAACAAAGGAGGACACGGGGGGGGGGGGCAAAAGTAACAAAGCTGGGTTTGAAATGATTTCGAGCATGTGTGGTGCTACGTAACGCAATTGTTTTTTTTTTTTTTTGTGTGTGTGTGTGTGGTTTTCCTTTCTTCCCAAATCTTCTTAGATACCCTGAACACAATTTTTGATTAATATACTTTGACTTGGTATTGAGAGACGAAGAAAAGAAGAGAAAAACAAACAAAGCACAAAACCCTCCGTCCAAAAAAAACAATGCGCTCATCTCCTCCTGCCCTTGGTCACAATTTCGTGTTGGCTACCTTGCCTGTCAGCTCTTTCGTAATGGCAAGGCCAGCAGCTCTGCCTGAAAACACACAGCCTCCTAAAAATGTCCCCTCGAGGGAATTATACCCATGGACGCCCCCTCCTCCGAAGCCTGCAGCCTCCCCAGCAGCGTATAGGCCCGGGAAGGGCTCGCCTGTAGGCCTCATCACGTTGCTCTCCAGGTTCGTCTCGAGGCCTCCCAGCGTCTTGCGCGTGACCAGATTCATGCGCACCGCGATCAGAGGCCCATGCTTGGGGTCCAGCAGGCGATGGGGCGGCGCGACGCGGCTCATCTTGTCAGGCCAGTAGTTGCGCCCGTTGTGGATCAGCATGGCCTGCGCGTCCTTGGAGTAGGCGTTGTCGAACTGACCGTCGCGAGTATCGATGACCTCCTTCACCTCGGCATAGTCGAGCTCGGGGCCGCCGCGTTCCTTGGCCAGCAGATTCATGCCGGCCACCAGGTCCTGCAGGTTATCCTTGACGACAAAGTCGGCGCCATGTTCCTGGAATTTCTGCACGGGAACGGTGCCCTTCTTGCCGAGGACGCGCTGCAGCAGAAGCTGGAGGTAGCTCTTACTCGCGAGGTCAGGGTTCTGCTCCGACCCGGAGAGGGCAAACTCCCGCGCAATGATGGTCTGGTCTAGGATGAACCAGGTGTAATCGTAGCCGGTGCTGCATATATACTTGAGCGTGGCCAAGGTGTCTGAGCCAGGGTAGAGGAAAGGCGGCAACCTCTTGCCATTGGCGTCCAGCCAGAGGGATGATGGCGCGGGCAGGACACGAATGCCATGACCAGGCCAGATGGGGTTCCAGTTGGCCAGACCCTCTGTGTAGCTACAAGGAGAAGAGAAAATAAAAGAGTCAGCCAGCCGATCGTACAGGGCTGTAGTTGTCACGCGTCGCAGAGGAGTGGGTTAAACATACTGCCACATCCGATCCTTATTCACCACGCTGGCACCAGCCTCCTCGGTGATGTTGATCATGCGCCCATCGACGTGTGCAGGCACGCCCAGGACGAAGTTCTCTGGCACCTTGGGCCCGAGTCGGTCCTTTGGCCACGCGGCCTTCACCGCCTCGACGTTCCCGCCAATACCACCTGACGAGACGAGAACAGCAGAGCCATAGATCTCAAAGTCACCGGCAACGTCCCTGTTGGTTTTCACACCCCGAGGAGAGTTGTCAGGCGCCAGAATGCGACCCTTGACGCCCACAGCCCGCCCTGTGGTCTCGTCGACCAGCAGCTTGTCGACCATGTGCCTGAACTTGAACTCTACGATGCCTTCCTTTTCCTTGGCCTTGACGGGATCTGCAAAGACGCGCACAATCTCGGGTCCGACGCCCCAGGTAATGTGAAACCTTGGAACAGAGTTCCCGTGGCCGTCTGCCTTGCCGCCGCCCCTCTCCGCCCAGCCCACGTTGAACAGGAAACCCATTCCCCTCGCCTTGAGATACCTCTCCATGTCGTCGGTCGCAAAGTTCACAAACGCCTCAGCCCATTTCCTCGGCCAGTAGTCTTCCTTCTCCCGGTCGAAGGCTGCCGAGTAGAACCAGTCCCGCATGGCGAGCTCGCGTGAGTCCTTGATGCCCATTCGCCGCTGTTCCGTAGAGTCCACGCAGAAGATTCCGCCCAGTGACCAGAACGCCTGGCCTCCCAGGTTACTCGCATTCTCCTGGTCGATAATGATCACAGGAATGTTGTTCCTGCTGAGCTCGAAGGCGGCGACGAGGCCAGCAAGGCCGCCGCCTATCACCAGGACTGGTTTCTGCTGTTCCGTGCCTGGAGCCATGATGTGATCCTGCTCTGCTCTCCGACTCTCGCTCGTCTAGCCTTGTCCTGAGGTTGAGAGGCTGGACGAGGAGGAGAGGTAGAAATTGGTGGAGAAGGTGGAGGTACGTGACGGTGTGTTGGGAAGGAAGGTGAGGTAGAAAGAAAAGAAGAAGAAGAAAAAAGGAGGAGAAGGAGCTATCCGTCACCTTGTTTGTCCCTTCTTCTTGACTTCACTCGAGAGAAGGATCAGCGGACATAAATACAAGCCTGCGTTTTCCCCGTCTGAGTACTATAATTTGTACCGGGAATTGGTCCGCTTGTTTTGTGCCAGGACGATGAGGTGACATGGGCTGACAATATGCACTGACCCAGGCAAACCAGGCTGTATGTGGTCTGTCACACTCAGCTGCGGGCTTGTGTTCCTAATGCTTGCTTGTAGTCTACAGGATGGGCGCGCTGTGTTGTGCTGCAGTGCGTATTATTATGCCTCGGTTCGGGTTCGTACTGGCTCCCGCGGGGAGCGCTGCTGGGAATGCCCGTGACAAAAGGGCGGGTGGACGGCTTACCACCCCTGGAGTATCGATGCTCCTACTGCCTATAGCTACTAACAAAGTGAGAACCAGGACTTCATGTAATACTGCACCATGTGCAAGTTGGCTGACGAGGGACCTTCCACTTCGAGTCAGTTAGACATTTACCCTGTCTGGGCTGTATTCCATTATCATCTGACAAGCCGTGTCCGCGGCGCCCGGTAGATGATCCGATCCTGTCAGTGCTGTGAACCAGTGTTTACAGTAGAGAAGAAGAAAAAATACAAAGTACACCTTGCATAGTTTGTACAATTGCTTTGCGGACGAACAGTTTACGCCGGTTGATTCCAGTCACTGGGTGAGATACACAATTGCGGTGTGGCCTTTTGGAGGCCATGAATCCTTGTTATAGGCTATCTATCGCTGAGCGAGAGAACTTCATCCTGCCGCGTCTACTGACTCAACAACCGGTTTGATTGTCGTGTCACCATACGAATGATGCCCTTTAGTCACAACAGCACAAGACACTGGTCTTGCTTGCTCTCGAGGCTGCTGCGTAAACAGGGCATCGCTCGTCCAGCTCCTCAACTCCTCTCTCTGAGATTATGTTGGCACTCATGTCACCTCGCGACTCGGGCGCAAATAGGAGGCCGACATTGCCACGGCTAGGCGTGGCAGCCCTAGGAAATCGAGCTTTGGCTCACCATGCAAGGTGAATAGGCTGCCACCGCCTCGTTGGTGACAACATTTGGTATTTCCTCAAAGCGCAAAGGTATCCATGCCCGCACGGATGGAAAACAGCAAGATAGTAGCGTTTCCGCCTATCGCAACAGCACGCAAAGGCAAACTTTCTCTACCATGTCCAGCTGCCGTCTCCAAAGCTCGAAACTGTTCAGCAGCTTTGATGGTAGCCCGTCCGAAGGGGAGGGAGAGAGGCCGATGATGTTGATCCGATGAGCCCTATATAGGATAGCTGCGTGTGGTATTGTTTCGCAAAGCGTGCCTTCATTTCCTCGGCCCTTGTAGAGCCAACGTGCTCGAGGCGCCTCTCGTGGCAGATTGACCGTATTATGAGTATCGCGAATGAGCCAAGACCGGCGGACGCAAGTTGTAATCCAAGTTGACGAGCCCGCTGGATACGTAATGTTGACAGACCGACAACACCCATTGAAAGTGGTGTCATCGGCATTACTTTCTTCGCTGGGTGGCCAGAAGCATCTTTGGAACCAGTCTTGCCGGCTGGGGCTCGCATATAATGACCCCAACAGCGCGGCTCGCAAGCTGGCTGATCTCACCGGCACGAGCGAAACTTTTTTTTTTCTTTTTTCGGGGGGGGGGGGGGGGGCTTTTCACTTCATGAAAGCGACATCTTGGAATATGTGGAGGTCAGGCCCGGCGTCCCCCAGTTCTCGGCGCAGAAAGGTCCCAAAGTTGTTCAGCACCAGGGTGCCCACCAGTTCAGCCTCTGCTTCCTGCCCGATCCGTATCAGGTGTTGAGCAGCGTCTGTGGCCATGACGACGATCCGCTTCGCCACAAGAGCCCTGGAAGAGAGGGACCCGCCAGTATCGGCCGTTGTCTTTTGGCCTGCCTGGCTATCGCATTCCACATAGTTCCCCAGACTTTTGACCATAGTTGACTTGAGGATCTTAAGTGCAAGAGTGGCGTCAGGGTGGGTGGGATGGTGGATATCGAGATGCGCTCTGTCGATCTGAACAGTTCTGGTCAGCCTCCGCAGCTGCTCGCTCATGGCGGCAAAGGCATCAAAGAGGGCTTCCGAGGGCCGCACGCTCTGCCAGGCGAAGATGGTAGACCTCAAGCACAGGGCCCTCCAGGAGTATAGAGCGGTTTCCTCAAAGAGCTGGTTCTCGCGGAACATGTCGCCCGCCCGTATGATGGATGCGTAGCCACTGTTTAGAGGGGCGCCCGGGGTGAGCTTAGTCCGAACCAGGGCACAGAGCAGGTGCGAAGCAATCATGATGTCCTGCGGAGAGGAAAAGGCGGGCCCCTGACCGCGCATGTACCGATCCAGCCAGGTCCAACCAACCTCCTCGAGGCCCTCCTCGACCATGAACGGGATCAGGTTTCTAACCAGGGGTTTGAACTTGAGGAACGACAGGTCTCGTTCGAAGCCAGACGAGCGGAGCCATTGGAGAACACGAAGGGCGGTGCCGGAAGCCGCCATAGACTCATTGACGGAAATAGAGGACGACTGAGCGATGGCATCGCGCTTGGCAATCAAGACACCAGCAGCACGCTTTAGATTCATCAGGCCCTTTGAGACAGCCTGGTCGAAAACGTCCATAGGGTCCCGCTCGGCGGGTGACATGGCGGTAACCTTAGAGGGATCATAGCTGAAGAGGGGGTTGGAGAGGACGGCGCGTACATGGCGGTCGGTCGGAAAACGATGCAGGTTGTGGGTAGTCTGAGAGGTCAAGACGTCCGAGGTCTGGTCGGGTACGGCAGTGGTGAAAGAGGAGGTCGGAGTTGACGACTTGTTCTCAGGCCAGTCGCCATGCTCCTTGTCGAGGTTCTTGCGGAAGGAGGTGGTCAATGCATTGAGTAGTCGTTGAGACTCGCGCTGATTCAGTGGGGGAGGATAGTGGACCCTGGGGAAGAAGGCATTGAAGGGATTCAGCAACTTCTTTGTGCTACGCATCTTGATGATGCGTTGATAGCAGCAGCTGTGGCTGCTGGCGCACTGATGCGGTGTTGGAGGTGCGGAGGTGTGTGATGGCTACCTTCCATGGGAGCAGGGTCCAATACCCTGTCAGAAAGAGGACGGCAGCACCCTCGATGGAGGGGAGGGGGGTTCTTGGTTGATGTGATGTGTGGTACAACTCATGGAGGTCCAAGGAGGAGGAGAGGGATCATGTCATATCATAGAAGTTAGAGGCAGAACAAGAGAAGCTGACAAGTGCTGCCCCGCCCATGGTGGAACCCTCCAGGTGCCTGCCTGCCTGCCTGCCTATAGCAACTGTACCTCCCTCCAAGCTCAGCTAACAACCAGGGTATGTAGCCCCCACGTGATGGAAGCTACTTACTCATACTGCCGTCGTACTATGGCACGCAGGTACAGCCCTACCATAGTAAATCGAAATGATGCCATCACTCGTGCTCTCTCCCACCCTTCAGAACGGAACTGGTCTCCCACCCTGGCACATTGTTCCTCTCTGCTTTGTCTTGACTAGACAGAAGAGATGGTTGAAATGGCTGGAGATCAGGCAGCTCTGGGAGAGCATTCTGCCCATGTGCAATTCATTTCTTCTTGTTAGCTTCATGTTGTAGCTGCTATGCTAGCTGATCACTGTCAATTGAGAACACCTCGAGTACCTCCCTTGGGATCTATACATTGCATATTGTCTATGTTTGGGAGGAGGGAGATCATGAAGCTTAGCCAGGGGAAAGGCAAGGGATCTGGTCATAGGCCAAGACCCTGGCACGCCTGGTAGCTGCATTGTTGTCCTGCACGCTGCAAGGGCCTGTCGAGTTCATGTTTGTGGAGGATGAATCAATTGCTTGCTTTTAGGCTGCCTGTGCGAGATCAAAAGCCGTCCACTCGACCTCCACATGGAGGAGGTAGGATAGGAAGAAGAGCCTCCTTTTTGCACCAGGAGACAAGCTCTGTGTGGGCTGCAAGCAAGCCTGCAAGCTGCTTTCAGGTAGCCTGGCTCCCCCAGGTTTTCGCCGTGGTCAGCCTAGTAACTGGGGCTGGAAGGACTACCTTGGTCGAGGTGATGTCCTTAACAGATTTTGGTGGGTGAGTCCCGTGCCTGGTGTTAGGTGGGTGGCAAGCGTCGTTTGTAAATGGCCTGTGCATGGGCGCCCCCCCCCCTGTGCCCTGCGCCTCACCACTCCAAATTCGTCCATTCTGCGCAGCTGCAGGGCCTTAGCCAGGCGTCAAGGTGCCTTGTTTGACTTTTGACTTTGGACTTCCTCCTCCAGTGCCCCCAGTCCCCCATCCCAATTCCACAACTCAGTTCAGCTCAGGACCCCAAAAGGTATTTGGATCGCACCCCCAGCCTCAAGCTCAACTTCAAACAACACGCATCATCCACATGTACAGCACAACGCACCACCCCTAGAACTGGCCCATGCCTCCCCTTGCCTTGTGAAGTAGTCAGGCTGCTGCTTCTGCTGCTGTTCACTTCCTTTCTTAGGTAGTGAACAAGCTGATTTTCACCACCTTTCTGACTTTTTCCCCATCCAAACACGTCTTCACGTGTACAGTCAGTCCCTTTCCTACTCCATCGCCTCTCCTGCCACTCAACTTCTGGTCACAAGACATCGTCCGCCCAACTAAACTCCTCTTCGGACAATCAAAACTGACCTTCAGCAGCCCTACCCACCTGGTCTCTCGCCCATCCTCTGACAACCAACACGATCATCCACCCACCCTTCCTCCTCTCCCTGAGGACAACTCGATCCAGCGATTTTGTCGCAACCAACCATTCTTCCTCCCACACAAAAACAATCATCACAACCAGAGACATGTCTGACGTACAGGCGAGGCCAGCTGCCTCACGTGGCAGGGGCTCTTCAGCTCGTGGTGGAAGAGGCGGTTTCTCCAGCCGTGGTGGTCGCAGCAGCACGAGATCTGGTCTTGCCACCAATGGTGACTCTGAGGCCACCTCTCTGCCGACCCTGGAGGACCAGGGAGAGATTGCAGACCTGAACAAGGCACATGGCTCTCAGCTCCCCCTCATCAAGGAGCTTTTCCCCACCTGGTCAGAGGTTGACATCCTCTATGCTCTGAAGGAGACTGATGGCGATGTGACAATGACTATTGAGCGCATTGCTGAGGGTAAGCTAAACTCTTTCCACTTACCCGACCCCCAGGAATGCCCTCCTCAGTTTGCACGAATTGAGGTTCAGAGCTGACCTTTCCGCTTCGTAAACTCTAGGTAATATTTCACAATGGGGCGAGGTTTCCAACCAGAAGAAGGACCGTACCAAATCCAAGGCCAAGGATACATTCACTACTACTACCGGCGCCGATGTCCCTACCGTGTCCAATGCCAGAGCTCCTCGAGGCGGTCGTCCTGATGGCAGCCGTGGCCGTGGTCGTGCTACCGAACGCGGCGGTCGTGGTGCTGCCCGAGGACGATCCGTGAACCCTGCTGCGAATGGCGCCCGCGTCAAGGACAGCCAGCCCTTGTCTGTCCCTACCGACGAGTCTTCGGCCTGGGATACATCGAAGAGCAACGATGATGGTGGCTGGGCCCAGGCTGCGGCCGCTACCTCGTGGGAGACCCCCGCCGCGTCTGACCCTGCTCCTGTCGCGCCTGCTAAGGCTGCTGCTGATCCTGCGAAGCCCGCCGCCGTTTCCCAGGGAACGCAAAAGACGTGGGCTAGTATGCTCCGTCAGTCGACCGCCCCGAAGGCCGCCCCGCAGCCTCCCAAGGAAGCTGCTGCGCCCAAGCCAGACCCTGTCCTCGAACCCCTCCCTGCTGCCGCGGAGCCCTCTGCCCCGGCTCCAGATCCAGTCTCGGCCTCAGCCCCGGAGCCCGAGCCCGAATCGATCGCTGAACTGTCCGCTGAGCCACACGATGATCAGATGCCAGCAGACCACACCACGGTAGTCGTGCCAGAAGTTGCCTTGCCGCCCTCCAAGGATCAGTTGACTGAGACGAACCTCGAGCAGGTTGTTGACGAATCGCACCCTCCCGTGACGGACACTGTCCACAGCGAGGCCGCAGACTCGTGGGACCCACGTGCTACCGTCATCAGCGCCACTGCCACGCCCCTCTCCGCCTCGCATGCCCAACACCAGTCTCACAAAGCCCCCACCAGCGGATTCGCTGCCACCGCTATCAAGGCCACGGAGCGCACCGCTGTGCCTCGTACGCCAAGCCACCAGCGACGGTTCCTGGATCAGCAGGAGGCCGTCCGCATGCCTGTCGCTGCTAACCAGCAACTGGAGCGGACCACGCTCCAGTTTGGTGCTTTCAACCTGAACGGAAATGAGGAGGATGTCGATGGTGACCGCGAGGAGCCCGAGACCCGTGCTCAGCCTCCTGCTGACTCTCCTGTCGCCCAACCCCGCGCTTCCCTGCCTCCTGCACCCCCAGGTGTTGGTCCCGATGCGTACTCTGCCCAGAAGCCGGTCTCGTCCCTGCCTTCTGGCCCCAACTCTACTGGTACTGCATTTTCTGTCTTCCCCGAGGGCGCACACGCTCCTGAGAGCCACCTTCTGTCGCACGATGCTAATGCCAGTCAAGCAGCTCCAGCTCCTCCCACCGGGCCCGCCGCCCAGCAGGCCTCTGCTCAAGGTAGGCCGATCAATTCCCATCTTCTTTGATCACGTCCGCCCAATGAGTTTGAGATTTTCATGCTAACGTCGTCCTTTGCGACAGCCGTAGCACCCCAACCTCCCACGCAGCCAGCTGCCCAGCAGTTTGGCCGCTTCGGTCAGGCAACAAGCCATGAGCAGCAGCCTGCTTTCCCCCCGAAGCCTTTCGATTCTTACAACCAGGGAACCCAGCCCTCCGCAGCCCAGTCGCACTTCGACGGCTTCCCTGGCCAGCAGCAGTCTCAGTCACAGCCCCAGGCGGGTCAACAGCCCGGTGGTGCCTACAGTTCCGCAGCCGACCAGTACTCTTCCTACTACACGGCCGATCAGCACAGCCGCCCACCTTACAACAATTTCTACGGTCAAGGTTACGGACAGCAGCAGGGCCAGCAGCAGGGCCAGCAGACGGCGTCGGGTCAGCAGGAGGGTGGTCTTGCGTCTCGAGCTGGCTTGGGCGGATATGGTACCGCTCAGACCGATCTGGCGAGCCAGTATCCCCAGAGCGCGAACCAGTCACGATTTGGTACTGCTGTGGCACAGGATCAGAACAGCGGAAATACCACTCCCAATCCTCCTACGGCGCAGAACCAGCAGCCGACTGGTCAGACCCACCCGCAAGGCCACGCTGGTCAGCAGCAGCACGGAAATCAGTACTTCGGCCAGCAGCCGTACTACGGAGGTTACTACTCGGCCAACTACATGAACAACCAGTATGGCTACGGTGGATTTGGTCCGTACGGTAAGGGCGGCGTCTACGGCCAGCCACACCACTACGGCATGTCCCAGCAGACGCCCTATGACCACAGCACCTCTGCCGCGAGTGGCTATCCCCAGGCTTCTCTGCACCGCGCCGACAGCGGTGCCGCGTCCGGCCTCGGCGATTACGGGCGCGCGGGTTCTGCCCAGTCTGGTACCCAGCAGCCAGGTCTTGCAGGTACTGGCGGTTTCGCAGGAATTCACGACGCCTTCGGACGCGGCGCGTCCTCGTACGGAGCCCAGACTGGCCAGTCATTCAATGCCCCCTCTGCGCAACCCACCGGTGCCGTCTCGGGCAATGACGAGCTGAAACCGTTTGGTGACGGCAAGGCCGCCGGCGGGCCCAGCCCCTCGCTTGCCAGTGCTGGCAGGCCCGGCTCGGCTACCAACACTGTGCCGTCCCAGACCGGCCTGCCTCCTCCTCAGTCTGCCCAGCAGGGTATGGGAGGTTACGGCGGCTATCCGAGCCACCTGCAGGGCCACGGCCTGCACTCGCAGTCTGGCACGACTGGCTACGGTATGGGCACCGGCCCCGCACAGGGCCATCAGAACAGCCCATATTCTGGCTATGGAGGATTCGGTGGTGGCAACAGCTACTACGGTTCGCAGCAATCCCGCCACGGCGGCTGGGGTTCCAACTACAGCGGCGGTAATGGCTTCTAAGGGGAGGAAGTTTGGCCATGCTCCGTCGCCTTTGTCTGTTGCGGTAGTCTGAAACTTCTCCTCTCTTTCAATACTCTCATTGTGGTAAGAGCCTTTCTGTTAATGAAATTCAAGGGATATTGAACCTGGAAATCGGGCTGGTTTGACTTGATGGAGAGGCGAAAAAGGAACGCGTTTTAACGGGCCTGACATGTGTTTTCAACCCACAATCCCTACCTTGCCGCTGTGTGGTTCCTGTCTTTTGTATGATTTCTCTCTTACTACGGCCATGGAAAGGAAGGGCGGGAATGCGAACGCCCCCAAAAAAAGTTGCACCGGACATGGAGTTCTCCTCATGGGACTGATATGCTTTTCTGTTTCCTCCCTTTTCTATTATTCTTGCGCTTCTTTCCTGGGTAGAAAGGGATTGCTGGAGGATTTGCTGGCTACCTGCTGTTTTTCTTGGGGATTTCCCACCTCACAATCTTTCTTTGGGGCGACGACGAGATTGTGGTCAGGGGGTCCCTCCATTAAAAGAGGGCAGCTTGGAGGACCATTGATAAGGGAGCACTTGGAGATGCAAATCAGAGAGTCACGAACAGACCAGCAAGCCAGATTGCAGGGATAGCAATAAGGATGAATAGTAATTTTTGGTTCAGGTCCTGGCCAAAATGGCAAACAGAACCGCAGTCACTTGATTTCTTCATCCTGGTATGTTTGTCTCAAATTTGTTGTTCTGAACCCCCCGGGGGGGGGGGGGCCTTTACTTTGAACCTTGTTCTATTGCTGGGTGATAGCAACCTGAAGTTGGCTAAGGGGCCATGAACAAGGTTGAATATTTTCTGCCAGGTGCCTTTCCTACGGCTCACCACTTGACTTGCTGGATGTTTCTGCGTACAAGAGCTGTGCTACAATGAGCATGACCCCTTGGTGCTATCAAGTCCTTTGCAGATCAAAGTTCTCTTCCACCTGCCGTCTTCTTAGTTCCATGCCAAATTTCTCGATACCTTTCAGGGGCCGGCCATTGGTTTTAGATCACACCAAAATCTTCATTACATTCAGTCAAGGTATATGTATAGCAGCAACTGAGAAGGAGGGCATAAGATGGTCAATTTAGGAGGGCATGATCACTGTTCAGGAGGGTATACTTGCCGGAATCCATATGGATCACATCACACTCATCCCTGGCAGATGATGTCGCCCAGCTCGAGAAATAATCATCTCATCTGGTAGCATTGGGATATGTCCTTAGTGGAGGTACTTTCCCAGGCACAGCAAGATCGAAAGGGGGCAAAGCAGCTGGCTCTACCCAGCCAAATGTGATTCCATGCAGCCCAACCAGCAAAAGGAGGTCTAACTGTGATGTTGTTAATGTGTTGTAAGTGGATCATGGAGCTGTTGTTTCGGCTTACAGTTGTTTCCCTGGCAGAAGTTGTACTAAAAGTCAACCTCTCTGCGAAAGAAACTTCTTCTGCCTTCTCGAGACCATCCGACAGTCAACTATTGGGCTGAAGCTTGTTCAACCCTGATCTGGTACTATGCAGCATTTTCACAGACATCTTTTGCCTACAGCTGAGTGAATGCAGTCCCAAAGAACATTGCTTCCTTCAGTGCCGAGCAATTGAGCAGCCCATCTCTATCGACGCGTCTCATCCACGTCATCCAACAATCAACACATCAACCAACAACAACTTACCCATCGCACCACGCGTCGTCAGATCACTTCAGACCTTCTGTTGGTGAGCAGCATACCATTTTGATCAACCATCATGGGTTTCTTTAACAAGTAGGTACCTGTTTCTCTTGGATTCCTCTCCTGTGTGTGTGTGTGTGTGGATAGCCTCTTGAGTTTCGTTGTCCTGAGTCCTTGCTCCTTGCCTCTAATACCCTCTCTCTCTTCCAACTCCAACATGAAGATCAGTTTGCGCCCTGCCAGAATGATGTCCCCTCAGTCACTTTTCTTAGATTGGCAGGTTGTTTGCATGCTAATAACAGTCTTTTCAGGATCTTTTTGGGCCTCTGCCTCCTCAGCACTCTGCTGCTGGCTGATGTCCTCGCCATCTCCTCTTCCAAGCGTGGCCTTGGCTACAACGAGAACATCCCCCTCAAGGTAGGTCCCCATAATAGGTTCCTCTTTCCCACTCACCTACTGTATTCTGTCGCCCCTCCCGTCTTCATCATGCAGGAAAATGGTCTATACACCTTCGTACACACACACACCCTCTCTCTGTGTGTCTCTGTGCTCTGAGCACATCCTACATTCCCCATTTCATTTCATCACGTTTCTGTCTGACCATCCTGCTCCTGCCTCCTCTGGCTTCCAAAAGGACAAACATACTGACAAAATGCTGCCCCCCGCCGTATCAGGAGTTTGGCGACACGGGCACTCAGATCACCTGGCAGTACAACTGGGGCTCCAGCACTGCCCACAAGCAAGGCGCCCGCGAGTACGTCCCGATGCTCTGGAGCAACTACACCGGCGCCAACGTCACCTGGATGGGTGACGCGCAGGCCTGGCTGACCAACGGCTCGACCCACCTCCTCGCCTTCAACGAGCCTGAGCTGAGCTCCCAGGCCAACCTCGCCCCCGCCGACGCCGCCGCCCTGTACCTCCAGTTCCTGCAGCCGTTTGCCGGCCAGGCGAAGCTGGGCGGACCTGCCGTGTCCAATGATGGCTGGGACTGGATCAACCAGTTCCTGGGCAACTGCTCCGAGTGCACCATCGATTTTCTGCCCATCCACTGGTATAACCCTTGGAACCTGACGTCGGACCTCGAGACCTGGGTTGAGAAGATCTGCGGCCTGCCTGGACGTCGTCCTGTCTGGGTTACCGAGGTAAGTAATTGCTTTCTCCGCTCCCTCCTCTGAAGGTTTCCAGTCTTTCATCTACCCGTCTTGCCTCTCTATCACCCTTCTTTTACACTTACACAAGAAAACGCCCTGTACTTCACTCTTATCTCTTCTTGGACATAGTTAACTGATTCGGACAACCCCTGTCTTTTGTTTCTCCTACGCAGTTCGGCCCACAGAACGCAGCAGCTCTCACCCCAGTCCAACAGAACACCTTCCTCCAGCAAGCCATCAACTTCCTGGACAACGAGCCGTGCGTCGAGCGGTATGCCTACTTTGGCTCGGCGGACGGCGACGAGTCACTGCTGGCCAACGGAGGCCCCGCGCTGTCTACCCTGGGCAAACAATACGCCTATGGCGGTGGAGTTCTTGTCAACACGACCGCAGCAGGTCAGACTCACAAGTGTGCACGCAAGCGAGGACATGGACACCATGGCCACCGGCAGCACTGAGGACAGAAGCTCTGCCTGGATGACGAGAACAGACTTTCTTGACTGCTCGTTTGTACAATACTTGAATACGGTCTTGGACGACCTGCCTTGAGTGTGGGAGGAGGAAGGCTGGGCTGGTAACGGCAGCATGTGGTGGTCCTCCTGTCTGTGCTGGGACCAGTAGGACGAGCTTTTGATATGGCACTTTCGTAGTGGTATTCGTGGCGACACGATGCCTGCTGCCTGGACCGTGACTCTAATGAAACACACAATCAACCAATGCCCATTCGACTAAATGGATACGTAGAAGTGCAAGGCAAGGCGTTGCATGTATGGACACATCAAAGTAGTCATACTAGGGGCATGAATGACGGCGTCGGGCCCTCGACTTTCTCGAGCCTGTCTTTGTCAGTGTTGGCGTATTGGCAAGAGAGACAAAGTGCTGTGAACTATGCTCAACATGAATAACAACAATCCCAACATTTAATATCCCCATAGGTTCATCCGAGCGTTTTCGACAGGAAAGTATAATCTAGAAAGGTTTTCATCATGTAAACAAAGCCCTTATACAAGCCTAGAAAGGGCCGTCCCTCGGGTCTTTGGTGCTGCAATCTCAGCCAATTCCTGTCTGAACTTGGACGAAGAGAACAGAGACAATTCATGATTTACTCTGTGCATGTTTTCATGTTGAATACAGAATTAGTAAACAAGAGCTTTTCTATACAACGGAAGCTTTTCCCCCTCTCGGCTTGACCTCATCTGCAACTCCCAGAGCCGTTTAGACCACCCAAAACTACCTTTTCAATAATCTTATGACCTGACAAGTGTTAAAGCCCAACATGCCATGAACTTCTTTTGTCTAAGCCCCCTAAGAATATCTGCAGCCATTCTGGTCAGAAGACTGCGTGAACGTGAATGTTGACATTCACACACATAATGCGGAGGCAACAAGTCAAGGGAAGCATTTGAATCCCGAGATGCAAGAGGTTTCGGAGTTGCGCAGTAGGCCCAAATGTAAACATGTTAGAAACCTTTTGTAGGAGAACGAACGGATTGATCATGAGCATTTTTTGAGAACCCATGGACAAAGGAACAGGGCTTGTAAATGATAGTAGAATTTGTGTAGTGCACGGAAAACAAAATATCGAAACACTAGGCCAGGGATAACAGCAGCGTAGTCCAGACGAGCTTGTCGGAACGAGGACCGTCGCGTGTTACGCCGTCCATAAGCGTATTTGGGTTGGATGGGTGGAGGTCATGCATCAGCCAGAGAGGGAGCGCCTCTCAGATCTGCATCCTCCTGACATCAGAGATGCTTCTCTGCCTTTTATGGGAGAGCGAGGGCTCGACCCTCATGCTGGAAGCCTTGCGCTTCATAGCCATAGCCTCCAGCGGACTCTTGGCAGGCATTTTCTTGTGACGACGTTCTGGGGTCAAAGGCGTATTCGCCACACTAAGGGACCCATGTTTGAGACCGCGCAGGGCGCCAACTGTGTACGAGTTCGAGAAGTCAATGGAGTCCTCGGTAGCCTCGCCATTCAAGATCAGTTTCCGCTGCATCTGATTAATGCGGAAGGCCCCCACTGAGCGTGTGTTTGTCAAATGATCCAGAAGATCGCCGCTGGCGCCAGTGAAGAGCCTACCGTCGGTGCTCGCGGCCATAGAGGAGCGACGTGACGGTGTCTCGACACCGTCTGTGTTGGCCCCGTCTGCATTGTCGCCTTCCCCATCCTCGGCCTCAGAGTTGCCGTCGAAAATAATAAAGTCGTCAATGTCTAGATTCTTCTCTTCAGGGTCTTCTTCTCCATCGCCCAGGTAGGATGAGTCCTCACTAGGGGCATTGCCAATACCTAGCGGGAGAGACCAGAAGGGGTCCGTTGGCTTCATCATCTGACCCGGCGCAAGAGAAGCCAAGGAGTCTCCTCCCTGCCAGAAGCCCATCATTTCGAGCGGTAGATCGATGTTTAGAGCAGGGTTTACCGGAGATGACCCGGTGGCTGCCATCCTGGGCAACGAGAAGTAGTCGGATGGAATCTGGTCAAGTAGACGTTTTCTCCGAGGCGTGAAAATCATCATCTTTCGGGTGTGCGGGTTCAGGACGCAAATCGGTTTCTTGGTGGGGCGGACAGGAAGCCGGCCAGTGTGCGACATGGCTTCACCCGCCTTGTTGCCCTCACCAGCCTCCGTATCGGACCCTGCTCCCGGTGAAGCGCCTTGTTGTTTAACAGGAGTCACATTCCTGCGAGAGATAAGTGTGGGCTTGTCATCGTCGGTGGTGTCACCGTCAGCTACCGGCTCTCAGGTTAGCTTCTTGTACAAATACCCATGCAGCCACAGCGTCAGTCTCCATCGACTCACAGTCATAACCCTCGGACTCCTCTTCATCTTCCTCATCTTCTAGATCGACAGCGATGGGCTCAACAGCGTCACTGTCAGCAGCATCGGGCTGACCACCGTATCCCCGGTTCTGTCCCCACGTCTCATCCCGTTCAGGGACTGGCGTGCGCGGCTCCTGCGAGTCCCTGAATCCAATGAGCTCGCCCCCGCCAAATTCGCGGTTGTCGAGGGGGAAGTCAGGGACCTCGCTCAAGTCACGCTCGCGGTCTGATAGCTCTTCAGCTTCAGCCGCTTCTGTATGATCCCAAAAGCTCAGGGAGACGGACGAGTTGTCATCGTCGTCGTCGTCCTGCTCGATTTCACGGCGGAAACAGGGGTCAAGTGATTGCTGAGAAACAAAGATGTCGGGGAAGAAATCATCGTGATCAGTCTCGTCCGATTCGGACTCTGACTCGGGCACACCTGTAAAGCGAACATGACGCTGGACTGGAGATTCCAAATCCGCTGCTAAGGAAGTATCCATTGGGGCAGCGGCGGGCTCGTCTTCCATAGGAAAGCCATTCCAGCTTTCGCTGTCATTGCTGCTCTCCTCTGCAGCATCGTTAAAATCAATGTCGCTAGAAAAGCTCTGCATACCTTGCTGCGAGGCGCTGGTCTCGTCGTCGTCGGACTGGTCATTGTCCGCATCGGCAGCAGCGTCATCTTGGTACTCGAAAATACCCATGAAACCCGGCCGAGGGGAGCTGGCAAAGGCATCTCGGCCTTGATGCCATTCATTGGAAATGATATGCTCCTCCTCGGCCGCAAAGACATGTTCCTCGTCGTCATCATCTGAATCACTGACATCGTCGACGGCGGAGTAGCCGTCCTCGTCAGAGAGGTCGGCTGGGGAGGACAGAGATGAGGACGAGTCGCGGCGCGCCTGGGGCACGGGATTCTTGGGTCCCTTCAGCGGACGCTTGTTGACACCCTTGACGGACTTGCCACCCTTGGCTGCCCGTTTGATCTTGATCTTGGGCATGTCGGAATAGTTGTAAAATGGAAATCCAAATGAGAGACTTGGACCACTAAAATGTTTGCTCAATGCTGGAGCAGGTTGATCGAGTTCGAGAGAGGTATTCTTGGAGGAGGAGCAGGAGGACGAGGAGGACGAGGAGGACGAGGAGGGAAAGGAGTGTAGCGGGTTGCAAAGTGCTGGATCGATTGTCGAAGCCCCTTGGGACAGAATGTGTGTGTGGTTGTCTGTGCTGTTGACTTTCAAGAGACAGGCCTTTCTAGCTGTCGAAGCGCCCTGGTGATGAGACTGGGCTCAGGACGTGCGGAAATGGTCTGGGAAACTTCGTCGAAGAGTCGGTTTACTCGATGATGCTGTGTGACTACGAGACCCAACGGTCGAGTGTAGCACCCGACCAAGGGCCTCGTAGTGGGAATTTACAGCTCAGCGACAACCGAAAACATCTTGACAATGGGTGGGCTCGACGAAGTTGAATGCAGTTCTGTTGATATACTGTATATGAGTAATAGGGCGACTTCGTTGTCTTGCAGATGTTTGATCTTGATGATCAAGAATCAGAGAAGGAGCAGGAGGGGAAGAAGAGGGAGAGGTCAGAGGCCAGGGGAGGGGTACTAAGTAGCCTAGCATACTGTAGACAACTTTTTTTTTTCTTTTTTCTTCCTTCCCTCCCTCTTCCTCCTTCCGTCCCTTGGCCCTTCAATCAAGCACTCCCCCGATTGTACCAGTATTCACAGCGGGCCGGGTAGCAGGCAGTACGACATCTGGACCCGTGGAGAACTTTTTTCATATTTGGTGGGGTACTTTAGGGCACTAAGATGAAAATTGGCTGCAGTGATTGGTCAACCCGCTCCAGCACCCGGATCATGCTGCGGTAGGGGTAGCTAGCATATCCCTGCTAGGATGCCCTGCAGGTACCTCTCCATCCTTTACTTGCGCATGCTGCCGTCTCTGGGAACCTGAGAAGATACTTTCACAAGGTTGGATGAGAGTGGTCAGTTCCCAAAGTGCCTGCTATGTGACATGTGCTACTACTATGGTTCCATAGGACTGGCAGTAGTGACAAATGCTGTTGTATGGTGCCAAAGCTTGCATTGATGATTGCTTCAACCTTCAATGATGACTGTGAATCACAGCACCCACCATCACTCTGCATTGCAACCCTCCAGCTGCCACATGGTGTGGTCCTCCTATGATCCTGCTGCCTTGTCTACAAAGTGGTAATTCCTCATCTTCGTTAGTTCGCCCAAGTGCATCCAACCAGGTGAAACGGCACCCACCCTGTCCATAAGCTCGCCTCCCGAACAACGATTCACATCAGCCGCTGATGACTCTTCAAATCATGGAGCCATAAGCTATGCTTGTGATGCCATGACCACCCTTATGGAGCAGCACAGCAGGGTCGCAGGGGTTTGGTGTGTAGGAGACTAGGTGTACAATGCAGCCACGCCTGACAATCGGGTCTGAAATACGGGCACTGCCCTGTTGCCCCGTACCAGCGCATGGGACAGCATGGGGGAGGATCCCGTCCGGCCGTCCAATCGAAAGCCGGCCTCAACGTCGTCACCGCCAGTTTGCAAGCAAGGGACATTCGGGGCTTCTGAGCATTGATGTTACCTCGTAATAGAAAAAAAGGTTCACCATGGCTCACCTCTGTCTCTATCATGGTGCTGAATGTGTACTGCGGGCTCCCAGCTGTTACTACTGAGTACCAGCACGAAAACGACTCATCACCCGATGGAGGTGGACAGACATTTTCCCTCAAGAGGAAAGCCCAGCCAGTCTAGAGTGACGACACAGCTGGAGTCAATCTCATCGCGCGCCCCACCTTGAATCTTGACGACTGGGAAAATCATTCCCTGTGGGCGGCAGCTCAGGATGCGCCCGATTGACGAGTCACCTTCTAGCATGATCATCTGCAGGTGGCGCTTGAACGCTGAATTCTCTGGCCAGCAGCGTGCCAAGCAGTAACCCATCAACAAGAGAGGCAGTCAGGTTTTTGACGCCCTGGCGAGGCCCTGGCGAGGCCCTGGCGTGGCCCTGGATGCCCCGCGAAATGGCTCGAGCGTGTCGTACTCGTCGATGAAGCACGCTGTAGGCACGAGCCAGCAAAAGCCCAGGCTAGTATTGAGCGTGCCTAGACCAGACACTTTATTGTTTCTGCGTCCCCTAATTTGTCTTCTGACGCCTTGCGGCTCCTCTTGCTTTCCCCCCAGTGAGACACGGAGTTGAAGTCCATGTACAGTACCCAAGTTCATTCTAGCGGCTGAAAATCGGTTCCTCAAATGGCATGATGTGGAACGTACCCTAAAAAAAAAACAAAAAAAAAAAAACGGTTCGCCTCGTCAGATGAGGCGAGCAGTCGCCTGGCGGCTATCCTAAATGTTTTCAAGAGATGCCGCCGGTCAACAAGATGCAAAGATTATGTGAATTCAGTGGGACCCCTTGCATTATGCACTCGGGGCATCTGAGAATTCAGCAAGTTGCCCGTCGAGTTGTTTCAGAATTACGTTTCTCACGTCCAGGATTGCATTGTACAACGGTAGATTGCATTCCCAAGACCGTTCCGCGACCCTGAGATGGTGTACTGCGGGCCAGCTACCCACCCGCGGTGTGTGGACCAGAACTGGAGGTCTCTATCCCTGCTCTCCTCCGCCTTACATCCTCTCTGGTGGGCATATGAGTCTGGGATCAGACCGAGGCTTTTTGATGCCTCATTTGCGCAAAGTCACTGATTCGTCTTCTTCGATATCATTTTGAAGCTTCTCGGCCAGAAACGTCACTTGACTGGTCTCTAAAGATCTGTGTACCTGCGCAGTGTGGTGAAGCTGTAGGTATGCAGTAGTACGTAGACTTCGTTCTCAAAAAGAGTTTGGCTGCGTTTCAAACCCGCTCAGATGAGCAGTTCTGGAGCCAAAGTTGGAACGCAACGGATGACCAACCCGGAAGACACTCATCACAAAATGTGCGCCTAGACCTGAATGGGAATGCAGCCGGCCAGAAATGCCGCCCATTGAGGCCGAGACAACACATACGCTTTGTTGCGCTGTTGACTAATTGTGTACTCTAGAGTCACCCGAATGAGATGATGGCTCAATGACTTACTTTCGTGTACATAAAACTATATTGTCCTATGGTACAGTATCATTTCAAGAAATAACGGGGGCTATCAAACGACATACAGCCATGAGCCACGTAGCGGACAGGGCAGTGAGGCAGGGTGGAACTGTGGATCTGCCAAATCACTGCGGCTCTGGGTGGGCCTTGCCAGGATGGGGTACAGTTAAAGAAGGAAGAGAAAAGAGAGAGTGGCCTTGGAGTTTTGGAATGGGACCAACCATCCTCATTTTGAAAATTCCAGAAGAAGAAGCCGTGTTGGCGAGCGTCAGGTGAGCTACCATGGCAGTTTTAGTGGGGAGGGGAAAACAAAAGAATGTTAAGAGCCTGTACACTGGAATGGTGGGCCACCCAGCAAGGCTCTTAACTGGCTGCTTATATAAGGTTGCATCCTGTTGTTATCGCCTATTCTTGAACTGCTCTTATCAGCGCAGTTGCTCGGCAGCGAATCAATAATGACGTTCAGGCCAAATACGTACCGCGTCGCACGCCGCACTTAGACCTTTGATTGAGATGGAATTTGGCCCAACTCTGCAAGTACGGGTCAGAAAACAAGCTACCGCACCCCTCCAACATATATTCTTCTTCAGCACATCCATCCACCTGGTCTTGGAAATATCTCGTTGCGTGAAAGATTTTTCTTGGTGCTCGAGCAGCGCGCTTCGGCATTCTGAACCCCAGCCACCTTAAATTAGCATACTGAACTGAGGGCATCCCTAGAGGGGTTGCAACCACAAGGACACGCCTCATCATCACCATGGGCGACTCGTCTGTGGGCTCGGGCGCTGGCCACAATTCGTCGAACAACCTGTTTCAGGTTTATCTTCGTCTTCGACCACCTCCTGTTGTTGGGCTGTCCTCTGACGCCGAACGATTCATCATTGTCGACCGCCCTGCAGCTGATGCCTCTTCGACAGCACCCACCCACATCACCCTCAGCCCCCCCAACGACCGCCGACGCGCCGTTGAGAAATTCGCCTTCACCCACGTCTTTGAAGAGGATGCCACCCAGCTCGACGTCTTTCATTGTACCAATGTCGTGCCTCTCGTAGAGGGTATCCTCGCCCCACATGGCAGAGAAGGCACAGACGCCCTGCTGGCAACGCTGGGTATGACTGGATCTGGAAAGGTACTGTACCTGAAGAATCCCTCACTGCCTCAAAAATTCGAGTCTACGAGCGCCGCATCATGGACGCCAAGCTTGCTGACACAATTCAACAAAACACACAGTCGCATACAATGCTCGGCTCTCGGTCACAGCGCGGACTGACGCAGCTGGCTCTCGACCTCCTCTTCCGATCTATCGGAGACAACATCGCCGAGGTTAACTCTGATAGCGCACTTGAGACATCCATCAAAACCTCTGATGCCTCTGAGGCAAGTATATCCAGCGCCACAGCCTTCATCGAGGCCATCTATGGAGACGCTTCGGGCCAGGCTCAACCGCCCACCCGAGCACAGACTCCACAACTTGTACGAGCACACGATTTTCCTTCTGCTGTTGATGCGCCCCGCGCAAATGCTTTCTACTCCGAGCTCTCACAGGTGCAAGAGAAGGAGGCGCCCGTACTCACCCCCAAGACTGTACGGGCGGTCCTCAAAGAAGACTACACTGTCTCCTCGCCCTGCACTCCAGAACTGCTGCGTCGTGGCCTACCTGCCCTATCCTATGGCAGCCGTCAGCCACTGCAGACGAAGTATGGCAGTCTCAATACCCCCAGCAGGTCTCCTTCGAGGCATTACATGAGCCTCACTGCTTCCACACAACAGAAGAAGAGATGTACTAAAACCGCCTCCCTGAAGGGCGACCACTTAGTGCCGCTGACTCCACGCCGACACCTGGCCCGACCTTCCACACTGCCTCAGGTTCCAGATATTAGCACCATCAACGTTCCATGCGATCCTGCGGCCGAGTACATCGTACTCATGTCGATGTATGAGGTATACAATGACCGAATTTTTGACCTGCTCATGCCCCCAGTTAGATCTTCTACTACGAAGGAGTTTCGACGAAGGCCGCTGTTGTTCAAGCCAACCGAGCTGTCGCCCGACCGAAAGGTGGTGGCTGGCCTCCGCAAGATCATGTGCTCGGACTTTCATCAGGCTATGATGGTGCTTGAGGCTGGCCTACACGAGCGACGTGTTGCAGGTACTGTCAGCAACAGTGTCAGTTCCCGGAGCCACGGATTCTTCTGCATCGAAGTTATGAAGCGGAAGAGGTCGGTCAGCAAACGACATCGTTATCCCTGGAGTGGCAACACCCTCACCATTGTGGATCTCGCCGGTAGCGAGAGGGCTCGAGATGCAAAGACCGCAGGGGCCACGCTTGCAGAGGCGGGTAAAATCAACGAGTCGCTGATGTATCTGGGCCAGTGCTTACAGATGCAGAGCGATATCGGCAGTAACAGCAAGGTATGGCCTCAGGGCTCACCCCTTTCTACATGAGCGATAGGCTGACTCGACCACTCGTACAGCCGAGTATTGTGCCATTTAGACAGTGCAAGCTCACCGAGCTGCTGTTCTCAAACTCGTTTCCATCCTCGTCGTCGCTCAGTCAGTCTCAGATGACACGGCGCAACCCGCAGAAAGCTGTGATGATCGTAACAGCGGACGCAAGTGGTGACTATAATGCTACATCCCAGATTCTCCGCTATAGCGCCCTGGCACGAGAGGTCACGATCCCTCGAAACCCATCGATCTCCGAGGCTATGCTCCAAGTCGACAATACAGCGGAAGGTCCAAGCACCTACGACAGTGGGGGCCCAGTTCTGTCTCCAGCTTGGGGTCTTCATCGACCGCCTTGCCTGCTTTCTAGCACCACGACGCAGGGCCATACCGTGGCGCGAGACTTTTCTCCCACGAGCATGACGTCTTCGGAAGATCGCGTCACGATGGAGCATGCTGCGCTCGAGATTTCTCGACTATCCGAAGAGACTAGGCATCTCCGAGAGTCTCTCTTGCGCGAGCAAGAGGCACGAGCTGCCGCCGAGACGCACCTGCTTTCAATCCAGGATAAGATGTTAGAGCTCGAGCAGGCAGTGCGTGAGGACTGCGTCGCCGAATTCGAGCAGCGTCTTGCTGTAGAGCTCGCCCGGTGGAAGGCAGGCATGCAGATGGCAATTGAGAGAGGCGAGGAGCACTGGGATAGAAAGATGGCGGTCTTCGAGAGAGGCTTGGCGGATCACCCTGCCGAGCCCGAGGCTGTCGGAAGTGTCGATATGGACGCGTGTGACAACAAGGAGAACATCCTCACAGAATCGCTTGAGGAGGAGAATGCAAGGCTGCGCCGTGAGGTGATGATCTTGAAGAGGGAGCTCGCTGGAAAGAGTCCGACCAAGCGGATGCCCTTAATGGAGAGAGACGACTTCACAACCAGTGCCAACGGCAGCCCTCTGTCGATGTACACAAGGCAAGTGAGCCGAAACATGAGCAACGAGAACATCCAAGGCGAGATCCTACATCGGCGAATCGAGGACCTCACGTTGCACTCCGGTGGTACCGGGGAACGGAAGCCCAGAAAGGGCAACAGAAGTGAGAACAGCAGCCGAGGCAACAGCAACAGCCGCGTCGAGGGGACAGGGACACCCACGAAGAGGCTCAGAAAGCTGACAACAAGGAAGTGGGAGGGAGGCTTGGGTGTGGAGGATGATCCTTTCTGAAAAGTCAGGATATTGATGACATCTTACGACTAAGTTTTGTCTGTCTTCTATCCTGCGAAGTTTTTTCCGAGTTTTTTTTTTTTTTTTTTTTTTTTCATTCTTTCTTTCTTTTCGGCACCTCTTTATAAATGATACACGGCCCCATATGAACTGCGAGAGACACACTTTGTCCACTACGACCCGGCATGATATACACAGCGGGGCAAGGTTGGCCCCCCAGAGATGGCGCAAGGCACAGTTGGGACAGTGCTCATAATGATGGATACCCAGCACACGGAAGACCGGTCTTGTCTGCCTTGGCTTGATAGTCAGAGATGAGTTGGATGAGCTGAATCATTGATTGGGTTTGATAGTCTTGGTGGGACATTTGCATAATTTGGCCTCCCAGTCGTGGGACGGTATTTGAGAGATACGAGTTCTTTAGGTCTGTTCGTCCCAGTCAGGGTCGATTTCTCTTTTGCTCGAGTGATTTTATGCGCTCTGGTCGTACTGATGTCTCACCTTGGAGCCCGACTACGACGTATTGTCCTGCTCCCTCCTGATGGTACGATGCAGTCCCGAGAGTTCAATGCTGCCGGATCATTCTCCTCAGGTACTGACACATGTGTAACAGGCCCATCCACAACATCCAATCCTGGTGTCTTGGCAAGGAACAGAATCTGTGTGCTCACCTTCACTCTGGCTTCCACATGGCAGGGGGCGTTGAGGCCTCGAGGCCAGATGCTTCCAACGCCACGCAACAATGACAATTTTGGCGCCATATTACGAAAGGGGTTGGTTTTCTGCGAATGGTAGGCTCCAAAGGGATCAATGAATCTGTCGTGGAGCCTGTACGAATTGCTGATCCAGGATACCGGTGCGTATTTTGCTGCGATGCTATCGTCATCATGACGATGTGATCACACTCTGTTTTGTTTTTTCCCTCGCCTCGCAAGATCCTTCTACTCGTGACAAACTCCGCAACAGGCAACACCTATCTTTTGCTTCTCGGGTGTGGCTTGGTTATCCGGCACATTTTCCATTGGACCCTCCAACTTTGCTTTTGCCTCGGAGAGACGCGGGGTGATTCATTGCGGCGGTCAGCAAAAGCTAGATGTGGCAAACCAGGGTGCAGTAAGCGGTGGGAGGTTGTTTGCTTTTTCTTCTTCTTTTCTTTTCTCCTTGCCCCCCCCCCCCCCCTCCTTTAATTTTTTGGTGTTTCCTCTCCCATGACCCATCCCCACCCTCCTCTCTCCCTCCTACTTTCACTTATCACACCTGTGAGGGAATGCGTGTATGTAGGTAAGCTGACGGGAGCCAGCAAAAGGGACGCGCATGACTTTTGGCAAGGATGGCTTCGCACTCAATTGTGGCGTCAAGCCACGGTCCTCGGCGCGCAGCGCGCAGGCACTGGGATTCGTCACTAATTGTTGAGGGAGCACAATACACCTCAAAGGACAATGCTCACAGCAGGCCGAGGCTCGTGCCTCCGTGGAGCGTTCTCGTCCACTCACCGAAATCTCGGTGCAAGCATGTTTATGTCGTGCAATGCTTGCTCGATGCACATGGCGTCCAATCTTCGATGAGGCAGGGAAGTAGATCTCGGGTAGATATGCAAGATCGATACCGTCTCTGGCTTTTCTAGCATGGCTGAAGATGGATGGGCAGCTCACTCAAACCATGGCTACGGTGGAGACCTCAACAACCGTGAGGGACGCCATTGTGTTCAAAGCGGCTTCCGGGTTGTGGATTCCGATGCAGTACACTTGGACTATACTGGCTTCGAGGCTTTTTCTATTCGATTCTGCTTCTTTTTCACCCCACCACCATGCCTTGTCATCAAGTACTATTCGCGCGGCTCGAGTGATAGCCTCACCTGCTCTCACCTTACCTGAGCTGTCATGCGTGTCGGTTGTTTCAAATCAAAACGCCACATTGCCTTGCATGTCAATGTTTCTTCCGGCCAGCCTTCCATAGCCCCAACGCGGTGTACCATGAGGATACGGCATTGTTGCCCGAGGCCTGCACTATTGCATGTCTGAAGATCCAAATCTGGCAAGATGGTTTTTTACTTTGTCCAGTCAGGTGAAGAACCTAGATCGATGAGATGATGAGGCTTGTCGTGGGTCCCGCTTATGAGGAAAGGGGTGGGGGCTTGGGCGGAGAGTGAGTTAGCAAATTCCCAATGGTTTTTCCCAAGCCAGATAGAAAGGCTATCTTGTGGTGATATAAGAACATACAATTCCCTCGTCAAGCTGTTGTGAATTTGAGCAATCGATAGATTATCTGCTAGGGTAAGCGGGCCTTCACATACGATATCTCCTTCACACCCCTAGTCCTAGCATATGATTTCGTACTACACTGCTGCCATGCAGTCCATAGCACCTCCTGTCCACCTTTGGACCCCATCTCCCCGGTCCTACAAAGGCAAGATGGATCCAAATGCAGCTCTCGCCCAGGAGCTCAGGGGCAGGACGATACATGTCAACATGACCAGAAGCTTCGACTCCTGGCCATCTGGAGCCAGACACCCAGACTATGAGCGTCTGGTGGGTGCGGTCAACAACATGCTTGAAAGGTAAACAATCTTCTTCTGAACCCTGCTCTCTGACTGCTAATTGCAGAGGAGAATCGATAGATATACTTACGTGTTCAATGTCACAGGAGTATCCCCGACATTGCTCAGTGTGAGAAATTCAAGAAGAGCAACTTTGCCCTGTTCGCATCTTTGTATGTGGTTTCTTTCCCAGCCCCTTTCCTAGTAGTCCCTTACAAATTTTGGGTATATGTCTATTGGACAAAGATGCTGACAGTTCTATGCCAGATGGTGGCCAGATGCTGCCTGGGAAGACCTCTATAGTGCAACACTGTTTACTGTTTGTTTGTTTATCTGGGATGATACTATCGACACCAATGAACACTTCCTGGCCTCGGACTTCGACAAGGCCAACATATGGCGCAAGCAGTCCCTCGAGTACTTCGAATACCACCTGGGGCTTTTAGAAGAGGAGGACGAACCAGAGAGCCCAGATGATGCCTGTCTCCTGTTCAAGGAATTCGGAAAGAGATTCTGCAGCAAGTTTGGCCAAGGTGGGTTCGGACTGCAGCCACAAGTAATCACTAAGCCTTGTATTCCCCTCATTCATTACTGACAAGGTGGATGTTCCCCCTTACAGCTCAACGGCAGAGGATGTTTTCCAGGATCCAGGACTTCGTTCAATACAACATGGTGGAACAAGCTGAGCGCCTGGCGGGCCGTATCCCAAACTACGAGCAGTACATGCAGATACGTTTTGGCGTCACTGGCGTGCGTATGTTCTCTCTTCTTCTGGAGTAGGTTCGGCAAACCCCCACGGCCCTTCAACTCTCCCCTTCCCTTCTTATTTTCGAGTGCTTAGTGGTATTACAAGTGGCTGACCTCGAACTGAAACACCTTCATAGAATCACCAATCGAACCGCGCTGCCCGCTGAGATCATGGACTCTCTTGAGATGGAGGCCATTGTCAGGGAATGCAACTTCATTATCATCGTGTAGGATAAATACCTTGCCTCTTCTTCAGACTCGCCATAATCACGATGCTAACGACGAACATTAGGGTAAATGACATTCTGTCCCTCAAAAAGGAGATTGTAAGTGGCTCAACAGCACACCTTTTTTGTTGTTATTCATTGTTATTATTGTTCTTCTTTCATCTCTCCCTCTTCTATCCTGTCTATCTTGCTATGCAGCTATACTCGCACCACCACGACGCCCCATCTGATGATATCAACCCCAACCAGGCCACAGACTGCGTCGTCAATATCGTCCCTGTTCTCCTCAAGACAGGCCAGCCCCTCGACCGTGTCATCTCCGGCCTCATCGAGGAGATGCACAACTCCAGAGACCGACTCGACAGCATGGCTGCGAGGCTGAGCGACATGACACGAGGTAATTCCCAACTCCACAAAGATGTCATGAGGTTCATCGACGGGATCCGTATCATGGACACTGGGACGCTGATCTACTCGTGAGTCTCCCGCCATTACTCACCTCCCGTCCTTCTCTGTTTCTATGTCCCTGGTTCGAAATAAATACTCATTGTCACAAGGATCGAGTCACCGAGATACGGCGTGAGAAAGTATCTGCAGCCAGACGGAACACTCAGCATAGTTCTGTAATGTGCGTCAGTCAATGAATCAACAAAATACCCTATTCTTTTTCGACCCTTTGAAGTTTTTTGCGTTCCAAAAACGCGTTGCCTGCTTGGTGCTGTCTGATTACCTCTTGATTTCCTTGTGCCGAGCTGTGATAGTTATGCTTTATCTCTCGAGGTGCTTCCAATGCGGTTTGCAGGTCTATAATTTGACGCGCGGGGGTGGTCGGTCAGTGGGTCTGATTCATCTTCGTATCTCTCCTTGCACGTCTCACGAGAATCAACATTCCACTCTCTGCTGGTGGATGTGCCCCCCCCCCCCTCCCCTGGCCCACACAAGCAGCTTTTCGACATGAAGACGGTGCATTTCAAGGACATGCGCCGTGGTGCTCATGTAGCCTATATACAGACCAGTGAGTACTGGACGTGTGATTTGGAGGGATGGACCAGGCTTCTGAAAGTGGCTCAACGGGGCTCCAGTATACCTACAACAGTCACTTGGTACCACTTGCAGTCCTTCTCACACACAATTCATTGAATACGTCTCCCATTTTAGCCTTAAAATAATGTACACACATCTCGTCATGACTATGACAAGTGAGAAAGCAAAAGTCACTAACTAGTCATCTGTCGTAAGAACCTCAGTAATTGCCCCCTCCTTGAAGCCCGGACGAAAAACTAATTCTGAAATTTGGGACGTTGTGATTAATGCCTCATCACACATGTCCTATCGTAACATCACGGACTGTGAATCCCAAATCAAGAGAAGACAAAAAAACAACTCCATGTCTTGTGCCAGTCAGGTTCCCGTGACCCATCACGCCCGCGCCTCATGCTAGACTCAGCAGTTACTCAGTCTGAGTCCATAGCATAGACATCTGAGCCACCGCTGCCAACGTCAGACATGTCCTCGTCCTCCGAAGGCAAAGCGTAGCTCTTCTTCTTTGCTGCCGCTGCGCGACCAGGACGTCCACTTGCAGCACGCGCAACAGGCGCCGGAGGGGAATCCTCCATACGAACGTCGCCATCGCCATCATCGTCCTCGTCATCGCTCAAGTCGAATGCCTTCTTCCTGCCCTTGCTACCAGCTGCAGAGGATTTGTTCTTGGCAGCATAAGCCTTGGCGGCTGGAGATAACTTCGTGGGCTTTGCATCGTCCTTGGATTTGGCGTTCTTCGAGCCGGCGGGGCGACCGCGGACCTTCTTGGCAGGACCAGCGGACACGACGTTGAGGGGCGCCTTGCCTTGTTTAGGCTTGGCCTGGGTTTTGGACGTGGCTGGAGCGTCCTCGTCTTCAGACATCAGCTCGTCAATGTCGGAGGACTTGGTCGGCTTCTGGGGCGAAGACTTGGCCAGCAGCTCGTAGTTGGTGTCATCAGGACTGTCCATGTCAAAGTTGGCGCGGGCCTGCTTTGTCTTCAACTTGGGCATTGCAGCATTGCCGTGCTCAGATCGCGACATGGCAAATAGACTCAGTCTGCCATTAGTCGAGGCCGCGGCAGGCTCACCGATGCCCCGGACTAGGGCGCCGACGTCTCCAATCATATTGTCACCATCGCTCTCCGACTCTTCGTCTGTGTCGAAAGCCCACTTTTTGGCTTTGGAGGCAGCTGCACGTTTGCTGCGGCCAGTGCTCGGTTTGACCTCCTCGACCTCTGGTTCTGACTCCTCCTCGGGCTCAGCAGACAACATTGGAGACGGCTTCTTGGCGTTCGCTGCCTTAGCTTTGGCCTTGGGCTTGCTCAGCGCCGCAAAATCCTCGTCATCGTCGTCTGAGAGATCAATTACTGGAGACGTCTTCTTGACAGGTGCTGCTACCTTGGACTTGCCTTTGGGCTTGTTCTCCTCCTCCTCCTCGGAAAGATCCACCACAGGAGACGGCTTCTTCGCTGGTGCTGCCTTAGCCTTGCCATTGCTCTTGCTTGGGGCGATGAAGTCGTCGTCATCGTCCTCAGACATGTCCATCGGAGAAGGCATCTTTGCGGGTGCCGCTTTAGGCTTGGGCCTACTTACGGTAGCGAATTCGCCACCGTCGCCGTCAGAGACATTCGGCTGGGATGGTTCTGCTGTGGGCTCCTTGGTAGGCTCCGGCTGGATCTCTGGTTCTTCGAGCGAGGCAAAATCATCATCCTCGTCTGACAGGTCCAGAAGGATAGTAGGCTTCTTTGCACGGACAGGCTTGTCCCTCGGTGGCTCCTTCTTGAACGATTCCGTCGTGAACTCATCATCAGAGCCTGCTGCTCCATCAGTGCTCAGGGCAGGGGGCTTCGATGCCTTGGAGAACTGCGATGCGAAGCGTTGTTGAGCTGTGGTCTTGACAGGAGGCTCCATGATTGTCTTCACAGTCCGCCCGGTCTTCATGTTGGACCTGGCCTTGGACTTGCTGCCTGGGTCGTACTCGTCATCCTCGTTCTTGGAACGTTTGCCGCCCTTGCCAGCACCAATCTTCTTGGAGACGCGGCGACCCATCTTTCTGATGTTGCTGCGGATCTCGTCGTCCAGGCGCATCTGGTTCTCCCATTCCTCGACAAAAGCATCGAGATCCTTGCACCAGAGGTCCTTTTCGCTGAGTGCTTCGAGCTCATCCTTCTCGGCCTTCTTGTCGGCGATTTGTTTCTTCAACCGCTCGAGTCGTTCGAGAGTCAGAGAGTAGATTTGCATCTGGAAGCACGTCAGTACGGCAAAGCAACAGAAGCGCAGCAGCCATGCACTTACCGAAAGCAGATAATCGTAGTCTCCAGCACCGGGGATATTGGTGTTGACTTCCTCATCATCCTTGGCCGCATCATCATCCTGGTCCTGGTCCATCTCCTCATCGGTGTTCTTGACCTTGTTGCCAATCTGGCCTTTGGGGAATGGCCTGTACTTGGCTGCGCGAAGTTCTTGCACTAGAACGGCCTTCTTCTTCTTGGCGACCACGATCTTGCCGTTGATAATGTCCTCGATGAAACGTGCCATGTTCTTCAGCTTCTCATATTCATCATCAAGAACCCGGAGCCAATATGCCTGGATGAAGGTCAGCGATACGCCGTCTACTTGAAGTGTGATCATGCGAGGGAGACTTACTCTTCGTTCAGTGTACAGCCCGAGCCGGTACAGGTAGAATTCTTCCAAGATCTGCTCAACGTTGTCGTATTTGCGGATCTGACCCCGTGGATCGAAGGCCACAAGGTTCGTAGTACCGATAGACTTGGTCAGCTTAAACTTCTCAAGCAGATCGTTGTCCTCGATAGCCTTCTTGACGACCTTGTCATCTATCTGGATCTCGAAGTGAACGTTGCGATGGTCGTTGAACTCCTTGTAGTCCTTGATCCAGGAGAGGCCCTTGTCGCCTCGGATGATCTGTTCAAGTCTCGCTTTGAAGTCATCTGTCCATGTACGAATGGGCAGTTCGGTGACGAGGACTTCATTTGGTTTGTCCTGCGTGGCGATGCCATTGAATTTGTACCTGCCAGGACCTTCAGGTTCAGCTTGACCCTTCCAGCCCCGGAACCAGGGGGTCATGGTCTCGAAGGCCGCCTCCTCAGATAAGCCGTCAACGCGACCCATGCGCCTCTTCAGGTTATTGATGATGTCCATGGGATGGTAGTTAGGAATGGAGGTGCTCCAACCAGTTCCGATACCATCAGCGCCATTGCAGAGGACCATTGGGAGGACCGGGGCGTACACCTTGGGCTCGATCTGCTTACCATCCTCAAACTGTGCTTCGAGGACCGGCTCGTCAAGAGCAGAGAACACTCGTCGGGCGAAAGGAGACAGACGAGTAAAGATGTAACGAGCACTGGCAGCATCGCTACCACCAGCGAGACGAGAACCGAAGTTACCACTGGGCTCCAGGATGTTGACGTTGTTCGAACCGACAAAGTTCTGCGCGAGGCCAATGATGGTCTGTTGCAGCGAGGCCTCACCGTGGTGGTAAGCAGTCTGCTCAGAGACATAGCCAGCCAGTTCAACCACCTTCTTGTCCTTGGTCAGGTTCCGCTTGAAGCATGCGAACACAACCTTCCTCTGACCAGGTTTCAGGCCATCTACCACTGATGGGATGGACCGGAGGTTGTCGGCCATAGAGAAGAGGATTAGCTCCTTGTTGACGAAATCGGTATATGTGATAGACTTGGTCGAGTGATCCAGAAATGTTCCGGGAACGAACTTTCCGAGCCACTCCTTTCTCGCGTCTGCCTTCTTCTTGGAGAAGGCCAGCTCGAACAATTCGGTCTCCTCCTGCTTCATGGTGTGGAACTCCTTCAGGTGGTTGTCCAGATCAGTGAAGTAGACTTGCGCATCTTCATTGGTGCTGGTTCCCAGACCCTTGAAGTACTTGTAGTGCCATCTATTGATCTCATGATGATGCTTCTCTTTCCAGTCCTCGTACTCGGGCATTGTGAAGAAAGACCTCAGTTTCAGAGGCTTCTTCGGGTTCGGACCCTGCCAGACCTTGACGACGGGAGTCGTGAACTCTCGGAAAAAGTCCGGAATTTGCAGGAGTGAAGGGAATTGCACCTGAAGGAAATTGATGAGGAGACCCTTGATATGACTACCGTCGTGATCTTGATCAGCCATGATCATCAAATGACCGTAGCGCAGGCGCTTGGCGTCAGTATAGGTCTCCTTGTGCTTGAGACCCATAAACTGCTTGATGTTGCTGATCTCCTGGTTCTTGAGGATCTGGTCGATAGATGCATCACGGACGTTCAGCATTTTACCTCGGAGGGGGAAAACGCCAATGCGGTCCGGGTCGAGGATGGCACGACCTGCGACGGCGAGACCACGGGCTGAGTCACCTTCAGTCAAAATCAGGGTACACTCGTGGCCATGCTTGGTCCCCGCCAAGTTGGCATCGACAAGCTTCTCGTTGCTGATACGAGACCGCTTGTTTCCATCCGACTTGGCCAACATCTTGTCTGCCTTCTTCTCAGCGAAGTGCAAAATGTTGTCGATGGCGTCGGTCGCCCTGATCTTCTTGATGAACCCATCAGTGAGCGAGCATTTGCTACCGAAAGCGCTGACCTTGGTTGTCATCTGCTCCTTGGTCTGCGACGTGAATGCAGGGTTGTCGATGAGACAGTTGACAAAGATGAAGATATGATTGCGGATGTGATTCGCCTTGAGGGAGTGGCCCTTCATCTTCTTGGTGAGATCTTTCAGCAGGGCAGCGCAGATCTGATCAGCAATATAGTTGACATGCGTTCCACCAGAAGTCGTGGCGATCGAGTTGACGAAGGACACTTGTTGGAATGAGCCGTCCGACACTGTAAAGCCGACCTGCCAGCGCTGATGCGCCTTGGTGTCCTCAAAAATCACGGTGGCAGGTGCAGGCCCGGTACCGTCGGCGTCGACATCCTGGCGCTCCTTTGCGATGGCCTTGGCATACATTTCGCAGTACTTCTTGAAGCCGACCTTGAGGTGCTCCCCGTTGAGGTGGACCTTGACGCCCTCGACCGTCCCAGCCAAGTCATAGACTCGCCTGTACATGACGGCCTCGGTGTCGTCGTCAATGCCCTCATGCATGGCGAACTTTGCAAAGTCTGGCTTGAAGGTCACCCTGACGAAGTCCTTGGACTTGTTGGAGGTGATCTTGGGCTTGTCCATCTTGCCCATGTTGTTCCGCCAAGTGGTCTTGTACCTTTTGCCGTTGGTCGAGTCCTGACACTCGAGGGTGAACTCGGTACTAAAGACGTTGCAAAGCTTTGCACCGTATCCGTTACGGCCACCGACAGTCTTCTTCTCATTATCGTCGAAATTGGAACCGGCGAGCAGATGACCAAAGACCAGCTCGGGGATGTAGATACCCTCCTTCTCGTGCATCTCTATAGGGATACCCTTGCCGTCGTTCTCGACGGTAATCTCGCCCTCTGCTCGGTTGATAGTGATCTTGATATAGCTCATACCCTTGTCGCGCTGCTTGTTGTCGGCGGCGTTCACAAGGATTTCGTCGAAGATCTTGTAGAAGCCGGGCACAAGCTTGACAGACTTGAACTCCATCAAGGACTTCTCCTTGTTGAAGACCCACATCTGGCTCTCGGTGCGTTCGATGGAACCGATGTAGGTATCTGGACGCACGAGGATGTGCTCGACTTGACTGAGCTTCTTGTACTGCTCGGTGGCAGTCTTCCTGTTGGCGGGCGCGGCCTCTGAGGGCCCATCGAGCTGCATAAAGCTATCATTCTCGATCTCGCCTAAGGGCTTGCCGCCACCCTTCTTGACAGGCTCCTTCTTTTGCTTCTTGGCATTAGGGGGGGTGTTGGACATGTTGCCGTCGAAAGAGCCATCATCATCGTCGTCGCCGTCGCTGTCTGGCTTTGCGCGCTTCTTGGTCGCCACCTTGGTCTTGAGGGTGGTCTGGGTCATCTTCTTAGGCGCGGCCTTGGCGGCAGGTTTCGCAGCAGCGGCCTTCTTCCCTGCAGCCTTTGCCTTGGGTTTCTGCGACTCGTAAGCAGCTAAATACCTTTGATGCCGACGAGATGAACGTGTTGGTGTTGAGCTATGACACACGAGGGCGCGCGGCGCGCGGCGCGACACACGCGACTGTTGAAGGATAGAAATGACTTACCGGCTCTGGAGAGTAGGCATCTGACTCGTCTTGGAAATCATCGAAGGCCGACTCGACGTCGGAATCCATCTTGATGGCGTGTTTGTGGGCCTCGCAGCCCAAATGCCGAGTTGATGGCCGTTGCGAAGAAAAGATGGGAGGAGGAAAGAGGTGTCGCGAAGGATTGGATGGGTACGCGCGAAGGTGGGATGCATAAACAGATGAGATTTGCAGGTGGGGACAAGTCAAATAGAGGAACGTGGCTGGCCCTGCAGCCAGACGGAAGAAGAGAAACGCAGGCTGTCTGCAAATGATAATGACAAGGGGTGGTATTGCAGCCTCAGGGCTGGCTGGCTGGCGGATAGGGCTCGTTGTGGTTGGTTGGCAGCTTTGAGATTGTTGTGTGTTGCGCGATCGATCTCGTTTTGGAGTTGGATGGCTGCCCTTGCTTGAATGGTTGCCAGGGTGGAGTGGGTAGTGTTTGTTGGTGCTTTCTGCTGAGCGAGCACGCGTCTGCGCCTGGCCTCGAATAAGACGGCAGCAGTTGGTGCACCGCGACGGACAAGGATGGGCTCTGCAAGGGTTGGCATGCAGGCGTGCTGGCATGCTGGGGTAAGGTGTTAGTTGTCACAGTGTGTACTGTGATCTGTGATTTTTGTTTTGTTTTTGGCGGGTGTGGCTGGTGCATGGTGGATGACTAAGCTGGGCTGACGACTGGGGGAAGGAGGGTAGCCTGTGATGTAGCTGTGATTTCCTTTTCTCCCTTTTCTCACCTTCATTTTACGTTCTCCCTCCCACAGCCTGTGGTGTGGGCTTTTCCTTCAACTCTCTTCTATAGATAATTAAAAATAATACTTGTTCATTGCAGCGTGCTATCGGGAAAGCTTGGACTGCTGTAACAAGGCCTTCTAAAGGTGGACAGTTTCCTTGCACGTCTGGCCGGCTTCTTGGACATTACAAGGCCTCCTCAACATTGGACACCACCAGTTAAGAGGATTTCGACATAGGCTCCCCTGTACATAACATCCTAACATCAAACCTAATTGCTTTCCTCTTTACCCAACACCATCACCTGCTTAGTCAGGAATCCACTCGAGACACCGGCGTGGTGTCTGTCCGGAAATACACAGCAGGGTATACGGGAGCTTTCTTGTAGGAAATCTGAGGACGGCAGGTTTCCTGTCGAAAAGACTAGGATGGGAGAGGTCATTTGGCGCTCACAAATGCGCAAGCCGAAGGAGAGCAATCAAGTCAAGACCGAATAGACCAACGTCGCTGCTAGGGACACGCTCACTTCACGCCCAAACACCGGACCTGCTTTGAGACACGACCCACACGACTTCTAGGACGGCGACGCGGACTTCGTCGGACAAATCGTACATGTGAAGTAATCCTTGACGGGCTGACCCCAAAGACCTTTCGCAGTCTGACAAACCATCGCAACACTATCAAAGTGAGTAGTCATTACCACTCTAGTCACAAGCAACCAAATCAGAAGGTAATTAACCCATCTGCAAGGGCGGAGACTGGCAACTTGCTTACAATTCGGTGTAGAGCGGCCCCCGGCCGAAGCCTGTCCGGAAGCCGGAAAAGGTGCGAGACCAACCGGCTCCGGCTGTTACCGGACTTAACAAAGAGAGCATCTTCAAACACGCCTGGAATTCTTGACTCTTCACTGTCCCCAAGACAAGATATAAGACATCGTGATTTCTCATTTTCCTCACAATCAATATGGCATCCATCTCTTCAGTGCCGTCGGTCCTCATATCAAGCCTGCCCCCAGAAATTGTCCATGTGCATTGTGTTGAACGTTTTCAAATCCCATGTTCTAGGCCAGAAGTGACTTGTATATCCTATAATCCTTTGATCTCAACCCATCCCCACCCACCCCTCTAAAATAGTCGACATGGCTTTCCAAGGACCACCTGTCCCCAAGAGCCTGCTTGGCAGGCACCGTCTTCTTGCGCCCTCTGCGAGCGTCCGTGTCAGCCCCTTTGCTCTGGGAGGCATGAGTACGTGGTGTTGACAAGACCCCAGCAGTACACAAAGACCCCAATTTATTAATAATTCCTCACTGACAACAATGCTGCAGGTTTTGGCACGGCATGGCAGGTCATAATGGGGGAATGTACCAAGGAGGCGACGTTCGATCTCCTCGATGCCTTTTACGACCTGGGCGGCAACTTTATCGACACGGCCAATGCCTACCAGGGCGGCCAGTCTGAGCAGTGGATTGGGGAGTGGATGAACAAAACAGGACGCCGTGCCGAGATGGTGATCGGGACCAAATATACCATGAACCCGCTCATGGGCGAGCCGGTGCAGGCCAGCAATTTTGGTGGTACCGGAACGAAAGCCATGCATAATTGCATCACCAAGAGTCTGGAGAACCTTCAGACAGACTATGTCGATATTGTAAGCATGATTCACACCGCGTGAAGTCATGCTCCGTTTCCCATCAGCTAGGCACTGGGTGTTTGGAGACTGACCGACTTGCGAATACAGTATTACGTCCACGCCTACGACTTTGCCACCTCCGTCCCCGAGTTGATGCAGTCTCTCAACCACCTGGTAGCCCAGGGAAAGGTCCTGTACCTTGGAATCAGCGACAGCCCCGCGTGGTTTGTCGTGAAATGCAATGCCTACGCCCGCCAGCACGGCCTGCGCCCGTTCTCCCTCTACCAGGGTCGATTCTCGGCACAGCAACGCGATCTCGAGCGTGAGATCATCCCCATGTGTAAGGAGGAGGGCATGGCCATCCAGGCCTTTGGCGTCCTCGGTGGTGGCAGCTTTCGAGTCCCGGGCGCGGTGAAAGAGGAGGGTGGCCGCAATGCGCCTCCGCATCTGCTCACCGGCCGGGAGGAGCAGGTATCTGCTGTCCTGCACCGAGTTGCTCAGCGCCGTGGAGTGCCCATCACCAGCGTCGCACTGGCCTATGCTATGCAGAAGGTAAGTCACTATCCAAAACTCATATCGCAAGAAAGAAAAAGAAAAAAAAAAGGATGTTGTGTGTGTCAAGAGCTGAGAATCCCTTGTTCCTTGTCAGACACCCTATCTGTTTCCCATCATCGGCGGTCGTAAGGTTGAGCACCTGAAGGCCAATGTCGAGGCCCTGGGCCTCGAGCTGGGCCGGAAGGATGTCGAGGAGATCGAGAAGGCATATGACTTTGATATTGGTTTCCCGCACAACCTCATTAGCAATACAGGTCAGGTGCCACAGGGACCGCAAGATGTCGGCCTTCTGGCATTGCTAGGTCATTTCGACTATGTTGCTCCTCAGGCTGCCATCAGACCCCAGAAGGACGTCCTCGTTTCCGAATAGCAACTTGAGGACTGGTACGACGTCAAGCATGGCTTCTGAGAATTGAATCGTTTTCCCGCCTTTCTTTTTTCTTTCATTTTCTGATAGTGACACCAGCAACGCTTCCGTAGGCCACCTATAGTAGCCTCCTCTGCAACATGAGGGTTATCAAGTTATGCGGCTGTATATCGAGCTTCTTTGTAAAATTGAACGCCGTTGAACCAAATGTCCACAACCTTGTCATCGGTATCGTGTTTTGGGTCGGGTGCACAGGATCGCTACCTTAGGCTCTTCAGTCTTCCATTGGCCACCACTGCTGCCACTTTACCTCACCCTGCCTCCATTTCTTGCTTCTTTTGAGGGTGTACATGTTTAGCAACGACGGATAGATAGATGACCTTGAGCCCACCATCGTCGCATGGAAATGGAGGGGCCATGGCGTGGCACGCTGCCGTGTCCGACTGGCCTTGCACGTTGCGTTCCCAGCAGGCCTGGTTCCGGTTGGCCTTGCAAGGATGCAAGTGTGTTGCTGAGCGGCATGCACATGGTCCTGTGGCAGGTAGTAGTCATGGAGAATTCTCCGGCGACACAACTGAAGGTTGTGTGTCTTCCGCCTCGGCTGTCCAAGCATGTCTCGCAGTGCTTTGTGTGTTGCCTCTGGCGTGCCCCCTTTCTCTTTCTCTGCATCCCCTCCTCTCACCTTGTCCAAGGACAGGGACGACAAGGATGACGTTGCAGTCGTTGTGCAGGCGGCGCGGACAGCTTTCAGGCTGCGCGACGTCACTAAGTACGGATGGAGAATTGTTGTGCTATGTAGTCCAAAGCACATTTGGAAGAAGTCGTTGGCTGTCTGGCACTGAGCCCAAGCGCCGGCTGGATGAGGGGAAGGTCTTCCCCGTGTGCTTCCCGTGTGTTACATGTACGAGCAGGCTAGTAGTGATGGTTAGGTAGGTCATTCAGGGCCCGGGACTTTGACGTAGGCCTAGAAGATGGGGAAGGTCGACCCCCTGAAGCAGAGCCATTCTCCCCCCAAAAGCTCTGCCCCCACCTACAGAACAGAACGGCAGTCACCAAACTACTACACACTATGGTATTAGTACCACGACTTCTAGTGCAGTATAGCGCTGTACTATAAGTAGCATAGCACGGCATTCTCGTGCAAGGATTTATTTCGACACCTACGGGGCCAAGCCAGGGATGTGGCGTTGACACGATGGCACTTGCTTTGGTAAGGAGTGAGACGACAGCTTCCTTCCCTCTTTGGACACAGCTTTCCGTTTGTAGGTGACTAGCCCTCGCCGTCGCCTTCTACAGATACTCGCTCATGACGTTGTTCATGATGACCTCCACATTGCTCAACCTCTGGCCTGCAGACGACCATAGCGTCCTCCTCTGTACCTGGAGTTCATTTACATGCTCCTCTGACCGTTGCACACCTGGCCAGTCAAGTCAGTCTTCACTGACATACTGTTCTGTCCTCCCCCGTCCCCCATTCTTCTTCATCTTCCTTTGTTTCGCCTGCTCTGTCGCAAGAATCAGTCCAATATGACGGGATTTCTCAATCGATGTAGGCGCGGTAGCCTCATCAATCTTGTCCTACGACTCTCAATCTGACCAGTCAAGTCTACTTGATGCGGATCTCCGCGTACTCCTCAGCGCTGTGTGCAGCGCCGCGCATTACTTGCTTCATCCCAGCCGATGACGCCTTTTCTTTTTTTTCTCTTTCTGTTCTAGTTTCCCTCTCCTCTTCTTCGCCGCGCTTACAGCTTGTACAGTACAATACGAGTAGGGACGCAGTTTCACAGGTGCGTGGACAGTTGTGCTCCTGCTACTGCATATCATAGCTGCCGTGCGACGCCTGCAACGCCTGCGCGAGCACGAAAGCAGAGGGAGGGGGAGAAATCCCTGATCGAGCGCCCACAGCCGTCTAAGTCCACACCGGGTACTACAGCGCACATGTTCATACTCCTCCAGAGCAAGAGGAAGTCTCTCTCCCCTATCCCTGCCTGTCAACAACCTGTTGTGCCACCTCTGTGGGAAGCACAAATCATATGAAACCAGGCGGGTGTGTCTGACGGGACTCCCTAGTATGATGTCTTCAGCGCTGCACCTCAAGAGGTTGTTATGCTCGAAGGGGACGAGATAATTAAGCTTATGTCTGCCGCCAGCTCGACTCCATCGTCAAATCATTTGCTCAGGCCGTGGGGTGCGTGCGGATAGCGGATGTGCTCGGACCACATCTCAGCTTCCGGCAGGAGAGACATCTTTCCTTGCCAAATGTGACCCGTCGAGTTTGAGGCAGCGCGGCACAGCAGCGTGTCATTGCACTACACTCTGCTGGCCCAAGCTGTGGCTGTTTCGAGACCATCTCGTGCTGGTTGAGAGGTCTGCCCGGGGCTTGGGGGGATGGAGGTAGGGGATTTCTTCATCGAAGACTAGGTCGCCTTGCCTCCCTCGCAATGACAGACGGTGGGCGTATGTGCATCGAAATGTCTATGAAATTCGGTCAATTCGTCGCCGCGGGAGATTGGCTGAGAGCGTGGATCTGGCTGACATGGCTGGTCATCGCTCTGCCAGAAACAACATGTCACATCTACGGCACGGTCTGTGCTCCAGAAGCCACTCCAGAGCGTGAGCCTCTCATTTCACAGCTCCCGCTCGGCAGCAAGCACTGTCCGTGTTGTCCTTCACGTTTTGGGAAACATGCCTCTTATCAGGTACGGCAGCCTGCAGCACTGAAGGCGGCTGCGACGGCTGGGAGGCCGTGGTGCTGTGGGTTGTTCTAGGGTACATGTCGACTCGAGGTGCTGTCGTCCAATCTTGGGGTTCTCAATTCGGCCACTGTGTACCAGGTCTTTGCGTTCTGGGCCGCACCCGCGCACCCCAACGTCTTGTCCTGGGGAAGACGGTCGGCAGGGTCTTCACCAGCTCGGCCTGCTACTGGCCAGAAATGCCGGCTTACAGATGCCGTGCCATCCAGAAGCTGCCCCACTGGTTTCTCGAGGAAATTTTGAGGCTCCTGTGCTAGTGGTCTTCGGTGAGCAAGGTGCGTGGACCTTGCGATACGGGAGCGGGTCCCTGCCTCCTTGAGAGCCTCATTGAAATCGATGGACCACAATCTCTGACATCGTTGGTCCTTGAGGTAAATGGGGCGATGTCGACAGTGCACGGGCATAAGGGAGGGAGAGAGAAGGGGGGAGGGAGAAGACCTGCACTGCCAGGCCGCCGTTAAGAACAGAGCACGGGAGAGACTGACTTGACGGCTCCACAAGGGCACAAGCTCTGTGTCGCCTCTCGGACAACTTGAATGCGCTTGTACAGGTCCAGCTCGTGGGGGGAACATGACCTGGTAGGCCGGCGTGGCAGCCAGCATCTCCGCCATCTGGGTGTCGTCCATCGGCAACGGTGCACATTCCCAATCCTTTGCCACCTTCTGGAAAGGCGGCAGAATACTTCTCTCACGAGAAACTGGAGCTGATGGAGAGGAGCTGCGGCCCACATTGGATGCCTGAACCGGTGAGTGCGGCGGGTATGCACAGAGCCTACAGTCGACAGAGGATTGGAGGCAGGAGGGGGAAGGCTAGTGGCTGTCGTCGCTATCGTCGTCTTCGTGACTTGACGGTCAGGCCGAGAGCGAGAGCTTGAACGGCCAAGGGACCAGGTCACTGAATACCTCCCATCATCTGCAGAGAAGCATGCGCAGAAGAGAAAGGGGAGCGCCTTCGCCCTGCGCAGATGCAAACGCTGTCGAGCCGGACCTAGGCAGATGTTTGGTTCGGCGTGTCCTCTCATCTCCGTTCTGTCGCGGGCAGAGCGGCCACGTGTGTCGAGTCAAGCAAGAGTAGCTTTCCAGGATATCTGGGCCTCTGGTCAGAAATTCTTTGTTGCACCCTTCTGAGGAGACCGGCTAGTCTGGTGAGTAGCCGGCACGTCCTGCAGCTTCCCGTCAGGTTGGCCTCTGTCAAAGTCTTCCCCCTTGTACTTTTTCTAAACAAGCCAACAACATGTTTGGCTGGTCAAACCGCGATCAAGCTGATTTTGTTTCCCCCCAGGCACACACACATGCTGCGTCATGCAGTCGCCTGTGTTCGCCCTTTCGGGCCAGTGCCCAGCCTGGTGAGATCCGTTGAAACCCTGCTGCCTCGAATCTGATGCTGCTGATACCTCCGCATTTCTCCCGTTTGCAAACGGCGTGTACAGGGACAGGCAGAGAGACAGACAGAGTAGAGAGAGAGAGAGAGAGAGAGAGAGAGAGAGAGAGAGAGAGGTCCGCGACCTGGTTAGCCGCCCAGTGTGTACGTCGACTACACACGTACACACACACACACACACACACACACAGCCACCCACCATCACCCGTCACCAAAACACACACACACACACACACACACACACACACACACACACACACACATGCACACATACGCACACCCCCAGCCTTCTCCTCCCATAGCTCTGATCTGACACTGAGTGGACTTGTCCCTCTGTTGCCAACGGCTGGAGGTGGGAGTGACTGTCGCCGTCGAGAGGGGTGTACTGTTAGATCGGGAAGTAGTTCGTTCTGTTGTGACCAGTCACAGAGCCGTTTGATCTTTCCGGCCGGCTTGACCTGCTGATGGCGAAGTAATGCTTCAGGATAGGCAAAGTGGATAGCAGCCCTCGACCACGATCCCCTCGCTGGGTATTCAGCTCACGTCCGCCACCACAAATCTCATTTGTCTCCTAGTTCATTGACCAGCACCTGGGTCCTTCCTTTATCGCACACTCCGATCAGTACTCACTTTGTGGCTTCCAACTCGACCTCCAAGAAAGAGCGGTGGGCCTTGTGAGCCCACATCTCTTCGCTCAGAGGCTCGATTCCAAGACATCCAGGACAAAGAACCAAGCCCGAGATCATCGCCGACTTGGCCGCTCCTGCGAGCAGCAGCGACAGCTGGACTTGCAGATGATTGCATAGTCGGTCTCAAGTAAAGAAGAAAGGAAAGGTCGTGGTTCCTTGTCCGCACTCACCGCGATACGACACTTGGCTGGTGAGTTCTTGGGCGCGTTGGTCTGGGTGGGCCAGCACGGATCTGTGGTCACTCTGGCTGTTTGCCTATTTCAAAGGCGACTTGGTCTGCCCCTCCCCCATCCGGGCCTGTCAGACCTGACTCTTCTTGCCTTGCATCCTCTCATTCGTTTGCAAGCGTTGTCTAAGCTCTTATCACCAGTACCGTCCTCTCAAAGTCGGGAGTCTGGCCTTCCAGGATCAGTTCCCAACCTCTCCAGCCTCTCGTGCAAATCGTCTCTGTCCCCTTCGAGACATCCCCACCCGGCCTCACCGCTATGTTGTCAGTGGCCTCACTTCTTAATCCGGCGGCCCCTGGGTCGCCGGCACAGTCACCTCGATATCGACCGGGTGCTGCAGCCCTGTCGTCGTCCTTCGTCTCGTTCCCGCCCCAGTATCCTAACCTGATGTATGAACGACACTTCATGTCTTCAAAGCACCGCAAGGTGATCAGGGACTCTGGCGGCTTCGTCAAGTCCAAGACTAAGGGACAGGTCAACTTCCCACCCTTCGAGGCTCTGGACGAGCCGTCGCTCCGAGAGATCAAGCAGTACCAGATTTATCCCTTCGGAGAGATTCAAGAATACTGTCGACACATTCCCTACAATAGCGGCAAGAAGGACTTTTACGACAAGACAGGCCGCGATGGCTTCGAAGGTATGTGCTGGCGCTGCTGATCACCCTGTCTGCCTTGGGCTCGAAACTTACCATGGTGTACAGTACTTCAATACATCTTCAAAGTCCCAGGTGATGAGAATGATTATACCGTCATGTGGGATTACAATGTCGGCCTCGTCCGCATGACCCCGTTCTTCAAGTGTTGCAAATACTCCAAGGTATGTTTCGTCTATTCGTTATCTATTCTCCATGTCTCTCTTCCTTTCTCTCCTCTGCCTCTGTGAGTGGTGTGGCATTGAGCTTTGTCCGCTAATTGAAAGGCAGACCCAGCCAGCCAAGATGCTGAACATGAATCCCGGCCTCCGCAATATCACGCACAGCATCACCGGAGGCTCCATCATGGCTCAAGGTACGCAAGCCATGACCTGTCACCCACCCCGCTCTCTACCACCGACACAATCTTCTCTGACTTCTGCTTGCCAGGATATTGGATGCCCTTCAGCTGCGCCAAAGCCGTCTGTGCGACTTTCTGCGCCCCAATCGCCGGCGCTCTGATTCCCATTTTCGGTCCCGATTTCCCCTCCCAGTGTGTCTCGCCTGATGGGCCCGACTTTGGTCGCATGGTCATCGATCCGTCCGTTATTGAGGAGTCGGCCCGCGAGGCCGATCTCTTCCGTCGCATGTACGCCAATGCAGTCAGCGTTGCCAGCAACAACCATCTGCCACAGCATCTGCACCGTCAACAGATGCACAACCACTACAGCCTGGCCCCGGCGCTGCCCAGCCCAACCAGTATTCCTAGCCCTCGCCTTACCCGTCGCGCCCTGCCACAGTTTCCGTCGCCGCATGAGTACGACCGCGAGCGCGAGTGTCTTGGCTCCGACGTGTGGATGAGGACGAAGCGCGGTCCTGACAGCTCATACGGCACGGACGCCGAGTCTGAACTGCAAGCCGGCCCCGTGACGCCAGCTCCGCACCATATCTCGAATCGTGGTATGCCCTGTCTACCGCTCTCCCCACCAGGGTCCAGCGGTACTAGCAATGATTGGCCTGTCGCCTACCCTCACTCTCATCCTTCTTACCCGTCCCACGCCCACCTCGGGACTCAGCACCCCACGAGCGCCTTCCATTCTGGCGCCTGCGGGAGCAATCTCAATCAGCCTCATGACTATCCTTGCGCCGCAGATAGGGGTCCCAACCCCATCCTGAGCGCGGTCCCTAGTTTCGGCCACAGTCAGCGCCTCGAGCACCAGCACCAGCAGCAACAGGGCCCCAGATTCTCCCACCGGCCACACCCGTTTTCGAAGAGCGACTTCTCGCAGCGCAACATGCCCCCCATGAACGTCAACATCAAGCGCCGTGGGGCTGATTTTGAGGCGGAACACAATGAGTACGACCGCGACAGCCACAAGAGCAGCCCTACAATGACTGTGATGACCGACAGGTCCGTGTCGCGTGGGTCTGCATGTCGCCAGAACGTGGCCCAGGAACCGACCACGAGCGGCGTGGATAAGAATGCTGCATTCTTGCTCATGAATTTGAGTGTGCGGGAGCACAAGTATACTCATCAGGGCACCGTGGATGGGCGCAAGGAGAACCGACGGGTGCAAGACGGGTTCGCTGTTGCCAATGAATGGCTCTCACGCGGCTGTGGACCCGAGACGATGTCAATGTCGCCCCTTTCAGGCACAGCGGGTGGACATAGAAGCAAGCGGCGCAGGGCAACCTCGATGTAAGACCACGCACAAAGTAGTCTCTCTCCGATGGGCCTGCATAGTCTATTCTCATGGCACACTCCTCGTAGTGCGCGTTACACACGGCGTTCTGGGTTTTGATCTTCTGACATCCTTTTTGTCTTGGGGTGGGATATGGGAAAATGTATGTATGAAACTCGATACCTTCAAGGACTGGGTTGGAAGATGTGAAACGGAGAGTGAGAAAGGGAAGAGAAAGAAAGAAAGGAAGGAAGGAAGGAGAATAGTGCGTTTTTTTTGGGGGGGGGGGGGTGGAATCATATTATTATTATTCATCATTGTTTGTTTGGGGTTCATTTTGGCACTGGATCCTAGGATTTTTCTTGTCAGGTGTCCAAGTAGATAGATACTGGTCTTCACTTCAAGGGCCCACGTAATGGGCTGGAGGGAGGGGGGGAATAGTGAGTCTTTTTTTTCTCTTCTTCTTTGCGCTATCTAGCCGATCAACAGTGGGGTGAAGACAAGGCTGTTGTTCTTGAGAACTCTGTAAACGGGGCACCAGTTTGTGGTGTGGCCCTTGGCCAAGTATACCATCTTACTTGCTCTCCAACGCCTTCTTCTCCTTTGCCTTGGTCGCCTTGAATTCCTTCACCCAGCCCTCTGCCTTGGGCTTGGGCACCACATAGATCCTGACGACGCCGTCCACCACCTCGACGCTGTCCGTAGCCAAGGCGGACCGCAGCTCGACCTTCTTGCCGACCCTCATCAAGCCCCCCGTGACGGTCTCGATGAAGCACTCGACGCCGCCGGCCTTGTACTCGCCCTCGCGGTCCCAGGGCAGCGGGAAGACATAGCCAAAGTGCTGCATGAGGGTCTCCCTCTCGCTAAAGGCCTTGATAAAGTCGCTCTCGTAATGCAGCGGGTACAGCAAGACGGTGGGGAACGTCAGGACGAGCTCCCCCTGACGGCCCTGCTCGCCGCCGGCCTCGCCGGCCTCGATGACCTGCACCCTGGCGTCGCCCATCTCAGGCGGCCGCGCCGACTTGCGCACCGTGATGTTGCGCTCCCGCAGCACCCTAGCCAGGGTCATCTCGTGGGCGGCGGCCTCGGCCTTGCGGCGCTGCTCCTCGGCGAGCTTCTTGGCGAGGGCCTCCTTCTTGGCGGTGATCTCCTTCTCAATCTCCTGCAGCGGGCCGTTGTCGCGGTCGACGGACAGGCCGCCGGCGCAGGCGTCGTCGGCCTCTTCTATCCTGCCGGCGGCCAGCAGGGCGCGGGCGGAGCGGTACCAGGCCTTGAGGTTGCGGTCGTTGTACTGCAGGGCGTTGCGGCAGTCGAGGTAGCAGCTGCGGTAGTTCTTGAGCTCGAGGTGGCAGGCGGCGCGGTTCGAGTACAGCGTGCCGATCATGGCTCTTTGCCTCTCCACCTCGTCCTCGTCGTTGCCCTGCGGGTACTGCTCGGGGGGCGGGGTGCCCTTTTTGCGCCGCGCCTCCTCCTGCAGCATGATGGACACGCCGCGGCCGTAGAACTCGACGGCGTCGGCCCAGCGCTTCTCGCCAAAGGCCTCGTTGCCGCTGCGCTTGAAGTCGGTGGCGTTCTCCATGGGCGATCCCTCGTACGCCAGGGCCTCGAGGGCCTGCAGCTGCTCGTTGTCCTCCTCGAGCTCCGTCATGAACAAGGGCGACGAGTTCAGTTCCTTGAGGATCTCTTCGGCAGTCCGGCCCTTGTTGCGGGCGATTTGGGGCGGGAGGGGTGCCATGGGTGCGGGTGGGCGTGTTGGACCCATCTGGGCCCGTGGTTGGCTGTCTGTGGTAGTTGTATTGCTGCTATTTTGTGGATTTGAGGAGGGTTGTTCTGATTTCGATGTTGTTGTGGCGGTAGTGGAGCTGGAAGAAGAAGAGGAGGAGGCGTTCTCTGAGACCTGGAGAGAGGTCTCCATCTTGTCGGTGAGTTGTTCTAGTTTCGACGCCATCCTCTCTCTCTCCTCCTCTCTCTGGTGGGCAAATGCCTCAGGTTGTTTGTTGGAAGTATGATGCTGTCTTTCACTGTCCCCAAACTTCTTGCCCTCTCTCACACACTCTCTCTCTCGCCCTCAATGTCCCCAGAATTCAACGTTCTGAAGCGGAACTGCGCAGGCCCGCGTAATAGTCTTTCCAAATCTGCCAGCCCTTGAAACCTTTTTATACCTTTGTGAGTATACGAAAGTGCGTGCGTGTGTGTGTATGAGTGTGTGTCTTCCTGGCGACTTGTGTAAACTTTGTCTTCAGCTGCTTGGGTGGTGGCCTCATGTGAGAGAATCGCTGTGGTGTGTGAAATGAGATTTTGACACAAAAAAGTTCAAGAATTTTGGAGGCGGGGCTAAATACGGCAGCATTTCCCTTCTGAAAGGTTTCTATCGGCTGCGACGATTTCTACGCCGGCCCAGCCCAGCTTGTCGCTAGTCTGCCTGCTTGAGCTGAGCTGGGTGACATGCAGGAACCAAAAGAGGAGGGAAAAGGTGTAATTGTGGAGGACGAAATAAACATTCAATGCCTTCGATAAGTCTACTTTCTCTCCCTTTAATTCGAACAGCCCCCATTATGAAATGTTGTCGAGGAAATCTCGTGGCGGGTAGTAGTCGTCGTTGGTCGCATGCTTCCTTGACCAGGGTTAGGGTTAGGGCTTTGCAGCACCACTCTGCTGTAACCCTCGGCTATCTTTTCCCTCTGATGCGAAATGGAGTACATCAAATTGTTCTGTTTCTTCAACGGGACCACAACGAGGAGAATTGAAAGAAGTGCGTGCTATGATTTTATATCCCATCAATTACTTTAACAAGAACTACCTTTCATTCAATTTTTTTTTCTTTTTCCTTTCCCTTTTCCGAAAACAAACCAAAACACCAGTGCTAATGAGACTATCTGAACGCTTGACGCTACCAACCGAACTCCAAAACCCGTCCAAAAGAAGAAAAAGAGTAAAAGTAATAGGGAAGAACCGCCTCATAATACCTTTTTAGTGCATCTTTATGACTTGACTTCTCCCATCTCTTTCCGATACTCGTGTCTCGTCAAGTCATCAAGCACATGAGCTGCACTTCCACCTCATTTTGACCACAGCGTGACACTCTATCCGTCCTCATCACTGCCCCACCTTCAGCTGCAGCTGGATGTACCTAGTCTTCTTCCTCTTCTTCGTCAACACCCAGAGCCGTGACAGTTACGGTGTGCTGCTGGATCTTTCCCTGCGACACTAGGCTCTGCACTTCGCCCGAGTGATGATCCACGGCTTTGGTACGCTCGACCGAAAAGCATTGAATAGACCCAACAACTGCAACAAGAGCGCTCCCCCACCACGCCAGCGCGGTACAGTCCACCCTGCTGCCGACAGTGTACAGGAAGCCTGCCACAGGAGGGGCTATCATCCGGCACGCCGCACCAGCACTGGCAGCGAAGCCATTGACCTTGCCCAGCATGCCGGAGCTGGGCGTCGCCTCCTTGAGGAGGATGAGGAGGAGCGGGTAGACAATGATGGAGAAAATATCCCGAACGGCCAAGAAGACATAGAGAGTAGGATAAAGGAGAGACTCGGGCACCCAGATAAGGAAGGGCATCAAGAGACAGGCGATGGGATGGAGAACGGTAACAATGACAAACAGCCGGAAGACTCCAATCTTTTCGGCGGCGATGGGGAAGATGATGGCCTGGATGAAAAGTGCAATGACACCGTTAAAGGCCATAATAACCCCGACGGCATTCATGGAAAGACCCAGACCGCCAGGAAAGTAGAGAAAGTCGAGGCGGGAGCCCAGCTCAGACAGCGACACTCTCTCGTCTTCCAGGAAAATGGGTAGGAGATGATCGTAGCACATCGCGTGGTAAGCCTTCGAGGAGAAAGAAAGAAAGAAACAAGTTAGCATAGGGTACGAAGAGAGAGACCATTTGCGTCTCCTGAGTTGCCACTGTGCAGCTGTCATCCCAACGACATCTACTAAATGCATTTCTCCAAGATTCTCTCCCTGACATGGGGAGACGCTGCTGCAGAGAGGCAGATGAGAGGAAGATGCACGGCGGGGACAGGTGCCGCAGAGTATTTAGCCAGGTTTTGGAAAGTCACGGATAGTACTTACATAAATAGACAGACTGATGACAAGGGCCATGATCCGCTTGTCGGAGAAAATGTTGTACGTGATGGGTTTCTCCGGTTCCTCAGACACGTTTGCCGCCTCTGTGTTCTGGCTCCGGAACGTACCGTAAGCCGGAGCGCGGATGTCGACGGCAGGACGCTTGATGGCATCAGAGGTCTCTCTCAGCGGCGTCTCCTCAGACGTGAACGCGTCGACCTCGAGGACAACACATGGGTTGATGTCTGAATGCGTCTCTTCTAGCAATACATAACCGGCAACGATGCTGACCAAGAGCAGTGCAGCGCAAATCAGGTTTGGGAGGAGGTACGGAAACCTGTCAAACAAACAATCCCGTGGGAAGACGCTCGGCCAGGTCTCATGAGGGTCTGCGAAGGTGCCTCCGATGCAAGGGCCCACGATGGTACCCACAGACCAGACAAAGGGCATAATGGAGTACGCACACGCTTTTCTCCCCAAGAAAATCAGTATACTCTTCGAGGCCCATCGGCGGGGTGTTGAGTTCGGTGAGGAGATGGATAAACTTACGTTCCTAGGCAGGGTCAGCAGGAAGGTCTCCATGATGTAGACGAGGAGGCAGGTTGATGTCGGGAGATAGGGTGCTCACATGTTCAGGTTTCTTCACGAGCTCGCCAACCATGGTCTGGATGACACCAATATTACCATTCAGAGCCCCGCCCACTATACGTCCCAACAGAGCCACCCAGATATTGGGGGCGAAACCTAGAACCAGCATGCTGATCATGGTGCCAACACATCCGAAGAGGAGGACCGGTTTGCGTCCGATGCGGTCAGAGACACCACCCCAGTACATGCCCATCACGGCCTCCGCGAGGGCGAAGGACGAGATGAGCAGGCCAGAGTAGGTGGATGCATCTTCCTCGTTGCCAACCTTGAACCTCTTGACGAGCTGCCAGGCATAGGGAAAGACGGAGGTGAGGGCGATAGGCTCTGCAAGGCGAACGATGGCTGATGAGAAGAGAGTCAGCACGCAAAATATCTTCTTGTTCCTTGTGTTGATGATGATAAGGCAGAAAAGGGGCCAGGTGGAAGGATTGAGGGGGCTTACCAAGCAGGAAGAGCTGCAGCGTGGGAAAGTCGTCCGGGTTTCGGATAGATCTCTGCCTCGTTAGGTTCATTGCCTGTGATGAAACAATCTTGGCCTTACGACTTGAAACACACGACAATGTCACAATGGACCAAAGCGCAAGTGTAAAGTGAAGTGTGTCTTGGTTTTAGAGTCCGGCGTGCTCTCAATGATTTTCCTGCTACAGGCGCGCAGAGCAGCGTGATGTGTCACACGTATTTGCGTGTGTGTGTGTGCGTGGCGTGTGCAGGCGAGCAAATATTTTGTGTATATGTCTGAGGGAGACAGCGAACGAGAAGGAGAAGGAGAGGAGAAGAGACTATATTCAAAGTATTTGATAGACAATGATATTATTGTAGAGGCCAGCAACGGAGGAGGAATAGTAGATGAGAATCGCTCGCAACGGGGTATTGCCTGTAGAGGAGGAAGAGGAAGGGTGTCGACGATGCGTACGGAGACGGACGGACGAACGAGGTGGACGAAGAGGCGGGTAAAATATATCTGAGTCGTGTGTTGATCCCGAGGAAGGTCCTTAAACGGTACATATTGGTGGTAGCACCTTTCAGATAGTGGATACTCACTACCTTTCCAAGAAGCTTCAACGTGCGCACCACACGCGCCACGGTGGTGATGTATATTCCCTAGCGTACCCGTCTTAGCGCTGAATCCAGCTTGAACAAGTACCACAGTACATGACATTCATCTCGATAGAAATGTCGCAGCTTTGCGTACAACGTTGTAGCACACAAATCACTGAGGAAGGAAGACAGAAATTCCTTGTTGGACCTGGTTCATGTTAGAGCATTTTGTTTCTGTAATCAACGGGACTGATGTACAATGAAGCCTTTCATCTCATGCTGTAGTGGTACGACTATAAGATCGAAACTCGGTGAGACTCGGTATCGTCGTGGAAGACTTGTGTCGTTTGTGAAGATGGTCTCGATATCGAGTGGTCGAGATTGGCTGGCTGCGGGTTTGCAGATGAGACGTTCATTCCCCTGTCTAGAGACGGCCTTAGTGCGTGCGATGTATTGCGGTACTTCCGTCTCAAAGTACCCCGACCCCTGCTTAAGGTGTCTGTCTACCATAGTACATCTGCATACAGGGGACAGGGGGGGTATAAGCCCCGGACGATCCCACTGCAGCTTGCAACATCGCGCAGGCCCGGGATGTTGCCTTCTTTCCCTGTTCTTCTTTTACTTTTCAACGTTCCAACATATGTTTTTCGTTTCTCGAGAACAGCCAACCAGCATTACAACAAGCCTTTGCCGTCTACAATAATGCGGTCGTCTGATAATTCCGCCATATGAGAATCCCATAGCCGCAGCCAGCATGATCTATCGTCTTGGGCATGTTCGACTAGCGTCTGCGTACCTGGTCACGAGTCCGTATCACCTCTCGGATGGCACACGGATATCGGTTCGGCAGCTGGAACCGGTCATGTCCAAAAGACCCAGAAAAAATGGGGGGAAAAAAATTAAAACGAGAGAGAGAGAGAAGGAGAGAAGGAAACAAACCAAGGTACAGAGGCAGGAAGGGCTAGATGAGTTGAGGCGAAGGAGCGGTGACTCTCTTGGTGCCCCTCCTTCCTCTTTCCCCTCCTCCCCTCCACGCCGTCCGTGCTCGCAACATGGCCACGAAATTTTCAGTCTATGTAACCTGCTCATCCCATTTCTTGCATAACCAACCCCTCCAATTTTTGAGCCTCAACCCATTGGCGGCTCAGGCCTCGGTATTTTGCTCGTCAATCAGTGCTTGGTTCACTGATTGAGTCTTGCCAGCTCTGACCTTGGGTGAGTCGTCTGTCGCGTCCTACTTTGCACATGTGGTACTTGTAGAAGACGCCTGTTCATACGTGCCACAAACTCTGCTTTGTAACATAGGATACGAATACCTGCATCAGCGGGACATCCTGGAATCTGCGATCGGGAGGAACTAGAACCATCGATGGGTTGCTCATGTCTCTGTGGGCCCGCTTCTGGACCAGAGTCTATGCGTTACAATGGAGCATGATCGGCTGAGAGGCAAGGTTGATCTTGTGGGGCATGGCAAAACAAAAGGCTTCCCCAGGTTCGGCATCAACTGGTCGTCTTGATCACATTGTCACCCGGTTCCGCTGCCATAGCCCTTCGCCCTGGGGGTTGGTGCACACTGAGCTCACTCGAGGCTTGCTCAAGGACATGGGGGCGACTCGACCCATGTCGTACATGACAACACTGGTACCGTCGGTCGGTCGCCAAATGGCCCTCTGCGTGAGAGATAAGGGCTTGCCATACGGAGTGGGATCATCCATTTCACCTGGCGATGGTCCTGATCGGCGAAACCCTCGTCACAGTCCTTATCAGGAAGGATTTCCGCGTTTTTGACTCCTTGGGCGCTCACAGGCAGTTAGCAAAAGTCCGCTGGCCCCCTCTAGTAGCCGTGCATAGTCCTTGTACTGTGTTGCGCGCATACACTCCACATGCAGCCATCGGTGTGACTGCACGCGCTCCAGACCTCTTTCGGATCCGACCTGACCCTGGCTGGATGCTGCACATCTCCGGGCGACAGTGGCCATCAGAACGACTAGTGCCATGCTGAGGCCGGGCAGGACTCGCTCTGCAGGCTTCACCGTGTCCTTGCACGCTGGAGTTTCCAATACCACCGCCGTTATCGGCACAGAGCGCATGGCAGCTCACCAGGGCCTGCTAGTGCAAGTCGGGAGAAAATAGTCCGCAAACTCAAACAGGGGAGAAGATCAAAACAAGGAGAGCTGGCCCAGGCTGCTGGCGAGGTGCACCTACCACCAACAGCCGCCCAACAATATGACGCTCTCTGCATCCTCAGGCGTGAATTGAGTAATCGGGAACTAAAATCTCTAATACTTCACCACCCAGTCTTCCGAAGGTCAAGACATGCGGCTCAAAACATCCATGTCGGTGCCACCCTGTCTTCCCCGGATCGCGACCCACCCTCAGGGCTTCCTTCGTGGGGGTCCCTCGAATTAGCCTCAGATTGATCACCAAAACCCCACGATACATGAGCACGCAATATACCATCGAGTTGGCCTCAATATCATATAAAGAGGAGGCGCCGCACGGGTACTCCCGCTTTCTCGCTCGAGTTTTGCCCTGTATTGCTTCCACGCCTGCATTGTCGCCAGCTGGGCGGGGGTCCAGTCGAGTATGGCTGGGGTCGTCGAGCACAACAAGATGCTAATCATATAATTATATTGCTGCTGACTGTCTGTCTTCGAAGCGGAAGTGGATCATCTACAGATGTACCATGTATAGTATAAAAAGCCGCAAATCCCACGTCCAGTCGGCGAATCCGTCGTGAAACCTTGTCTGAAGCTTGCATGAGGTCTCTAAAGTGGCGAGGCAGAGGCTCTGGCCTGTTGGCTCAGTGGCAGAGGTCCAAAGTTGCGCGCCTCATTTTCCATTCAGACTATCGCAAGACGCCTCATCATCCACCTTGTCGACGCTCTGCCCTGGCTGCCTGGTGGTCAGCAGAACAGGAAACGTGTCGATGAATTCGCAGTATCCGAGCCTGGAGAGATTATCTATTGGACTAACGAGTGGAAGTTCAAAGTTGTACAGGCAACGCGAAATACGATATGTGATGTAAGCGACATTCTTCCTCGGTACCCCAAGCTCAATTTCACTTTCTCTTACTTGCCAACCCATTTCTGTTATTCTCTCACCCACAGTGACTCACTTATCTTTTTTCGTAATTCATGAAAGAGAATTTTCTTCCATGAAATGGGCTTCCCTTTTCCTTCTTTTCTTTTAGAGTACATAATTTTGTACTTCACCCGTTGGCCGAGGAAGGTTTGCGGTGATGCACGTCAGCCGGAGTCACCGGCTGCAGCCCCCAGTTGCTGGATGTGGCAACACTGCTCAGCCAGGTGCGCATCTTGTGCACGGGTCGCGTCGTGCCCCTATCGTGCTTTGTGGTCCCAGACCGCGACAACATAGTCCAGCATACAAATTCAGAAGATCTCCTCGTTGGCTCCCTGCAACGTCCCTTTTTATCGCCAACTCCTTCTAGTTTACATGACCAGTTTTTGTTTTCTTTTTCTTGTTGTCCATGTGTCTATTAATCGGCCAAGTTTCAGGGGCAGCAGCGGCATTAGACACCTGCAGTACGCCTCGGATCATTCGCGAGATGTCTCCTGCGACCAGAAGACCAGGAAAGGCATTGTGGGATTGGGCTTGGAAAAGGGTCCGAGGCGCCAAACCAATTTCACGGGCTGCTCAGCAGGAGGTGAATGAGGAAGTCTCGAAGAGCCTTCGTGATCCGGCATGGACAACAGGCGCAGGCGCGCAGCACCACCACCACATCTCCCTCCTGGACCTCCCGACTGAGGTCCGTCTCAAGATCTGGCACCACCTCTTCACAGACCTCATCGCAGACCTCACAGACAACCTCTTCGCCAGCTTCCTGGTCTACGGGCACATGTACGACGTCACGCCCAGCCACAAGCAGCCCTGCCAGTGGACCTCGGAAGGTCGGTGCGCGCGGGTGCTGCAAACGACCTGGATGTGTCCAGACCACCGGGATGCCATCCACACCCTCGAGTCCCTCCGCTTCTACGGGCCCAAACAACAGCTGATGAGGTTCTTTGGGGTCACCCGTTTCGAGCTGGCCATGATCCAGCACCCCGAGTTCAGGGCGGCGGTCGAGAGGGCCAACGCTGCGGCCGGCGTGGCCTCTCCAGGCAGCGGCCTCACCTCCCTCCTGCGCGTGAACACAAGGGTCTATGGAGAGGCCCTCGAGGCCCTGTGCGAACACGCCGAGTTTGTCCTCACCATCAAGGGCCGCCCTGATGCTGACAGCGACAAGAGGAATCTGTACACGCGCATCGACGGCGTCGGACCACACCTCGCCTTCGCGACCAGGCTCAAGATGAACCTCGTCCCCAACGAGATCCTCTCTCTCGACGAGAGCACGGGGCTGACGACCATTCCTGATACCGCCGGCACGCAAGACCGACTCTTGGCCCGCCTGGAGGCCGTGCTGGAGGCCATTGCACCTGCTGGCCGGCTGCGGTCTCTTGAGATCTTCATAGACCGCTCGTGCCTGCTGACCCGCGACTCTGCCCGCTTAATCCTGGACATGCTCCAAGAACGCCTCGGCGCGCGGCCACACAAGGAAACCTGCACCGTCAAGATTTACCTTGGCGACATCTCTGAGGAAGACATCACTGATGAGCAGCTGGACAAGCTTGTGAGCGCTGTCAATGGGTAAGTTGAGAAGAACATGTCTCTCAGCCTCTCTCTCTCTCTCTCTCTCTCTCTCTCTCTCTCTCTCTCTCTCTCTCTCTCTCTCTCTCTCTCTTCTTTCAGAATGGAACCCTGTGGACTGATGGTTGTATGTCGTCTTTCTAGCAAGAGTATGGGACGTGGCCACAAGGCCAGAGTGCCCAGACGTCAACGGTACGCAGCCAACACGACTAGCAGACGGCTATGGAGAGTTTAACCAAATAGCCTAGGAATCCTTGGGCGCCCTATTATGTGCCATTGGCTCATGCACGACACGGTGTACTGATTGCCGTATCCGCGTAATTCGAGGAGGACTGAGAAGTTGCTCTGCCATCAGTACAAAACATATCCGTCTCATCAATGGAGTCTATTGGTAAGCTGTCTGTCTGTCTGTCTCTTGTCTACCTCTGTGTGTGGTTATCATTTGTGTCTGGACTCGACTCAATAAATATGGGCGCGCCCCGAGGCTTGTCTTCCCTCGGGCAAGTTTTCTCTTGGCCAGGCAATAATTGCTTATGCTGTGGATAGGTCCGCCAATTAATGCTTGTAGTCCATCTTCCCATCCCCGATGACGCCCCACAACTCCTCGACAATCTCCCGCTGACCTTTGGGTGCCCCCCTGACTGCCAGGTACACTCTCGCGTCCAAAGCCGGGTCCCAATCACCAGGGTTCCCACTCGCCATGATGCCTCCGGCCTCCCTCAGGATCGTCCAGCCGGCACACACATCCCAGGCATAACACCCGCCCTCCCAGTACAGATCGAGGCTCCCCTCGGCCACCGCACAAAGGTTCAGTGCGGCCGATCCCAGACTCCGCAGGCTGTGCACCATGGCGCCGCTCGACTCCTTGCTCGCGGCCAGCTTCTTGAAGACGCGCGTCTTGAGGTCATAGTTGTCGCCGTCCCGGGAGCTCCCCCACTCCACGGCCACCAGGGCGGTCGACAGGTCCCCCAGCGCGGGGGCCTGGCTCCCATCTCCGCTTCCGCTCGCAGGTAGACGCACCTTCTCAGCTCCCTCAGCGCCACTCTTCAGCAGGCCTCTGGCAGCCAGCGCCGCGTTGCGCTGCACGTAGGCGCCCTGGCCCCGAACGGCGGTGTACAGGACGTCTATAAAGGGATTATACACAACGCCGACCGAGGGGATCTTGTCGACGGCGAAGCCGAGGGAGATGCAGGCGTGCGGGAAGCCGTGGATGAAGTTGGTCGTGCCATCGATGGGGTCGACGATGAACGTGGGAGCCGCGGTGACTTTGGTCTCGCCGGCAACGTAGGTCTCTTCGCCTACGAAGGCGTAAGAAGGGTACAGGGTTGAGAGGCGGCTGGAGACGAGGCGCTCGACGGCCTGGTCCGTCTCGGTCACGATGTCGACGGCTAGAATTTTGAAGAAGAGGAAATAAATAAATTAGGGTCAGCTGATGTTGATGATAATGATGAGCATGGCGTTTTTCAATTTCTGGGCTTATGAGCCCCAGACTCCAAGGGGATTTGTTAAGGGGGGGGGGGGGGTAGGGGTAGTATAGAGGAGAATCAAAGAAAGGAATGGGCCGAGACAACCCCCCTCTCCCGTACAATTCAGCTTTGTTCCGGTTGTGATGTTGTTTGGATTTGCGGCTGTGATCATACGGCCGGCCTCAAAGGCGATTGCCACGAGGTTATCGTGAATCTCCTGCAAGTTGGGCTCTGCCATTTTTTTTCTTCCTTTCTTTTTTTTTCCAAATGATTATAACAATTCGCAACAATGTACAGGCTATAATCCCTCAAAAGAATGAAACGAAATGCTCAAGTTTTCCTCATCCAAAGCACTGGAAACCTTGGAAGAAGACTTGCTCTTCTGGTCGTTGTTGTCGTCGTGAGTGTTGTCAAAAGGTCGAGCGAGAGAGGGGCAAACTCCGTTCTCTTGGAGGGGCAAGCAACAACTACGGAACATCACGTCAGGGGGGAGGAAGATGTCCATGATCTGTACTGGGGTACCCCTGTCGCTGTGACTCTGAATGGTGGGGGGGAAGGGAGGGTGGGCAGTTGGGCTGTGGGGCTCTGCGGGTGCTTCAATGATTGGGTTCAAGATCCACGTGCTATCACGGTGGTGGGTGTATGGGGTTTCAGACGAGAGGGAAGACACGACGACAACGCCTCCTCCGCCTCTATTCTTCATCTCATAGTAGTAGTCAGTGGTCTGATGTTGACCTGGTGGTGGGTTCAGACCCCTCTCCATTTGATCCTCCCCGTACGTACCGTTGCAGACCATCATTCAACGATGCCAGTGGTTCCGCACTGCCCGCTCGTCTTGATATTCCATCCATCAACTTCGTCAAGGGCATATTTCGTTCCCGAACCACATGGTCAGTCATTGGATAGGGCCCTCGCGTGAAGTTTTATGAACAAAGAAGGACTTGTATTCATGTCCGAATGCAACCACGGAGAGACATGAAACTTTGACTAGCCAATCTAAATTCTTGATCTGGGAGAGAGAAAAAGAAGAACGCAGCCTGACAGAACTCTTCTTTCTCTGATGCCGAGGACGAGTATTTTGAGGCATATGATACACACACAAAGAAAAAAAAAAGAAAAAAAAAGGCCGTCCGTATAAGAGGTACTATCTGAATCCAGGTGAAGTGGGCTAGGCGCATAACGTAGATGAGTTCTGGTATGGCTTCCCAATTTTTTAATGATCTGCGGTGGCAAGACAGTCGTGCCATGTGGACGCGCAGCACAATTAGCAACAAAATAGGTTCGAAACATGAGGAACAATAATAGTATTGATTGAGTCTTGTTTCGAGATACACACGCCTACCTGAGTAGCAGTTTCAACACCACACATGGGAAGAAAAGAAGAAAAAAAATCAAAGCTTCCAACTCCGTTTTCTCCAGATCCAGATCCCACACCCCTATGGATCCCATACCCGTGATAATCATTACTCTCTCTGTGTGCCATCAAAGAAGGAAGAAAAATCATTGAATCAACTCCTCCATCAGGTCTTGTACCCAACCTCGCCCGTGCTGCTGTCGAGAGATGGAAAAACCGCATGGTCCCTGTAGACCGCGCTTGGTGACCTGACCGTGTTCTCCCTATTCCCCCAATGCAAAACATCCGCCTCACACCCCTTCCCTGAAGATGCTCCTCCTCTCGGTCGGACTCTCAGGCTGTTGTTGCTGCTTCGAACTCTGCCCATGCTCCGCCTCCATCGGCCTGGGGCTCACACCTCTGAGGCTGATATTACTCGGCTCGGCCGCATCATCGTCAAATGGGTTGCGCCCCGCCACACCGCGCCCCCTCTCCGCATCAAAGCCTTCGTCGGTCCTGGGTGTTGCGGCAAGATTCATTGGATACGGGTCGGCGCGCAGCCCACCTCCACCATGGTGCGCGCCGTCATAAGCGGTGTTATCCCGCCCATAGGGCCCGCGGTCGTGCAGGCCCAGCTCCTGCTCCTCATAGTATCCGCCGGGCCCGTAATTGTCGGCCTCGTTGCCGACGCGCGCATCCCAGGCCTCATCTGGGTCGAGTGCGCCGAAGCCGCGGCGTCCTGTGGCAGCGGAGGAGCCGCCTCCGCCCTCATACGCGCCCGCGGCGGTGCGGTTGTTGCGGTTCTTGAACTTGTGCATCTGGTCGCTGAACCAGCCCTGTATGCCGCCTGGACGCGGGCCAGGACCGCCGTATGAATTGTTGGAACGGTCGGATTTGAGGAAGGGGACAAAGGAGGTGAAGGAGGGAGGTGGAAGCTGTTATTGTTGTTAAATCAGAATCAGCATACTTGATCAGGCACGAGGAGAGAAAGGGTACGACGTACGCCCAGCTTCTGCGCGCGCCATCGGCTATAGCCAACCCAGCCTATAGCGGCGACGGCGGCAAGCACAAGGACGGTGATGATGATTGCACCGGCTGTGCCGACCATCTTCGCTTCTCTTGTGTGTGGTCGAGGGCAGGGAGTGCCACTGTTGGTTGTCGCGCGGAGAGGAGGAGGAAGAGGATGGACAGAGAGCTCTGACTAAAGCTTGAGACCTTCCTAAGAAGTCAGGCTGGAGTGGAGTGCAGTGGTGGTGGTGTGAGTGGTGGTTGGTGATGCCAGGCTGTACGATGATGATGATGATATCGAGGAATCGCTCTGCAGAATCAAGTATGTGCTGACTGGAGATCAACGCAGTGGATGAATGGATTGATAGGGTTTGCAGGCTTGTTGTAAGTAACCCAAGTAGCTGCTGACATCAAGTGCTGATGTTGTGGCTTCTTTTCCTTTGATTCTTGTGGCGTGTCGTGTTCATTTGTTGTTTGGTGAGCCTTTTTGCTTTTGCGAGTTGCGAGCCTGAGTACGTATTCGAGCTACTACTTGCTAGTCTAGCTCTGGCCTAATACAAAAGGTTGCACTTTCTTGATGTTTGGGTGTGACGGGACTTTCCAAGGTTGCTCTGCTCTGCTACTGGGGCTGGCTCAGACCCCAGGCTAAAGCTGCGGATGGTTCAAGCAACTCGTGATAAGCCTGTGACGCTGATGTGGAACCCTGCTAATCACTGCTGCAACCGCTGCAACGGTAGCAAGTTCTAGGGCGCCAAGCACCCCCACCCCCTGGCAGCCTCACCTGCAGAAGGCCCAAGCTTCTAAATCGAGGCAAAATCCCATTCTTCCTTGAAACCCACTGCAGAAGACCCTCTCAGCCCTGCGAACACCAGCTGAGGATCAATGCACCGCCATCTTTCTTTGATGCTCACTACCAACTTGTGAATAGTGACCTCTTTGCTGTCTTCATTTTTTCCCTCCCCTTTTCACTCTGTCATTGAGACCTTGAACTAGTAAATACAATTAAACGCAGTCTCAACTTCAGTCTTACCTCCATCCTCGATCTCAAACAATACGTCAATGGCTCATCGTAACCCCATCGTCACTGTGGCTGAGGCTGGTGGGTTTCCTCTCGCTGCAGGTCTCAGCTTCTCGAGCTGAGGGCCTTCCTGTGCAGAACCACAGGACCTGTCCAAAGAAGATGGATTGCAAGATTCCTTGTTGTAAGACTTCGTGACGTTACAAACTTGACCACGGCAAACACAAAAGAAGGCCAAGTGACAGACTCGATAAGTATCTATTGCGAATAGGATCAAGGCAGGGTGGTACACACGCCACAAATCTATGAGAAGCATGAGCTCCAGTGGCCGCCCTCCCTCGCGAAGCTCAAGCTGTTGACAAAGTTGCTCAGCGTACACCGGCCCAGGGCATCCGCACCACAGTTCTCCAGCGGCCTGACCCGACCGTTGATTAACACCCTCACGAGCTCTTCTTCCGTCGCCTCCCTTTTGTGTGCTTGCTGGGCTGGGCTGCTGTTGCTATTACAAACCATCTTCTCGACATACATCCTTGCCCCGAACGGCACCGTCCACGATGCCGAGTACCAGTCCAGCTGCTCCACGCTCTCTCTGGTGGTGTTGCTCAGCATGGCCGTGTGGTTGTACAGCCCCATGGCGAAGAAGATGCCCGTCATATCGTTGTCGTGGCTAAAATCGGCATACAATGTCCTGTTGAGAGGGAATGTGGCCGGGTTGTCGTCGAGCGTGTGGTTTGTGCTCGTGTGGTCCACCACGGGTCTGCCCGTGAGCCGTGCGATCAGCTCGTTGGTGAAGCCCACACCCTGCGTCGGGCCCAGGGGGTTACCGGTGCCCATACCGTAGAACTTGTTCAGGCTCTGGAGGTAGTCGTAGCTTTTCCACTCGTCGTTGGTGAACAGGCCGCAGAACTCAGAGATCTTGCCGTCGACGTTGGCGACCGTGTTGAAAGGACACAGGTCCATGATGTATGTGGTCTCGGTGGCGCTTAGGTTGGCGCCTGGCAGGTTGGCGTTGAGCCGCGCCGTGATGTTCCGCGTAAAGACATCCATCCACTTCGTCTGCGCGTCCGTCGCGATGTCGTCATCGGGCCCATCCTCAAAGGCCGTGCACAGCCCGTGGTTGAGCGTATTGTTGCTACCCGTGTCCTCGCTGATGACCACAATGTTGTAAGGGTACGCATCTTCCTTCCCGTCGGCCTTCTTGTCCGCCAGGCGCGCGGCGTGGAACCCCTGCGTCCAGTTCATCGCCGACTCGACGACGCGGTCCTCGCCCGACGAGCGAACAAAGGGGCTGTGCTCGCGCGTGAGGGCCTCGTACCGCGCGTAAAAGTCAAGGCCCGAGTTGACCAGCTCCTGCTGCCCAAACGTGGTGAGCTGGTCTGCCCCGAGGGTGTACTCGTAGCTCTCCAGGAACTCGTAGCCCGCGCCGTAGCTGGTGACGCTGCTCTGGATCCGCTGGATGGTGGCATTGTAGAGCGCCGTCTTGCTGGCGGTGGGATCACGGGCGCCGTGGCGGGAGAGCACCTGGGCGAAAGTGATGGTGCAGCCCTCTGGTAGGTCATTGGGGAGCGCGTTGGTCTGAGGGACTGCAAAGTAGGGCGAGTATTGGCCCCAGTATCGGGACACCTGGGGAGAGCAGGTATAGCCAGCGCCTACAGTGTCGCAGGACGTGTCGTTGGACACTGCTGTCACCACGCGGCTGTGTATAGATAATTATATTGTTAGCATGATAATTCTGTCTGTGTGAGAGAGAAGGAGGGGGGAAGAGCAAAAGCAGTTTGTGTATGTGTGTGTATGTGTGAGGAAGAGAGGATGAGAGAGAGACTGAGAGAGTGAGTGAGTGAAGTGACGATTCCCTTGTACTTACACAGTGGCGGCGGCAAGATACCACAGGATCATCGCACCCAAGACGGCCATGGTGAACTTGAGCACCTTGTGGTGATTTCGAGCCCAAAAAGTGAGTGTCTCTTGGGCCTCTGCAATGTGATTTCGACTGGGGAGTGGGCTGTACTTATACTTCCCTCGCGCCATCCGCAGAGTGTCCACTAGATTCTCCCACCAGTTCATGATTCATGAACCTTCTCTCCTCGCTCTCTCTCTTGCGCACACCCTCTCAGTCAATCTCTCTCCTTCGAACCACTTGGCTTGCATGGGTGCTGGTGGGCACACTGGGCACCACCCTTGCACCCACGAAATGCCGCCTCTGTGATGGCGATCACAGCTGAAGAACGTTTCGATTCCGAGTTCCGATGTCAGTTCTTCGCTCGGTTCTTTCCCACACCTCCTTTACTTTTTTTTTTTTATACTGCTTCTCACTCTGTTGATCCCTCTTGTTCACGGAGATGAAGCGGCGGCATCGCAACCCGTCTGGTGGTACAGGCCCGGTCAGTGTCGGATTCGCTCCTTTTTTTTTCTAGGGGACATGCATGAAGAAGGTTGCGCTATGACCTTCCCCTGTCGCATTTCGGTAAGGAGAGTATGGCAGTTGTGTACCATGGGGATGCGAGTGCTGGGACGGAAATGCCAGGTCGGCGAATACTTGCACCCACGTGCTCTCAGGAGCGTGGAGTCGATAGTCGATAGTCTTGGCTGAAGTGCGTGGTTTAGTCAAGTCCTTTTATTTTTTGGCCGAGTGAGAAGTGAATTGACAAGGAGGAAGGGGGGAAGGGACGGCACGTTTTTGCCAGGGTTGGTTGTAGTGGTTGCAAGACTGGCAGGCACGATGCACGTGTATGGAGAATGTATGCAAATCAATCCCAAACAGGCCAACTTCTGATGTTACTATCATAAATCTTATTTACGTTTCCATTTGTGAAACGAAACATTCAAGCAAACACCTCGAAGAACCAATCAAGCATCATCTGTTGAACGATTATGGCAATGATACCTTGGCGAGCAGTAGTAATGTTGTCTCTCCAGACTTTCATATCTGCGCCGAGCAGGCGTACTTATCACATTACACAAGAAGAGCGAAAAGACAGCTTGGAATTGTCGAGAAGGTAAACATATCAAGATGGACTCAGAAGAAGGGGGAACAAAAAAAGTACTGTGCGATTGGTATCCTGGTATCTCAAGTCACAAGCCGCTGTTGCTGAAGTCGCAAACAACGGCTGATCAACACTGACGACAACTAACGACAACGACAACGACAACAACGACGACGCAGACCCCACCATGCTAGGAAGAGCAAGACAATGCTGCTAACAACTCATACAGGAGTTTCGACCGCAGTCTCAAAAATAATATGTCGCAGACAACACTCATCAGCCACAGAGCAAGAATATGCTCGGTCCCGGTGCCGAGTAAGCTTCCCTACCTTGACCCATTTTTTTCTTGCCATCGTCCCATGCACATCATTACCAGATTTCCCGTCGTCACCATATCCCTGATAATAAATCCCATAGCCCCAACCTTCCTCTCCTATCCTTGTCCTTCCTTTTTCCCTGCTTCGTATAGAACCTTTGTCAATCAAAAGGCAACACCCACGCTCGTCGGTCTAGGGCCCCTCAGGGGACTTCTCACGAGGTACTGGCTGACCTGTACCCTCGTCTCGTTCTTCTCTTCAGCGGGACTGGTGTCGCTATCCACGCTTCCGAAAGGCCCCTGTCGCCGCCCGCCTCCAATCGCCAGGTTCAGGCTCTTGCGCGACTCCCGCGCGTACACCTTGTCAAACTGCGACTGCATCCGCCTCGACGGCTCGGGCGGAGTGCTGCCCGGCGACCAGTGCGTGCTCGTGGCAACCGTGTTCGTGCCGCCGCCAGCGTGGTCGTCATCCGTGCTGTAGATGGAGCCCGAGAACGGTCGGGACACGTCTGACGCCGAATCAAAACTACTCCTCCGGCCAGAGAAGATGGCGGACGGCGGGAGGGTCTGGTAGAAGCCCTCCTTATCCGTCAGCGCCCGTGGTGCGTTAGTGATGGAGTCGCGCGAGAATCTGCGCGAGTGGCGGAACGGCAGGGGCGTGGGCAAGCCGGGGTTGGTCTCCTCCATCCCAGCGGGGAAGAGCCAATCGGACACCCTGCTGAAAGACTTCTTCTTGCGCAGCGGTGGGCGCAGGATCAGTGGCAGCGGAGGAGCCAAGGGCACTTCGACGTCGATCGAGTTGTCAATGATCTTGGGGCTCGTGTCCGGCGGGTGTGAGTTGAACGCCGACTGCCGTACGGCTGATGGTGTATCCGGTGTGACAGGGTTGGCCTGCCATTTCGGAACCCTCAGGCTGGAAGTGCGCTCTGGGAACGACTGGGGAACAGGCATAGGTGGTATTGGCGGCGGTTGAAAGGCAGTCTGTGTAGAGGGTGCGGTGCGAGGGCGCTCGATGCTGACACGCTCCGCGAAGGAGGGTGCAGATGGTGGTACCGCGGGAAACGGCGGCATTGGCTCATCTGAGGCGGGGAGGGGTTAGTATCTGGTTTCTGCAGTCTGGTGGAGGGTTGGTTTGAAAATGGCAAAGGAGATGATGGCAGGCTTACCAGGATCGTACGAGGTCGACGGCCGGCTCAGACACAGACTGTGCCGCGACTTGACCGACTCGAGCTCTGCATCCAGTATCTCCCTCTCGATGATGGCGCTCGCAATACGCTCAACAATCGCCTCCACGCTGGGCGACGTGTATGCTCGCGGTCGTGTCTTGGCACGGGGTGGTATTCTCGGAGGGGTCTCCTCCACAATGCTCTCAGTCAACAGCGAGCCGCTGTCACCTACTGGCCGTCGTGGGATGTGAAACGACAGGGTTGAGGTGTTTCTTGAGTGCGCCAGGGTCGTGCTGTCATCGTCCACAAAGACATCGCGGCTCCGGCTCCGGCTCCGACTTCGACTCCGGGCTGGCACAGGCGGTGACACAGACCGCTCGCGGCCAGCAAAGAACGGCAACAGAGGTGAGATTCTATTGTCAGGATTGTAGATGCTGAGCTGTAGAGGACGGAACTCAGGTGCGGTTCGGGGCCCGTCTGGGACAGAAGGCCTGAAGTTGATGGCGCCCGAGCCAATGTGCTGGAAGTTGGAGGGTGTCGATATCCGCGGCCGGCGCGCCACCTTCCGCTTCCTCTTCCCGGACAGGAAGTTCCAGTCGATCCAACCCATATCGGCCTTCTTCTCTGCTGTCGCGCCCTTCCTGCTCTGCTTCTGTAGTCTCCCCTTCGACTCCGACCTGGGAGGAGGGGGTGCGGCACGGGGTGGTGATGTCGGCCTCGGCTGGTCGTAGTAGACCTGATAGTATCCCTTCTCTGGGTCCGACAGGTCGACCGCTCTCCCTCTAGGAAGACCGTCCTCGACGCGATAGTTGACGCCACCGGCACGTGGGTCGTAGTTCCCAGCTCGGAAACTCGTCTCGTCGTCGGAGCAAGGAGCGAATAGCCACCACTTTATGATCTCAAGGCAACCACGAGGCTCATCACTCATGATGTTTATCGTTCACATCGATGTGGGGGTTTGTTCATACCGAGAGAAGGGGGGTAATAAGGAAAACGAGGGGGACGGCCAGCGATACTTCGAAATTTCCAAAAGGGCGAAGGTCAAATTGGGATAAGAGAAAAGAAAGAGAGAAAAAGAGAGAGACCGAGGAGCAGACTTCTTCGGCGTGGTAGAATCGAAGAGGAAATGGGCCTGCATGACCAAACTTAACGGGGAGATCCTTCAAAAAAGAAAACAGACGGAGGACAAGATGGGAAAGTTGTGCGGCATGGCCCAATCTTTAATGGGAGCCGCCGACCTACCTCCTCAAACCTTCTCGTATGGGTCTCGTCCTCTGGCTCCCCAGATACTATGTACATGGGGATCGAGGGGGACAGAGAGAAAGAGCTCTCAGGGATAGACACACACCACCAAACTCTGGACCCAGAAAGGGACAGACAGAGTTAGAGAGGGCAAGGTACTAAGATCCAGCTCTTGGGCTGAGCATCGCTGACTGTGTGTGTATGTGCGTGTGTGTGGTAGAACGAAGGAGGAAGAGTGGTTGCTGGCCGATGGAGAGGTCTCAGTCTGGCGCATCTGATAGGTCGCGTAGGATTGGCCGAGGGCCAGTCGGCGCTTACCGGCCGGGGTCTTGGTGATGCACCTGGGTGCTGCGGATGGTTGGCAGGCGTTGGCGCTACCCTTCGAAAATAGAGAGGGGACCCACCAGTCGTGTCGGGTGGGCAATCAAGTTCAGCGAGTCGATTGTCTCAGGATGCCCATGCTCGAGTCACCACCCACTGCCACCATCCAAGAGACCCAGCTACTAGCCCCTTCGCATCTCGCCACGAACCCTCTCAAGAGATTGGCTCATGGGACCCGACAACTGTAAGAAGCGTGATGAACGCCCCTCCACCCATGCAGTAGCTGACACCCCCGTCGTATCTGGGGTTTCGAGCAAGCCAGGTGACAGAGGAAAATAAAGACAAAGACAGGGAAAGAAGAGATAGTCGAGAGAGGGTCAAGCGATTAACCATAACTGGACAAGGAGGGGCGGCAGAGGAGATGAACGACAGGGTGCTAGGGGCCATGCAGGTCATAGTCCTTGCTGCTGGCCGTCCCGACCAACCATGATGATGATGAGTGGTCGTTTGCTTCCTCAACCTGGCGTCGCTCAGTAAAGGTAATGACCTATGAACGACCACCAGTCTCATCGCTATTCTTTCCTGAAACTGCGTCAGAGTTGCGTGGCCACAGCACAGGCGACCCGATTTGGCCACCCTGCCGTAGGTACAACAAAGCGCATAGGAAGGCACTTTTTGTCGGCGGGACTTGGTACATGCTAGGGCGGCCCATCTTGTCGGCCGCACACCCACCCAGAAACAAGTTTGGTGTGTGGGTGGGTGCTCCTCCTTCTCCTCCTTCCACCAGCTGCTGCTGCTGCTGCTGCAGCGGCCCGCATCGACAACGTGTGGCCCATCGCGGAAGGACGAACAGCAAACCAAATATACCAGGGGTCGGGGCCTGGATTGGCTGGCGTTGTCCTGAATCGCCATGCACCCGCATTGCAGCTTGCACTCTCACCGCAGAGAAGCTGTGACATGTTCGACAGTGAAAGGTGTCGGGGAAATTCCACCACACCTCACGTCGACGCATTTGGTACCGTGACACCTTGGCACATATGACCAGGCGTCTAGCCTCTTGCGGATGGCAGAGCTCCATCCAGAACCGCCAACCGATCTTCGGTGTTGTGAAGCATGAAATGAGCTTTGTCGCGTGCAAGCCAATGGGAGCGGCGGATTTGTCGTTTCAATTCTCCTTGTCGCCCTGCGCAGGGCATTGTGATCTGGTTTCGATTTCGCCCTCCCTAAGAATAGTAAAATGATGACACCATACCACGAGGTGGCCATATGACAGACGTGGCGGAGATTTTCCACCATCTGTCAGCGGCAAGTAAAATTGGTGATTCCCGTCATCACTGTGCTGAGACTGCGGCTTCTTGGTCCGGCCGGTTGTCATCACCGTGCCCTTTTTTTGTTTTGGGGGAGAGGGGGGGGGCGACGCTGTGGTGGTACTGCCTACAAACTTGTGCTGCTCGAGAGCTTGGCCAGTTTTGGTACTCTTCGTGACGGGGCTGTGGAGTTCTTTTTTTGGTCCTGTCTCGTGCTCAAGAAAAGTCCAGGCTCGTTGCCCACCTCAGATGTGACGGCCCCATGCTGCAGTGTTGTAGATGGCCCATATGAGTCTGCAGAAGCGCACTTGGAGGACCACCCAGGTTTCTAGGCCTACGAGTCGCTTTGCCAAAAATGTTCACAGGCAGACAGCCTGGAGAAGGGGCTCCGTAGTTGCACTTTACTGAGAACTGCTTACATAAGCTTTCTTCCGAGCAGGAAGGAAAGAAGCTGTGGTGTGCTGTGGTGTGTTCAGTGCGGGGCTATTTGGGGAGAGGAATACGCTGGCTTGGCTGGGCAGGTGCAAATTACTATAGTCAAGATGTATTGATGGTAGACCAAGAAGGAAGTCGAACGTCAACAAGCACGCAGCGAGTAAGTTCTGTATCCGTGTAATTTCACCAGACACTCACAAAAATTTGGCCACTCTCCTCCCAGAGCATGACACATCCATTGCCCAGCACACCATGTACACTATCATCACAACCTCAACACATAGCCCATACCTCGTACCGCAGATCCATTCATCCAGCCTATTCCCGTCAAGATCAAGGGGGGTCCGCCGCGCGGCTCTTCAGGCGTGCTTCTTCCCAGACTTGGTCTGCAGGGCAGCATTTCCACCGATCGGTCCAAACACACCCAAGACAGTCAGCCACCTGAAGAGGTTCAAAATTGCACTGCCGGCCACACCGCCCCAGACCATATCATTCCACTGGCTGGGATCCCAAAATACATCTGGTCCCACGCCGCGGGCTGCTCCGTATATGTGCCCGTAGTCTGCGAAAGCAACGGCTACCAGATACCATTTGGCTGTGGATGGACTAGACGAGAAACAGCAGATGACAGCCATGGCAGCGAGAAGCAGGAGGACATTGCCCATCTGAAGCGAGAGGGCCAGAGCCTGTCCCGGGAAGTGATCCTGTTCATTGAGGGTGTGGTTTGGAACCTGCGTGGCATAGTAGTTAAAAGGATCTTGGTTGCACACGATCCAGGCCCAGACTCTAGAACAGAGACAATTAGTAATGTGAAGATCAATCACCAGCAGGAATCTTGGGACGCAAACCTACAACAACGCTGGCTCGATGACCGCAAAGACGATCAGAGGAATGGTGGGCAGAGTACTATATGCCATGTCTTACAACCATACAATCTTTGGGGTCGGTAATTGACCGGATGGCAACTATTTCAGCGATGATGTTGTGGCACAGAATTGAAGGTGGCGGGTCTCCTCATCTCTTATCTACTTGCACACCGAATCCTTCGCGAGAAAGTAACACGTGCAGCTCTTCTTTTCCACAGTGGCCTTTAGGCATGACAGATTCGCTGTTAGTCCATAGATCCCGGGAGGCCTTATACGTAGTCAGCACATTGAAGGGGCCGCTGCACTAGCCTGTCACTGCCTGTGTCACCCCTGCTGGGCAAAGGAACCACCCGCTACGCGGTACTTACCAAGTGCCACCACACTATGTCGAGGTTGGGCAGTCCCTGCACCCGCACAGTCCCTGCAGCGCGTCTCAAAGTGGACACGTTCCGGAAAGTCGAGGACAGCTACCACTTCTCTGAATTTGGAAAGCTTTCCTTTGTCGCAAATTATTGCGATCCCCCCAACACTGCAACTTCACACGTCACCCTCAGCACTTTCACAACCCCTGAGCGTTGCTGTTCTCCTGCAATTGCAAAGTTCACATCACTCTCGCCCCTGGAACTTTACAGTTTCTAACTCGAATCGTTAGAGCATCCTCACCTGCTCGCGAACCGAATCATTCCCAATGTCTGGACCTGTTCCGCCCCGGGGTGGGATGCCCATGCCCGGCCCTGGCATGCCCATGCGAGGACCTGGTATCCCGATCCCTTTGCCTCCAGGAATGCGCCTGCAGCCAGGCCAACAGCCTACCCCCGAGCAGATCGAGCAGATCAAGAAGTTCCAGGTGGAAGCCAGAAGGAACTTTGAGGCCCAGATCGCCGAGCAGGCCGCCAAGGAGGGTGTCCCCGTCGAGCAGGTGATGCAACGTGTCCAGCAGCAGATGCAGCAGCGCATGATGCAGCAGAGAATGATGGCCCAGCAGCAAGCCCAACAGCAAGGAGGACAACAGCCACCGCAGGGACAACAAGGACCACCAGGTCCGGGACAACCTCAGGGCCAGGGACAGCCTCAAGGCCCGCGACCTCAGGGTGGTCCGCAGCCCGGTGTTGCCCAGCCCATCACTCCCGGACCTCCCAACCCCGTCGCCATTGCCATGGCGAATTTCTTGCGAGCCCAGGATCTGAAGCTTCGTACTTGTATCCTAAATGGCGAGCGCAAGGACATGTTCAGAGGTATGCAAAATGCCGTCTTGACCCTCCCCCCCCCCCCAAATCTCGACCCCTCGTACTGACATGCATGTAACAGTCAAGAGAGCCCTTCGAGTACTGCAGTCCCCCGCCTACGAGAAGGCCCGCAAGAAGAACCCTGCCCTGCCCCAGATCACCGACCGGGCATCGCTCGAGAATGCCTTCAAGCTACTACCTATGTCGATGTTGGCCCTCCGAGTCGAGAAAATCGACCCAAGCACCATGCCCAACCCGCCGAAGAAGCGTGTCAAGGGTCTCTGGAACGTCAAGATTGTCGGGCAGCAGGATGCCGGTGATGACATGTACTATGCTTGGCTGTACGAGGGCAGCCAGGTCATGCGCAAGGTCTACGCTGTCCTTGCCCTCGTCGCCATCTTCACTGTGGTCCTGTACCCCCTTTGGCCGCTGAAGATGCGCCAGGGTGTCTACTACCTCAGCTGGGGCTTCCTGTGGCTGCTGGCTGCCTTCTTCGCCATGGCTATCTTCCGCGTCATCCTCTTCTGTCTCACCTACTTCACTGTCTCTCCCGGTCTCTGGCTGTTTCCCAACCTCTGGGAGGATGTTTCGTTCGTCGACTCCTTCAAGCCTGTCTGGGCTTGGCACGAGGTAAGTTACACATCATCTCGATCCGAGAAAGAAGAACTTATCGCGCTGACATGATCACATAGACAGCAAAGAAGAAGAAGAAGAAGTCGTCCTCGGGTGGCGGAGCCAGTGCCAGTGCCCAGTCAACTTTTGCCGCTACTACCGGCCAGCCGTTGCCAGCAAGTGCCACTACGACAGCCACGGATACGCAAATAGCGACAGGCTCGGACCCGCGGCAAAGAGGTGCCTACGAAGCTCCCAGAGTGGAAGAGCTGCCGGATGACGAATAAGAGGAAACCCTCTTCTTCCCCTTTTGGTGTTGTATTTTCTTCCCCCCCTCGACGCGAGAGGCCCTACGAAGGAGAGTTTGGTGTGTCGCCAGTTCGGCTATGAAAATGGAGTTTCAGGCCAGACTATTCGACATTTCATGATTAATTCATATGAAACTTGTTATAAAATTGTGTTTGATACAATCGCATCGTACTTGGTCCCATGAATATGATTCACATTTGGAAGCGCTCTCGAGAGGTTTACGAAGGAGATGGGGCCATCAAGCGAATTTTGTCTTCTAAGATGTCATCCCCTTATTTCTTCTTTCGTTCTCCCCTTTACACTCGCTCTTCCGTGTATATACAGAACTCGTGAGAGAGAGAGACCATATAACTCATATGACAGATGGAGTCACTTTACGCCTCGGATCCATTCGTGCGCAGGTAATAGTGAATGGCCCCCGGCGAGGAAGCACAATTACCCAAGCTGCCACCTGTTGCATTCGCCGCGACAGGAACCCCACGCACGTCCTGGGGACGGCCGTAGACATGGTGATCTAAGGAAGATGAGAAATTAGCGGCCGTAGTCTTTGTACTGAACGCTCCCAAGCTGCTTCCAAGGGGGTTGAGAAAAGGGGGGCGGGGGGGGTTACTACTCACAGTACCAGACCTCGTCCAGGACAGTGTACCCAGTGTCACCCGAGCCCGCGCCGGCGGCGGTGCTGTTGTACTGAGCCCCCGTGCAGGCCAGATACGGGATTTCCCCGAACGCTTCAGTCAGCACGCTCTGAATGTCGCCGAGGGTGTACGTAGTGCTGTTGCTGGGCACGATGCCGGCGTCGGCGAGCCACTTGTACGTGGGCACGGTGCGGTACCACGCGATGGCGGTCTCGAAAAAGTCGACCACGTCCTGGTGCTCGACGTACTGCGGACCGTAGCAGGGGACATCGAAGGCGGAGTAGCAGGTGGCGTGCTTGGAGAACTCGTGGCCCCAGAAGTCGTAGTTGGGTGAGCCTTGGGAGACCCAGTACCTTTTTGTACGTGTTAGAACAAGTGCTACGTTGCTTTTTCTAAAAGAAGAAGCAAAATTTGCAGGGGATATTTACTTGTTCATGTAGGCGAGGAGGTCATATTTTCCAAAGGGTTCGAGAAAGGTGCCTATGTTGGAGCCATTGTAAGGGGGCACCGGCGTGCCGGAAGATGTTCCCGTGGTGGTGTTTGGTGAGGGTGCCGGATCGTACTGGCGGCTGCAAATGTATGTGTGAGAAGAGAAGAGAAGTAGAAGAATCACAAGAATCACATGGAACAAATCGTTCCTGCTCTCTTGGCCCTCGTTGTTTCTTGACTCACCTCAGGTCACAATACTGCGTGTAAGAGCCTAGGAAAGGTGCATTGTTAGTATGGATGTAGCATTGTAGTCTTGCAGTCTTCAGCGAGTTGTGGATACGAACCATTGCAGAAATCCGGCCACAAGCCGTGAAGACTCCAGGCGTTCTTGGGCAGGACTTGGCCCTGAGACTCAAGACCAGTATAAGTATCCCAATATTGTGTCGAAAGCTGAAATCGAACGTCATGTCAGCCATTTCTGTGTGCCAGAGCTTGTGTAAGGCACAACACGTACAACCAAGCCTCCAAATGTCTCGGTACAGCACGAGTCTGTGATGTTGGCTTGCGCCCCTGCTGAGCACGACAGGATAGGGTCGTCTGCAAGACAGGTAGTCAGTCAGTCAGCCAGCCAGTTTCACAAGGCCACCTTTGACAGGCGGTTGCGTTGGGTCCTGGGGGCACACAAGCGTACAGAGCTGGCAGGTATGGTTCGACGTGCTCTCGCCGTAGAGGCTTCGGCCGTAGAGACTGGCCGTAGCCTCTCCAGTGGCGGCGAGGGTGGCGAGGAAGATCAAAGGGCGATGCATCTTGAATACGACTTTTTATTTCCACAGCTCGTTGTGCACAACAACATCAAAAGGCCCCTTGGTCAAGAGAACGACTACATGAGTATTGATAGGCCATGAAAAGGCCTTTCCAGGACCCTTTATAGACACACGAGGAGGCCACCCAAGTTTTCCTATCGCGCAGGTTATCTAAGTTCCGCCGTGTCATCGTGGGTATTCGTCGCTGTCATCGAACGCCCGCCCTGGGCGCACACCCAAACAGGAAGCTCACCGCGGCTCGACATGGAGAAAATTGCGCCTGTTCCCTGCACCAGGGGTCCCACCTGCCGGCGATCTGAATTCCTACAGGTCAATGGTCGTAGCGACTCCAGAGCGGCGGGCGCTGAAGGCTGATCCGGGTGGCCAGGTATGTTTCTTGGCGGTCCGGCTGGGCTAAGTAGTTAAGTAAGTGACCAAATGGTGGCGTCGGTGTATGAAGCTTGATTAGACCTCACCGAGAAGGTTCATCTTTTCTTTTCCTTGTCCTCCTTCCTGATTGCCAAGCAATTCATCTCCCTGCAACGATAAGTGACGGGGTGATTTCGTAGAAAATTAGAATCGAGGGAATGTTACGGGTTTTCTGATATTGCTTGAGTACTTCCAGCAGATGTTACTTCTGGTGTAACGTCATAATTATTGTAGATTGTGAGCCCAGAATGACTGGTCCAGGAAAAGACTTGTAGTGATGATGACGATCAATGGTCCTCCTTTAGTACGGATTGACCCTGGAGAATTCCCTTGTACGATAGACACCGTCAACCTCGGTAGTTGCTCCTTCCAGTGTCTGCGACTGTCTTGATGATGAAAGAGGTCTATTCACAGTCCTGGAAAACTGCTGTAGAACCACCCATACATAGTACAGGCTTCGGGCCAGCTTGTAGTGAGACTGCGATGGCAAGTCTTTACAGCAACGGAAAACTGACCAGTGACCAGCGAGCAGCAACCAGCAACATTACCTTGCAGCTAGTTTTCACAGTGAAGCACATTCAGCATAAGACTTCTAGCACCGTCATTTGTGGTCATGTTCTTGCATGCAATGCGTTGGAATCGAAGCGTTGAGACCACACACAACAGCAGTGTCCAGCCGCTGCGGTGTCCGTGGAGCCCCGCGCTGCCCCTTGTCAAGCAACAAGTATGACCCCTGCACGGTCAAGTGACGTGCCTGATGCTCTGCCCCGCCAAACAGAGCATCCCTTGAGAAGGGGGGGGGGGGGGTTGAAGCTCCCAGAGCTCAACAACTTGGACCCTAACAACCTCGACTCTTCACACCAACAGCTACGACCTCCTCCTTCTCCCTGTGACTTCATATCTCTAACACATCAAACCACCTACCCACCTCCCCCTTCTCGCCGCTACAACTACCTGCCCAAGATGTCTCAGGAAGCTTTCGACAAGGCCGTCATCGACTCCAAGAAGTTGACCTCCAAGCCTGGCCAGGACGACCTGCTCGCGCTCTACGGTGCGCATCCCCCCTCCTCCCCACTCCTGCATCGCCTGTATGGTAACGGTCCTGTCTAATTCATTTCCTTGCTCTCTAGGTCTCTACAAGGTCGCCGCCGGCGAGGACATCTCCAAGGCACCCGCTCCCGGTGTCTTCGATTTCAAGGTAGGCAAACATACACATGACCCCGGCTTTTTTTCCCCCGGAACCGAGGATGAGTGATTGTGTTACATAACGTCCGTCGTCGTCGCACGCATACTGACAGGTTGTTCTCGTTCGTGCAAATACAGGGCAAGTACAAGAAGGAAGCCTGGCAGAAGAACCTCAAGGAGCTCAACGGCAACGACGACCCTGTCCCTACCGCGGCGGCACAGGAGGCGGCCAAGAAGAAGTATGCCGAGCTGATTGAGAAGCTGAAGAAGGAGTGCGGCTTTGACGAGAACAAGGTGCCTGAGGAGGTTGGTGGAAACTAAAGTCAATCATCGTGATGATGATGGTCTGATGATGATGGCATTGCGGGCGACTACACATGCAACACGCGCACGACGGAGACGACGGCCACAGGCATATGCAATGCAGCAAATGCGGGTCATATCCACAGGTTTATGATGTTCAGAAATATATACCAAAACAGTAAAGTAAACTGCACAAACTAGCTGCCTTGATTTTGTTGGTTTCCATAGTCCTCTGTGCTCAAAGGTCTGTGGCAACCTCATGTTACCACCCATTTCTGCCCCTTCCAATCCGGCTCGGTGTGATTTGCGGTAGCGACCCATGGCACTTCATCCCTACCATATGGCTGCAAAGGGATATTGTACGGGATGCGCAAGCCAACGATCGGAGGTAGGTCTCCCTCGTCTCGGTCCGGTGTGTCTTTGTTGAAAGTCCCAACCATAGTTGCATCGTCGGCAAAAAGGGACGGCCATACGAGAACGCCAATCTCCCATGACGCTATCCGGACTTCTCCAGAGCTATTGACAGCTTCGCCCCAAGCCTGCTTGGAGAGGTTGGCTGAGGTGGTCAGAGCCCAGTCGATGGACTTCTCGCCATAACGAATGTAAGTCTTGATGTGAGGTGCTGCTCGTTTGCGGCCGGCTTCCTGGACCTCAGCTCCGGGGTTCAGTGCTATGTTCTCGCTGTCAGCCTTATATCACCGTGCAGAAGCATCCAGCAGTCCCTAGAGAAGAGTTCACCTTGTCCCCGCTCAGCATCGTTTGCCCAGTGGTGGAACATCGGCTTCAGATACAGTAGTTGTTTGGCCTGCTGGGCAGATTGAATCTTGGTGTGGATGGACGCGCCGGATTCGTAGCCATCCAGACTCCGGCGTATCTCGTCAGGGGTTGGGAACACCACTTTGAAGCACGGCTCCTCCTTTACTTTGTTCTTGGACGCCTTCAATGAGTCAAATAAGCTGCGGCGGAGCCAGGTATCTGTCGAGCCCAGGGTAGCAATGCTCGAGATCTGAACGACGATCTCAGACTTTCCATCTTGGACGTGCACTTGCCGCAGAGCGCTCTTCAGTGCCGCCCAGCCCCATTTCGTTTTTTCAGTCGCATCATGGATGTTGTGACGGCCTGGGACGGAGGCAATGAGGGCGGCTCTGATGGCGGAGAAGTCGTACTTGTCGAGCTTCTCTACCAGATCTCTACAGACGGGTCTTCTCCGGTTGTACGCGCCAAGGTAGTTTAGCAGATCGACCTTGAACTTCTCCCCGCTGCCGATCACAGGAGAAGTATTCCCAGGAGTGCTAGTTGCATGCGACATCCTCAGCGGCAGCATGGGGCTTCGCCAAACGGACTGTGTCATATTCGTCCAGTCTCTCGCGATCATGTTGGCCGTATGAATGATCACCTGGGCTGTATCATCATGGCGAAGCAAAATCAGCATCTTGCAGTGATGCGTCCCGAACATTTCTGGCATGAACGCGCAGTGAAGCGTGACGTTCTCGTGCGCTCGAGCTTGTTCCTATGCAACCGGGCTTGTACGTCAGTGGGTCTATCGGTGGCAGCACCAGTCACTCGGTCAGCCAGCCAGTGAAGACTGACCTCCAGCATTAACCGGTTCGAGTCTTCGTTCTTCCAGAAGCCGTGAACAAGGTGCACTTGAACCAGATTCCTGACATCCTCGTCAAAAGCGGCCATCAGGAAGTCAATATCGTATAGATAATTAAACTCCCAAGCCTCTGCAATGAGTGGGTCTCCCAACAGATCTCGTAGGGTCACAGCATCCACGTTTGCAGCATTCGGGAGGTCGCGGATCCAGGTGAGCTGGAACGGTGACTTGAAGAATTGGCTGTCTTCTTTGCCTGATGAGAGCTCTGCAGCCGTCGTCACGGTCGTGGGCATCTCAGGCGGGGCAATGGCCTCCGGGCGATGAGTCTTCCTTCTCGGAGGACTAATGGGGCGGTTAAGTGAGCGAGGCAGCGAGCCCATTGCTTCACTCGTGGCACTTTGCCCAATAGTATCTTCATCGTCCTCACTCACGCGACGCCTTTTTGGTGGTGGCTCCATGGTCTCTCTGGTGTCAACCTCCTGGGGGGGCGGCGATAGGTTTTGACGATGGCGAGGGGGTGTTGATGGCCAGGGCATACAATTTGGTGCCTTGAGTGTCCGGTCCTTTCCTCGGTCGCTCTTCATCGCATCGAGCCGCCGCTCACTTTATTTCCTGAGCAAGCTGATGGAGACTCGAGAAGGAACAGGTAGTAATTACTGGAGGGTTGTGCTGCAATCTTGGGCTTCTAGAACGTATGCGTTAAAAAGTGACCTGGCTCGGTGGTGTGATTGGCTGAGAGAAACCAAGTAGTCGCTAACATCACTACTAACCTTGGGGCTAGATTCATGGTTATTTGCGGAAGCAGCACCAGCTGCCAGGCTCAGGGGAGCGAGACCCGACTAGGATTGGACCAGGACCTTGTCCAGTCACCTGGAGAGGCTTGACTGATGAGACACTGGCCTTTAGGATCAGCGCCAACTTAGTTGACCTGCCATTCGACTTGGGCCTGGCTTCGCATCTCCTTCAGCCACCACCGCCTGAGCCTCTTGTCGCGACTTTCTTTCCAACGTCAATCTGCGCCTACTCCATTTGCAAGCCGTTTTCCTCAACAAGTACTACAGCTAGCTGACGGCACAGCTTCATTTCATCCTCGCTTGGCGCGATCGAGACACACACACACTCTCTCTGTCGTCAGATCTGCGTCGGTCGCTGTCGTATCGTCGCGTTGCCCCTGGTCCCTCGCTGTCGCCTGGCGTCCTCCGACTTTTGTCGTCTGTTCACACGAGATACCCATCTTCCATCCCATGTCCTGCCCGTCGCCACGGATCCCTGATGTCTAGGTGACACGACCACCCCACGAAGGCGACTACAGAACACGCGAGAAGGACACACGTGTGCTACGGGGGACGTCGAGCCCTCGACCCCTTTGTGTCATCTTGCTTGCCCGCTACATTACTTTGGTCGTTGTGGTTGGAAGGATTAGTGTACTGTGCCGTCCTCTCCACAGAGAAGCCCATAGACCATGAGGCTCTCTTCCCTGATATGGGGCCTGCTCCTCGGAGCTGTGGCCCACGTGGCGGCCCAAGAAGAGGAAGACGAGGAGATACCGGCGGATTACTCCCAGGAGTATACTGAGTTCGACGGGAAGGTGGTGCCCCCGATTCTGGAACTTACACCCGATACCTTTGAAAAGGAAATCAAAGCATCAAAGCACATGCTGGTCAAGCATTACAGGTTTGTGCTGCTCCTCCCTGATGTCGACTCTGGCCAAAGAGGAGGAGAGAGAAAAAGTCTTGCTGATAAGAGACACACAGCCCATACTGCCCTCACTGCCAGGACTTCGCGCCCAACTTTCGCACGTTGTACGAATTCTACTACACCGAAGAGATGTCAGATCCGTCGACAACATTTACAGAATACTACGATTGGCGGTTCGCAACGATCAACTGCATTGCCTTCTACGATCTGTGCAGCAAGAATGGTGTCCAATCATATCCGACAACAATGCTGTTCGTAAACGGCGAGAAGAAAGATAGCTGGAAGGGCGTCAAGAGCATACAATTTCTGTCCGACCAGATTGAGCCTGTTCTCGAAAGCGCGAGGCCTGGGTCCAGGCCCACAAAGGTGCTGACGCCCAAGGCATATGATAAGCAGCGTCCCAAGGCAGAGGGCGACTCGACAGCTTCCATGCCCAAGCCCAAGTCCCCGGCAGGAGAAGTCGAGCTGAGGGAGGCTGGCGCGCCCGCTGCGGGGGCCGCTGCTGCTGCGGCTCCAGCTGTCGAAGAACTGGCTGCACTCAAACCCGCGGAGCCCAAGGCCGATGCCGTCAAAGCTGCACCGCCCGCCCCAGCAAAGGCCCAACCGGCGAAGCCAACCAAGACCCCGAACCCGAATGGCGTATCTGTCTCTCTCACCGCAGAAAGCTTCCAGACACTGGTGACCATGACGCAGGAGCCGTGGTTCATCAAATTCTATGCGCCTTGGTGTCATCACTGTCAAGCTATGGCCCCGAGCTGGGTTCAGCTCGCCAAGGAGATGCAAGGCAAGCTCAATGTCGGCGAGGTCAACTGCGAGGCCAACAAGCGCCTCTGCAAGGATGCGCATCTCCGTGGCTACCCTACAATCTTGTTCTTCCGGGGTGGCGAGCGAGTCGAATATGACGGGCTCCGTGGGATTGGCGACTTTGTGCACTACGCTGAAAGCGCTGTCGAATTGTCTAACGGCGTGCAAGAGGTGGATGCCGAGTCGCTCGAGGCTCTGGAGGCCAGAGAGGAGGTGATCTTTATATACTTTTACGATCACGCGACCACGAGCGAGGACTTTATGGCTCTCGAGCGGCTGCCGTTGAGTCTCATTGGGAAGGCCAAGCTGGTCAAGACCAAGGATCCGAAGCTTTACGACCGGTATAAGATCACTACCTGGCCAAGACTTTTGGTCTCTCGTGAGGGCAGGCCGACCTACTACACCCCTCTCACGCCGAATGAGATGCGCGATACACGCCAGGTCCTGACATGGATGAAGTCCGTCTGGCTGCCCATCGTGCCGGAACTCACTGCCTCGAACGCCCGCGAGATCATGGACGGCAAGATTGTGGTTCTCGGTATCATCAACAGACAGGATCAAGAGTCATTCTCGAGTGCCATCAGGGAGATGAAGAGCGCCGCCAGTGAATGGATGGACAAGCAGATACAGCTGTTCCAGCTGGAGCGGCAGGAGCTGCGCGACGCCAAGCAGCTGCGGATTGAGGAGGCCGAGGATCGTGGCGACCAGAGGGCCCTCAGGGCAGCCAAGCTCATCCATGTGAATATGGATCGTGCAGACCGCAAAGAAGTCGGGTTCGCCTGGGTCGACGGCGTTTTCTGGCAGAGGTGGATCAAGACGACGTATGGAATCGACATCAAGGATGGCGAGAGGGTCATTATCAATGATGAGGATGTGAGTATCTCAAAGAGCTGGTTGCCAATCCCTTGTGTTTCTTCTTTTGCTGACCCAGCTTCCAGAACCGCCGTTACTGGGACCAAACTAGCACCGGGAACTATATCATCCCCTCGCGCACGTCGATCCTGGAGACCATCAACAAGGTTACGGCGCAGCCTCCCAAGATCAAGCCCAAGCTGACCATCTCAAGCTTCGAGAAGATCTTCTTCGACATGCGGGTGACCTTCTCGGAGCATCCATACCTCACCATCGGCTGTGTCGCTGGCTTGCTACTAGGCTCTGCGTCATGGTTCCGTGGGCGTTTCGGCAGGAGGAGAGGCAACAGACTCTTCCTGAACGACGAGTTCAAGGCACCACTCCTGGGCTCCAATGCCAACGGAAAGACTGACTGAGGTAACGGAGCAAGGAAGAGAGAGATGGAACTGACTGACGAAGGATGATAAGAAAGATTCCTGACAGTTATACGACCAGCATGCGCAGGCAGCAGCAGATTGGGTAGGCCAAAGAACGCTTTTGCACGACCGCGAACGTGAGAGCCACATATATCTATTTTATATGTTTGTATATTAAAGCGTCATGCTCGCATATCTGATACACACACAAAAAGGGGGGACATAAAACTTGTGCCCAGTTCTCTTGGAGGTATACGGGGGGGGGGGGGGGTGGTTCACAACTTGTTAGGAGGCCAGCAGCTCAACGATTCACTCACCGCCATCGAGGCCACGTCGGGATGAACCGAGGAGGGAGGGGAATTGGAAGGTTGGCTGGATGATGGACCACTCACTGGTGATGGTGGTGGTGTGCGAATAGCGACCGGCAGGATACCCAAGTCGGGACGCTTTAGGGAGGAAGAGAACGGACATGCATACTAATATGATTCTTGTTTTTGTTTCTTTGGTTCAAGACTTTATCAACACCGGAACACCGGCAAGGAAAAGGCCGTCTTCAGGTCTGTATGTGTGTGCGTGCGTGTGTGTGTATGTTGTTCGTGTCTGCACTATCCAACATCTCAGCAAGAACCTGTTTTTTAAGAGTTCTGACAGGGGGGAGAGGACCTTCAACATGAAGCAGTGTTCACCTTTCTCACTGGTGCCGACGTTCTTGAGAACCACCAAAAGCTAACAAACACAAAGCATTTCTCTCCTTTAGCCACGAGGACCGCATCGATTTGTCAAGAACGTCAACAGGAATATATTGCACTGGCGACTAACACAAAACCAACCTGTGGTATTTTCCTCCTTTTCTTTATGATCGGCTTAACCAATGACCATCACTTTTTCTTCTTCTTAAGTGTAGATCTCATCCGTGAAGCCGTTAAGCTCCAGGCCAGACTTGGCGATGTCCTTGACATCGGCCAAGAAGTCCAGCGGCATTTCCACCAGCGTGCCCCTGACCCGGCCGAGCCACTCCTTCACCTCCTGGACACCACCCGGGAACTCCTCCCGGACGATGTGGCCGTAGGGAACCTTGGCGGCCAGCTTGGCCTTCTCCTCCTCGTCGCCGTCGCCCTCCTTGAGGGCCTTCTCCTCGTCGGACCCGGGGATGATAAAGTACTTGCTAAAGAAGTTGTCGTAGTCGTCCCAGGTGCGGACGACGTTGTTGGGCACGTTGTGGAAGGCCTTGCTGAAGACCTCGGTGTTGGTGCGGGCCGTGTCGCGCCACAGGCGGTCAAAGTCCTCGCTCATGGGGTCGACGACCAGGCGGTCGGCGTGCGAGTCCCAGTCGTACTCGTTGGGGCACTTGCTCACGGGCTGGAAGTTGGCGTCGGGCCGGTCCCAGCGCTGGTCGGGCAGGAGGCCGAGGTGCTTGCGGAATAGCTGGCGGCGCAGGCTGGTGGCGAACTTGGACGCGGTCCAGGGCTCGCCGTTCATCTGCGAGCGCACGGGCGTCGGGTCCTCGATGACGACGGCGATCTCCGAGTCGTGCGTGCCGAGCTGCGAGCGGTCGTTCAGGTTGGCGCTGCCGATGAGCACGAGCCGGTCGTCGGCGATCAGGCACTTGGTGTGGATGTACAGCTCCTCCGACACGAAGGCGTCCAGCTCGGACTGCTCGTCGCCCTGCCACGGGATCGAGTTCAGGTCTGGGCCCTCGGCCATGTACGCCGCCGAGATGGTGTCCCACGTCTGGTCGTCCTGGCGCGCCGCCGCGTCCTGGTACCGCTGGTACTGGCTGCCCAGCCGCCCGTGGGTCTCATGGTAGCGCGAGTGGCCGTCGTAGCCGCTCTCCATGGCATCGTCAAACTCCTGGCGGGCCTCCTCGTACTGCACGCCCGACTCCTGCTCCGCCCGCTCCATGGTGGACGAGACGTTGAGGCGGTCATAGTTGCGCAGGTTGTAAAAGGAGATGTAGCGGCTGGGGTCCTCGATGCCGCCCTGCGAGAGCTTCTCCATGATCGAGTACCCGCCTCGGCTGATGGACTTGTACTGGAACTCCATGATGGCACGGGTGCCGAGTGCGCCGTCCGCCTTCAGGTCGCCAGCAAACGCAGGCACCGCGGGAATGGCCACAATCACACGGAAGGCCTCGCCGTTCTGATGGGCGCGGAGGATGCGGTTGACAATGGCGGCGCCGATCTTGTTAAAGACGGGGTGCTGCTCATCATCCGTTGCCGTGATGAAGAACTATTTTGCAGCGTCGTCGCTGTCGTCAGCAGAGCCTCATCATCTGGGGTTGAAGGCCTCTTTAATGAAGAAGTGTGTGTACTGACCTGGTTCTCGATATACACAAACTTCTGAGCGTTCGTGATGGCCTCGATGTACGCGTTTGCGATGGAGTGCTCGGTAGGCTTTCCAGCGGACCAGTTCGTGCAGCTGTCAAGATATACAAGGTGAGACATGAATCACCCACATGTAATGTATATGGCTGTATGCCGAGAAGGAAAAAAATAAGGATTGCTGCTTACCTTCGGCACATCTGGATGTGCGCTCCATGATCTTCATGACGCTCCTGAGGCTCTTCACCCCAGATACGTCCAAAGTGCCTGGTGAAGTGACGTTGGAGGCCGCCAAACATTTCACCTGCCTCTCGTTCACTGTGGTCAATGAGCTCCTCGGCAGGAGGAGCATGGCGGATAGCCTCTTCGAATTTATGATATTTGGCTTTCAGGTCATCCGTGTTGTACTTTTGGCCAAAGATGTAGTTCCTGAGCAAAACATTAGTAACGTTGCGTGCATATGTGCATGTGTGTGTGTGTAAACTGGTAGTTAAACCTGGGAGACTGGAGATGTACCATCTGTCTTCGAAGTGGTGTACTGTGCTGTTGACGATGGGTCCGGTCATGGAGATGCTGATATCAGACCAGCCCATTCGCGAGTACTTGGTACGGTCGACTTTTCATATATAATTTAGATATGTGAGCAACAGTTTCTCTCTCTCTCTCTCTCCTCTTTGTCAACAAAAAGTGCAGGAGGGGCGGTCGATCTTACGCTTGTTCTGCTCCCACTTGTCAACGCCCTCGAAGTCGTAGATACGAGCATTGTTGAAGTCCTGGCCGGGGAAGATGATGGCATCCACATCGCCAGGATGAGCATCTGCGATGGGGTGGGTGTTGGTGTCCCAGCGACCGTAGCCTTGCATGAGAGAAGTCAGCACGAGAGGATCGCGTGGTTCGGCATGAGAGAGAGTTCATATATGAAACCTACAAGCATCGAGACCACCCATGAAAGAAATCTTCCTGTCCACCACGCAGAGCTTCTCGTGGTGAGACCAGAAGAGCACAACATCGTCGCTGGTTCCGTAGAGTGTCTTCAGCGCATCCTTGGACAGCTTCGACAGGCTGAAGGCACCATGAGACAGGTTAGCGAACGCAGTTTTAAACTCGGCGCTGATGTCCTGCCCGGAAACAGAGTGGTCGGGATGACGGAAGACCTTGATGTTCTCGTGCAGGCTCTCCAGGTGGTGCTTGGTGTGCTACAGGATCATGAGTTAGCATCAAGCGTCATTGGATCGGTTCACAACAAATCAACTATGTATTACCTCGGAGTTCACTGGGCGAAGAAACTTATTAGCCAGGGCTGCAATCCCTATGATGGAATCTTTATGATCCTGATTGTGGGGTACACTCACATGTCAAGGCCTGCTCGACCTCCTTGAAAACGATGATCCTAACATCAACGCCCCGCTCGGCAGCGGCCTGCAGCATGTGATCAAGACGATACTTGTTGTTTTGCGCTGGAGGGCGGCGGAGGTACAACTCCGGGGACAGCCACCAGTCCAGAATGTAGATGCTCTCTTGGGCCTCTGTGATTGTGAAGGGAAAATTAGCTGAGGGTCTTGTTCTCACACTTCCGACAGGAATAACCAAAAAGAAATGTCACATCATCGAGGGCAATTTGCGATAAACTTACGTTCGAGAGCCTCTGACACGGCCCAGAAATACGAGCACCCATCCACATGCCACTTTACATGGCCCGAGGTCTGCGGCGCAAAGCTCTGGAAACGATTGTCCTTGTGCTCGACGTGGAGCTCATGGCACAACTCGTCCTGGTGGGTGTGCGAGTGCTTCTCCTCCTCGGAGCCGAAGAGACCCGCGATGCCCTGCTCAAGCTTGCGGAAAACGTCCATTTTTCTTCTTCTTGGAGTTGATCTTCTACAAATTGGTCGTGCTTGGAAGAGCTTGCAAGGAGAGCGGAGGGGATCGAAAGTAAACAGCTGTAAGGACAGGCCTGTTTATACTTCGTAGACGTGTCGTCTGGCCCGTTGTTGTGGGGCGATTCTCTGGTATATGTGAGGTCAGAAGCCAGGGTGGGTTGGAGGGGGACCCCACGTAAACTCGCGTCTCCACGAAAGCTTCACCTGAGATGTTTACCACCGGGTGGGTGTAGATGTCTTTTGGTAGGGCAATTTGCTGTCAATCAAGGAGAAACACAAGAACAAGATAAAATCAGTAAAGAGATAAGAACTTGCTGATGGTGTAAGATCACGAAATGATACAAAACAGGGAAAGGAGGGAGATAAGCCGTATGCCCTGAGAGTAGACAAATCCTCTCCTTGCGTGGCATCGCTTGTTCAAGCAGCTCTGCCCGCCAACTCATCAGTGGCCGTCATCGCTGCCCCTCAGTCACAGGCTCGATGCGATGTGACTCTCTGTATTGTTCTCTGGGGCGGAGGGGGACCGAAACACAGGGTCCCTGCAGATCCAAGTCTTGGCCTGCATTGATTGGAACACTCACTGCCACTTTTCAGGGACCCATACAGAGCGGTGAATCCTGTTAGTCGCTGCCAAGCTTCGTGTGAGAATAATTCTTATGAGCGATGGAGGCCTGTTATTTACTTGGTTGGCTGAGGCGGCTTTTCTTGGCCCTCGGCCACCATTGGTTCAGACAGGTTTCTCAAGAGTTGGTTTACTGTGCTAATATCCATCTTTTCCCGCCGATGTTGGCGGTTCAAACGACACGGGTTCGCAACACAACCTCGTATCTGACGTCTCAGCGGACAAGCTTAGCGGTTGAAGATGATTTTTTTTTTTTTTTTTTTTTTTTGCTTTTTCGCCCCAAGATCATACGAGCATACTGCTAATCCAGTCACTAGAAAGTCAAGAAGAACAAGTTAACGACGCTCACCGCTGATCTCGCACCTGGTAGTACGTATAAAGCCTGGAGGGTTCCGGTCACTGCATTGGTAGGGCTGAGATACGCAGCGCTAAGATGTTGTCAACTTGTCAAAAGCGTTGCCCTAACGCAAGCCACGAGCCACATTGGGGGTTGTGATGACTGCGAACGAGACGCGCGTCTCGGGAATTTCTTTTCCCTTCGCCGTTGGCAATGCTTCGAGGCATTCTTGGACACCGACAGAGGCAAGACTTGACCTCGGTCATTTCGGTGCTGTCGTACGCGTTGAGCGCACCTGATGGCGGCTGTGCAGCAGCACTCTTTTTGAGACAACTCCTTTCATGTCAGAACCTGTCTCCCATGAGACTGTCTGTTTTTTTCTTCTTTTCTTCTCTCTTTTTCCTTCATCTTTCTTTTATCTCTAAATTAGTAAAGTGTGGCGTCTGACGGAACACAATCCGACAGCATGCACAACGTCGGTAAGGCGGACCCCCTTGTCTAAGGCTGTGCACTCAGACCAAAAGCCGATGGAAGAAAAAAAAAAAGCGATAAACTGGCGCGCGAAGGTATTCAACAGTGATTGAACATTATGAGCGATCTGTGATGTCGGTAAAAGGTCTAGACATGTGCTCGCTGACGCTGGGTCTTTAAGGGCCGGCAGTAAACGGCAATTTGGTAACCAGTATGAGGCTGTACCAAGGAGCGAAGGCGAGATCACGAGCTTCGTAGGTGGTGTGACACTGCAGAACGGATAGAGGCCGCCGAGGAAGTCTCGGCTCTCTGGTAACGAAAATCGCTTATGATGTGGGAAGATCGTGCAGACTGAAGTTCCGGGGGATGCATACTGAATGTCCAATCGTGGAATTCGCCTCATGACGTTTAGTTGTAGCTTATTTCCGATGCTTGTATCATTGAATATAGCTGAAGAAGGATCATGTGCGGTCCGAAACTCTGCGACGACCATAATGTCCATCGACTGCGCATTCTCGGACCGACTGATTCTGCGCGGCTCTGCAGGTCGTCTGCAAGTATGGTCTGCTTGCCACTGATTCTCCAGCCTCATTGACTCTCTTCTCCAAAACTCTGCAAGCGTAGGACGAAGAACGGAATTCGCTTATGCAGCCATCCCGCCAGATGATGGAACACTCGCATCATGCTCGTGGCGACCAGTGGTTTGACAAGCCTGCGTGGGCCGGGCAGATAGTATTTGAGAGCTCGTGCTGTGGCACACGCTGTGAAAAGTCGTCATTGGTGTAGTGCTCTTGTACTCTTCGAAGCAAAAAAGAAAAGAAAAGAAAGAAAAAAAGAAAATCCTCAAAAATACTTACCCAGGTGGCTACATGTCATCCACATTGACGAAGGGACCCTACTCAATCTCTTCTCCCGCCGTCTAACGCGAGGGCGGCAGCACAAATGAGGCTAGCTGAAGCTCTCTATGCTTTACCCTCACTGGTAAGCTTGTCTCGTCATGTCTTGTGACCGGAAGGCTTTTTGGCCGCCGAACGGGTGGCGTAAGACATGTGTATATGCTGTCATATAGGAATATCTGGGCTATCCGGTAAGCGAAGACCTCATCATTTCCAGGCTGACGGGCAAACTATCCGCTTCTCGTGATCGACCACTCATATCCCGTCCAACGCTGTCATCACAGGACAAGACGAGGTCGCAGCTTCGTTCTGGGAGCTGCAGCTCTCCGATGGCTAGAGTGGTGCTACCAGGTTAAGCGATGCTGACAGTACTCGCTGGCTTCGGCATAATGCCCTGAGTTGACGCTTCAGACCCTGGGAACACGAAGGCGCAGAAGACACAGGGCAAGAGAGGGTGTCCCAGCAAGATAGCAGTATGACGTACCAGGGCGCTCCGTGCACGTCGTCGATGGGGGCGAAAGACAGCACGGCCCTGCTTTTTGGTGCTGAGATCATCAGGGGCATGTCTTGCCCTGGTATGCATCTCCTCGATGCGTAGACCCGTAGAAATAGATTTTTCTCCAAGAAATGAAAGCCTGGCTCAGAGGGGAATGATCAACCATGGATGACATCGTCTAGACGACCAGCCGTCTGACGATCAGCAGCACCAACGAGGCGACGAACAATTTTTAAGGTCGTCCGAAAGCTCGTACAAGCGCACCATGGGGTCAACTGGAAGCCTCTAGGTGACGACAAGTATCATGCCAAGATTCGGCACCGCATCTGTCGAGGATCAGGTAGTACCGGACCAAGGGAAAAGAAAGAGAAAAAAATGGAGTCGTGAGGGGAGGGATTTGGGTTTACCAGCGTTGTTCGCCCTCTTGCCCTGCGTATTACGTCTCGATCGCTAGACTTGATCTCATCTCATTTTCTCGGCTGCGAGAAATGACAAATGCCGGCTGCTGGCATAGCGAGGGTCCGGACGCCGTGACGTGGTCTGGAATGTGCCTGCTTGCGCACAGTCCCTGGTTTCAAGGTGGTGACTGGAGGGAGACTGCATGGTGATACTTTGCCTCCCGTTCCCGCGTGAAATGAGGCGTGTTAGGGAGGCGAGTGAAGAGTATGTGATTGCGTGGATAGCTCCTAGACCCAGGCTCGAGGCAAGAGCTACAAAGGGTGAACAAATTGGATGGCAGGCAAAATCTGGTGTGTGGCAGAGCTGGTTCAAAAAGGTTCGGTCGGGTCTCTGGTCGCCAGAGCCGTGATGTGTGTGTTTCCAGTCCTTCTCTAGGTACTCCTTCGTAGAAAAACGACAGGAGTAATAATAATAGTAGTAATAAAAAAACAAAAAGCTCAAAAAGGATAGACGAGATTTGAGTTCGGGCACGTCAGTTAGTCATAGAGCAGACGGGAGATATTGACGGATGGAATGACGTTGAACAATGTCGAAGGAGGTTGCTGTTGTTGTTTTTGCTGTGTGACGAGGACAAGATTTAGTGAATCGTCGCAGGTGCAACAAACTTTAAAAAGAAAAGAAAAGAAAGGATGAAATGATGAAAGGGAGAAAGAAAAAGTCCCGCGCGACATGTCACAAAAAGATTCTGGAAGATCCGTCCCCTGTGACGGCGCCTGCTGTGGGCATGGAGCAACAGTGGGGGGCAAAAAGGGCAAGGGCACACCTAAGATCTGTGAACCGGCTAGGCGGGTACCCGTCCCAGCAGAAGCCAAGAGCGCCAATAGAACAGCACCTGCAGCACGGCTTCAGCCTTATAGGCAGTAGCACGCGACTCACATGCCATAGCGCTTACCCCCTGTACAGTAGCGTCCTCGCCCATGTGGTGATCCCCTGTGCTCTCACCCACCCTGCCCCTCCCGCCCCTTGGCGGGTACCTGAATATCCTGAACATCGCTGCAACCTTCTCCCCGTCGTATTGGTAGCTCTGACCCCTGCGCCCGCCGCCTGGAGCATCACCTGGAGCTAGCATCGTACGTACAATCTCGAGCGGCTTCGTAACGATCCCACCCAGATTGAACCGTCACCATTTCCGCTTCCTACGCGCTAGCTTGGGCTTTTCCCAATAACAATCTCGTTTCTGCTCTTGTGTTTTATCTTTCCATATCAAGTCACAAGACTTGTATATTAAAAGTCATGGTGGCCCTCCCCTCCCTCCATTATTATTCTGTCTGTCAATTTCCAGCAGACGTGGTTAAATATCCACAATCGCCACCCTTTCCCCGACCTGTACGTACCTCCGCCTCAAAAAATTGAATAAACATCTACGGGCTGTTGCTGTACCGTAAGTCTCTCCCTCTCTCTTTCTATCCTGCTGAGTGTCGGACCCTATGTCTGATGTCCTTCTATAGCTCTCAGCGCATATAGTACTGCTACTGTACCGCCAAAAAACAAAACCAAACCCATTCCTCGACCAGAGTTACCAGAGACAAAGCACAGGGCTTTTCACGCCGTCCTTTGAGTAGCCTGTATACCACACGACACCCTTTCAGTCAGAGTTTCTCTCTCGCTCGCCTGTTACAGTCGTTACGGCCCATTCTTGCCCATCATGTCAGGACCAGGCACCGCAAGGGCGCAGATCTTCAACGCAAGAGACCACGCACATCTGACGCCTTGGCTGGCCGGTCTACAGGCCCAGTGTATCACGTCCGACAAGACCATCAGCACCTTCCTGCCTCCTCTGAGCCACGAGAAGCTCCTCGTCTGGTGGAAAGATCGGATTGCGGAGGCTACTGGCGGCACGAGGGTGATCGTGATGCTGCTTCTTGACTGGGAACCTGGCACGAGGGTGCAGGGAGATCATCTGGTTGGTGTCGCCATGCTGGCAGTGCCGCATTGGGAGACGGCGCCGTTCCGGGCGACGATCGAAACCTTGCTGCTCAGCACCAAGTATCGTCGCAGGGGAGGCGCGACGACTCTGATCAAGGCTCTGGAGACGCAGGCCCTTCTCAAGGGTAAGACCCTTCTGGTAAGCTGGCTCCCTTCCATCCCCTCCCCCCTTTTCACCGATTTCCTTTTGCATAATGTACTTACTCACCTACTTGGCTTGTTCTACAGATGTGCGAGGTGGAGGACCGATCCCCAGCCGCGGACCTATTCATGCGCCTGAACTACCAGATGGCCGGCACAGTACCCGGTTACTGCATCAATCCGAGCGGTGAGTTGAGAGGTTTCGTCTTCCTCTACAAGAACATCAAGGGTGCCGGGAACTAGATGTCCAGACGATCATCACCTAGCCCACCCTTAAACAGGGCCAATTCGTCGTACAGCACGCCAATTGCTATTTTTTTTTCTTCTTCTTCCTTCTTTATCTTTTCTTCCATTTGGTATTCCTTTTCCAAGCCAAGCGCCAAGGGAGCGTTTTTGGGGGACCTCCTCGGATGGAGCGGGCGGCCAAGAAGCGCCCCAAACACGAGCTGACGCTCCGGATGCATCGGATGAGGAAGGCTGGAAACTTTTTCGAGGACGGCAAGATCTGGACATAATTGTGTTGGAGGATCTACAGTGTCTTTAATTAGACCTCAACCATGTCCAGGCTGGGGTGAGGACAGAGAAGGCGAGGGTGGGATCTGACGGTGCGGTGGGTTGGATATCTGACTTGGAAACTTGTAATATTAGGTGGAGGGCGATTAGAAAGTACTAGATAGAGTTCTGGTGCCCATACCCATTATAGCTATCTAGAATTTATGTATTATAACATTGACTGTTTAACAAATCCGGTGATAATTGCATGTATGTGATCGTACCACCATCTTTGTGTGTATGTCTCTGTCTGTCTCTCTGTCTCTCTCAACGCAAAACAAATTCCATCTGAGGACGTTTCGTATCAAAGAATGGCCTGAGCACCTCGCTTCGTCTCAATGTGTAAGAGAGATCTGCAGGGCCCCAGATACTAATCGTAATTGCAGCAGGTGTCACTTCAAACCTCGTCTGTTCGCTGGAGCCTCTATCGTCACGTGCAATCTCGCCTTGATGCCCAACGTGAAGGTTAGAAACAAACAGGGGTACAATACGCGACGCTTGCGCCTGACTTGTCTCGAGACCCGAAGAGAAGAAGGAAGAGAAGAAAGAAAGAAGAAAAGAAGAAGAAAACCCTGTGGTGGTGGCTTACAATCCCCACCAGGCTGAAGGCCCTTTGTTCAGCCGATGCCTCTTCTTGACTTGACTCTTCCCAAAGAAATAAACGAAAATGAGGCAGCCTGTCAGTGGCCTGACGTGTAAAAAGACAAAGAGAGGTACATACATAGTCGTTAAGCAGCAGCGGGCCCATGTCGGAGCAGGCCTTCATAAACGAGGGCCTGATCAGCATGCATCGGGCTCAAGACTCCATCATGGTCTCATCTCGCTATTGAAGCGAACCAAGGAATGTTTTTTGCTCTCTGGACGTCGGCCCCGTTCCCGATTTCCCCACAGGCAGGGCGGCGGTCAGGCATATAGTGTGCAGAATGGTTCATTGAGTTATTCAAGGCTTCTTCTCTTTCTTCTTCTCTTTTCGAAGGATACATCTCAGTAACAAGCTTGCAGATTGAATGGCCGATTAATTGATTTACTATCGTCGTTATGCGTCCACTCCTCAGACATACGAACAAACCGCATCTACTTGCCTCATCTTGGGCTGCATTAAATGAGATAGAGGACTCTATACTTAGATTTTAGATTCTGGTTGCAATTCCCCTCCCGCCCCTTTTTCTTTCTTCTTCGTTTCTCTCTCCAGGATAGTTGGTGGCTTGCAGCCTGAAGAGTAAGTGTCTCAGCCGAGCTACGCCGCTGGAGTTCTTGTCTGCTGGCGTGATCAGTCCTTCGCTCGTTTACCTCCTCCGAATTTTCGTCGATACAACATATTTGCCTTTCTGAGAACGTCGCAGGTTCAAGTTTCACAAATATCTACATAAGAGACTAAACACCAAATGCTCAGGCAAGTCAGGTCGGCGGAAATGTTCTGCCGGAGTTCCGGCCGAGTGTATTGGAACTCCTAAAAAGCACCACAACGTACTACGGTCCAAAAAGTTAAAATTTCGGGACCGAGCCGATACCCATCAGGATCGACGTCCAGGCCCGAAACAGGCTTGCAAAGTCTCCGATTCGTTGGTATCTTGAAGAGGGGGGGGGGGGGCCTCGTTCCGCCAACATAGGCACTCATGGCACTGTCTCCTGTTGGTATTATCTTGTGCTACCTGAGAATTAGTATGATTTTAGACATTGTCATCATCCTCGGTTTGAGAGAGAAGCTCACCATCCGGGACCGAGAAGAAAGTGTGTCTGCTCTCCTCTCTGGAGTCGGAATTATTCTCTGTCTGACTCGAGTCTATTTCCAGCTGGCTCAAAAGGATGAACGAAGGGGAGGAACAGGAGCGGCGAGCGTCCCGAACGGGGTTATCACCGAAGAAATCCCAATAAGAAGAAGAAGGGAAAGTAAAGAGGCTGGCTGGCTGCAGTGGTCGTCCGAGAGGTGGCACGGTCCTCGTTGTGGTACTGACGACCCGCTTGCCATGCCGATGATACACTCTCACACCACAGTTGCTACACATGAAGAGAAAAAGGGGGGTGCACAGGAAGATAGCAGCCTGTTCTGCTTCCGATTCGGGTCCCACTGCGCCTGGGAAGCCGGAGGAAGAAGAAGAAGCAAGGAAAAAAGAAGAAAACTGAGAATCCCTCAGATACTATTATAGTATATACCAATACTTTATTTCCTGCATAGTATAAGTGCCTAGTATTCACCATGGTAATTCAATCTGGTACAGTATGGGTGGTCTTGTCCGGTTGCAACGGAGGCGGACCCTGGGCCCCGGACGGAATACCAAAACACAACCTTAAAACCAAGAGAGCACTTCCCCATCCCGACCTCCGTTGCTCAAAGTCGGTCTTAGTTCCCAAAAAGAAAGCCGAGACAAGACCTTACCCCGTCCCATCTTCATTTTGCTCCATCTTCTTTACATCTTTTTTGCCTGCTTTTCTGTTTCTGTCTCTTGTTCTTCTTCATTCTCATCGACACACGCACACACACACAGACACACACGCAAACTTCACACACACAGAGCCCACTTTACTCAGAGTCCTGCCCACAATGACAAAGACGGTGGTGATCCTCGGAGGGTCCTATGCCGGCCTTCATGTCGCGCACTACCTCCTCAAGAAGCAAAAAACCCTGGACGTCAAGGTCATCCTGGTATCAAAGGTTCGTGTGTGTTGGTAATCAAGGAGAGCAAAAGGGACAGGACGATAGATGTGTAGCCCGCCCATCCTTTTTGGGTTGTGCTCTTGATAATGAGATGATGGACTTCAAAGAAGACGAGGGCCACCTGGTGAACAAACTGACAAATGCCTCATCCTCTAGAGCTCCCAGTTCTACTGGAACATGGCTTCGGTCCGCGCCATCGTCCCCAACACCATCAAGGACGACCAGCTCTTTCAGCCGCTCGCCGCCGCCCTCGAGCGCTACGACAAGGACACCTACGAGATCCTCATCGGCTCCGCCCACAAGGTCGACACGGCCGCCAAGACGGTGCTCGTCTCTCCTACCACGAGCACTGGGTCGTCGTCATCGCCAGCCGAGGACCGCACCCTGACCTACGACCAGCTCATCATCGCCACGGGCGCCCGTAGCAGCAGCGGCACCAGCAGCAGCAACAGCACCACCCTGGAGGTGCCCTGGAAAGTCCTCGACACCTACGACGAGACGGTGGCGAGCCTGGACAAGACGCGGGAGCGCGTGCAGGCCGCCAGCACCATCATCGTCGGCGGCGCCGGGGCCACGGGCGTCGAGGTCGCGGGCGAGCTGGGCTACGAGTACGGCAAGACGAAGGAGATCACGCTGCTGTGCGGGGGCCCTTCTGTGCTCGACGGCGACAGCATCGGCGGGGCGGCCAGGGCGGCGCTGGAGAAGCTCCACGTCAAGATCAGGCTCGACGCGAGGGTGAAGGGGTCCAAGAACCTGGCGGGCGGCGAGGGCAAGACGGAGGTGAGTCTGGAGAACGGGGAGACGCTCACGGCAGACTTGTATCTCCCGACGGTGGGCATGGTGCCCAACTCGGAGATGCTGGACGGGGCGTATCTGGGTGAGAAGGGCTATGTTGTCACGAACGATCTCCATCAGGTCAAGGGGCTCGAGAGCGAGGGCGTCTGGGCTCTTGGGGATGTGGTCAGCAAACCCAGAGGCGGATTTCTCATAACGCAAAAACAGGTAAGTCTTTTTTTCTCAACTCCTCGTTTCTCGTTTAGGATCAAGTGGCTCTTGTGTGTGTGTGTGAGAGAGAGAGAGAGAGAGAGAGAGAGAGACAGAGAGGAAGTAGAGAGGGAAAGCAGAAGAGACTGGTTCGCTGACACATTTCATCGTCACAGGCTGCTGGAGTGGCAAAGAATGTCGAGCTCACCCTGCAGGGCAAGGCTCCCTCCACCGTCAAGCTGTTGCCTGTAGACATCATGGCCTGCTCGGTGGGCAGAAGTGGTGGCGTCGGGAGGATGGGGCCCGTCAAGATGTTCTCGACCATGGTCTGGCTGGCCAAGGGGCGCACCCTCGGTATTCAGAGGATGCCTGGCTACATCGACGGCAGTGTGGCTTAAGCCCCTTTTCTGCATCATAACTTTTTTCTCTATGGAGTTGTTATTCGTCCATACTATCCATTAGCCCATTCAGAGGAAGGCCTGTGCTGTCTTCTAGTATTTTTGTTGACGGATAAAAAGATCTAGAACACAACTAGACCAGACCCACAGAGGCGTTCATAATTCCTAACAGAAAGCTATACTACATGTAGTTAACTAGAAAGCTTGAAATATAATATAGTAATAGTTAAATAAATAAAGAGTAGAATAGGAAGACTATCCAATATCACAACTGAGTTTTAACAAATACAAGTATAGTGATTTTTGCCTTTGAGGATCTTGGGAGGGATGAGGAATATAACACAAAGTCCCTCCTCCCTTGCGTGCCGGGAATCCGTGATAGGGGCAAAGGCTAGAGACCCAAAAGTGGATCATTCTCCTCCTAAAATGTCGAATAGACATTCAGCTAGAAAGGGAGAAACCAGCCTGAAATGAAGAAGAATGGGGTGCTTGCGCAAGCCACGTCCTACTATAGCGTCTCTTTTCTAAGACGGGCGTCCAAAAATATGTCTTATCGTTTTGGCTGGAATGTTTTCAGCACGCGATGGCCCCTCTCAATTTACACTGCATACCTTTGACCGCATGCAGAACATGTCTCTCTCGCTCTCACCCCTTCTCCTTATACACATCTTTCTCTGATTCCTTCCCTCCATCGCGTTAGTTCTACCCGAGGCGGCGAGACACATTCTGTCAGAGGGGAAATGTGTCTTGACGCGTTAATTGATTGAAAGAAAAGGAAGAAAAAAGAGAGAGAGAGAAACCTACCACTTTCGCATTCAGGAATCCTCAAACCCTCTATCTCTTTCTTTTTCTGTCTTCTTTTCTTCTTCTCTCTTTTCTCTCTTTTTTAGTCTTTGATCTTGGTGTGCATGGAACAGAAGTAAAGATCCATAATGAAAATGTCACCAGACAGATCCTGGAGAACAGGCCTTTTTTTCAGAGCCCCTTCGACGCCCATCGCCAAGATTGGATGTTGCTGTCTACTCGCCCTTGCAGTATGGCTGGTCGCCACCGGTCTCGAGCGCCAGTCGGTGGTATCTCTCCATGACCTCAAGAGCAGTGCAGGCGACTTCTTTGCTTCCAGCGCAAGCGGAGACGATTCCAAATCTAAACCATGGACGCCTGGCTCCGGGTCGAAGTTGGGGAATGGACCACCTCATGATCCATATGAGGACGGAGAGGATTTGTATGCCTCCTCCTCCTCCGCTTCTGCGGATCCATCAGATCACAATCAGTCGCCGCAAGCATCATCATCATCACCAACAACAACAACGACAGCCCCCAAGAAGCCTACCACCTCAGCAAAGGCGCGGCCCGAGAAGACCTGGGACCTCGGAAGCTTCAAGGAGGCATGGCTTGCCACAGAGATCGGCGGCCCCTTCAACGGCTCCTGGCTCGCCCAGGTGTGCAACGAGACGACCTGGCGCTCCGACGTAGCCCTCCACATGACGCACAGCCGCGGCGGCCTGGCCAACGTGCGCGGGACCATCCTCGACTTCCTCCACTTTGCGATTCGGACGGGCACGGCGCACCTCGTCCTCCCTTCGTACGTGAAGCGCACCGACACCAGCCTGGACTGGATGGACGAGAGCAACGGGTACTGGCCCTTCTCGAACCTGTTCGACGACGTCTGGTTCCTGGACACGATGAAGACGCACTGCCCGCAGGTGACCTTCTACGGCAACGTCACCGACGTCCCCGCCACGGCCTTTGTCGAGCCCGACTACGAGATCCACACCGCGCGGCCCGACAAGAGGCCCGACGAGAGCATCGCCGCCACGGCCGCACACTTTGCCGCCTGGCTCGCCGACAACCCGGCGGGCTACCAGCCGGGCCTGCTGAACCTCGTCAACGTCGGCGCCACCCTGTGGGCTTTTGACATGATGACCAGCCCGCGCATGCGCCTCGTCCTGGGCCGCATGTGCAAGATCAACCCGCGCATCCGCGAGCTCGCCGCCACGGCCACGTGGAACCTGCGCGGCCTGCACAACCTGTCCGAGACCCTCGACCCCCGTGACCAGATCTACCAGGACGCCTTCTACGGCATGCACCTGCGCACCGAGGCCGACGCCTCCACCGTCAACTGGGACAGCCAGTTTGGCGGCTTCGACAGCCAGACCGACATCCACCTCGAGAAATGCCAGGGCCTCGGGCTGCAGGTCATCTATGTGGCCAGCGGGAACCAGGAGGATATTGAGCGGTTCAAGGAAAAGGCCATGGACAGGGCCAACATCACCGTCGTGAGCAAGAAAGATCTGATCACGGACCCGGACGACCAGGCCGTTCTGGATGGCATGACTTGGGATCAGCATGGCGCGCTTGATTGGGAGGTTCTTGCAAGGAGCACTTACTTTAGTGGACCTGTCATGGTAAGATTTTCTCTCTCTCTCCCCCTCTCTTTGGTTCCCTTTCCCCCAGACTCACTCTCCGACACTTGCATCGTTTCCTGGTCAGTGATTTCTCAAAGAGTGAGCGGTTGATGCTGACATGGTGCTGGTGGCCCAAAAATAATAGAGCAGTTTTTCTTGGAACCTGGCGTACAGGAGGAACCTCTACATCGAAGACGACAGCCGGCTGGACAAGGCGAATCCGTTCGCAGTGCAGGAGTTGGAACCACAGATTGCATTCGATGATGGTCTGAGCAGGATCATGCTCAGGACCCATCTTGACTTGGTGGAGCACATGGCTCCGCGCGGTATATTTCCATAAGAAGATATTAGCTCACTATGAAGGCGGCTTGTTTGATTCGCTGGTCCTGGAGTTTGTTTTTCTTTTTGGGTTTCGGGGAGCCTGGGCCTGGACCACTTTCAATAATGCATTTTGCCTCTTTGAATTCTTTCACAACTGCCGGCCTGCCTCTCTGCCCTGCACATGTGCCTTCCCTATCTCGGCTGGCTCATCGTCACGTCATGCATCAATTATGCTCACCGGCTCGCCTTCTCGTCCTCGATCTCCCTCCGTAGCTGCTCCAGCACCTGGTTCCTCGAGCTCAGGTGCGACTCCAGGCCCTCGACCTGCTCTTTCACGGTCTGTAGGTCGTCCTGGATGCCCTTCAGGCCGCCTCCGCCGCTCGCCTGGCCATTGCCCTGCTCGAGGTCCCGCAGCTGCTTCCGCTTGTAGTCCAGCAGCTGCTCCAGCTCCCTCTTGACGAGTGCGGGCTTGCTCTCCCTCTTGCCCGTGGCCCTGATCTCGGCCGAGCTCTCGAGCTTCTCGATCTTGGCCTCGAGGTCGTGCAGCTGCTTCTTGAGCCGCACCTCCTCCCAGTCGTCCGTCTTCTCCGTGCTGAAGTCCGTCCCTGTGCTCTTGAAGCCGCTGCGCCCCAGCCGCGTCAGGTACTGGTCGCCAAACTTGGCCTTGCGGCCCGTCGATGTCTCGTCGTCCGCCTTGACCGCCCACCGGCTCTGCGCCGCCGTTCGCTGGTTGTCGAGCTGGTAGTCGATCTGATTGCGCTCGAAGCTAGAGCGCAGGGACGCAGGCACCGTGCGCGGGATGCGGAACCCTTCATGTCGGTTATTTAGAATGTGGAGGAAGGCGAGGCAGGCGTCCTTGTTGATCGAACTCGCAGCGGACGGGTTGATGAGGTTCCATGCGGAGCGGATGTCGGTATCCGGCACGTCAAGGCTGTCGTAGAGATCTTGCAATGATCCGACTGGTTTTGTGTGTGTGTCCAAGTCAGCAACTTCCACGTCTTATCACCCTGCTTGTGCACACAGAAAACAGATCATGGGCGAGAGAAAGGACAAATGGTCAGAACTCACACGCTATCTCCCCTCTCATGTCCCTGTTCTCTTGGTAGATCTGTTCGTATTTCCCCTTGTCTGCCGGGCTCATATACCAGTCAAAGCCATCCTTGAGCCCCGGCGTGTCCGAGTCATCGTCGACATGCTCGAACTGTGCTGCCTTGCCCGTCAGGGCGCGAGTGGCTTGTACGAGATGTGCCTTGGACTCTGGCACCATCCAGTCTGGCAGCGTAGCCGGTACGTCCATGTACTCCTAAGCAGCGCCGGCAGTCAGTTACATGGATTTTCCCCCTTTGTCCCTCTCTGCAGAAGCCTCCCAGACACAACAACAGGTGGAACCCCCCAGAAAGAAGGAAGGAAAAAGCCCAAGCGTACCCCATTGAGTATGTCGAAAATTAGCCGCATGGCGACGCAGAACTCCTCAAAGTCCAGGTTTCCATCGTTATCAACATCTGCGAGGTCCCATACCCGCTCGAGCTGGTCATCCTTGAGGCCGCTGTTCTTGAGGACGGGGGCTGCCTGCTCGCCCGTCAGGTACTGGCCGCCGCCTGTCCTTGCCGAGAAGATGTTCCAGTAGGTTTCGATTTCTGAAGCTTCTATGCGAGGCGCCATGGTGACTCTTTTGTGCGTGTGTATCTCTCTTGGCAGCTGGTCTGCGCAATCTCGAGGGTCTGTGGGAGGTGATACGATAGTGGTCGATAGCGAGCGACGAAGAGGCCCTGGAAGACGGGAGTTCGCGGGAGGGTTGCCCAGACTATTGCTGATCTTGCTAAGCTTAAAGAAGAAGAAGGGAAAAAATTAGAAGGGTAAAGTAGTTGCTGGAATCTTTCTTCACGTCTGGTGCGTCTCTTTGCTGTGTCAGAAAAGGGCGAATGGACAAGGTATTCAGGGGAATTCGATGATGGCATACGGAGTCTCCAGCAGAAGGAACGAAATGGGGCAGAGAGAGCTGCTGCCCAAGGATGCCGCATCAAGTGGGTCGGCCTGCGCTCCATACCAGAGCAGTGGTGGCAGCCATGCAGGCAGGGGTTGTCTGTGGCCTCCTTCCCTACTGTATAGTCTGTCTGTACACAGTACAGCACTGTACACTCAATTAATTAGGACACCCATTTCTTGTCTTTGCCAATGCTTGCCCACCACAAGCATCTGGCTCATTCTCACCTCCACCAACTTTCACCATCCTCCTCATCACGACATGATTATTACTTATTCAGGCAGTCATGCTTACAATGATGCAATGTAAAGTCTCAGATTTCTCTCTTGAACCCTCCGGAATGTTCCTTTTGTTTATGTGTCCATTGGCCTGTTCAATTGTGATCCTGTCTCCCAAATCATGATCGCGATATGTTGTTGTGTTCCGGACCCTTCTTCGCCTGCACATCGCGGGGGCACTGTCGTCAAGTGTAAATATATAAGCCAACTCCCCCCCCCCCCCCAAGTTTCTGGATCAAACCTTTTTTCCCTTGTTTCTCTTCCTCTCTTCATATCCTGCATAGGGCATCTCCAAAGATTCAAAAAAGGCCCAACCATATCACCAACTGCCCCCTCCTTTTTGGGCCACTTTGTATTGCATATATTCCCTCCTGCCCAGCAATGGATGCATTGTCTTTGATGGTCCAGGTGTAGATGCATCAGATGAACCAGTAAGTAAACTCCTGAACAGAGAGAAGAGATGTGGACAACAACACAAAGACTCAAGCCCTCACCCCCCTCCCCCAAGGCCTGAGGCAGGACCTTTGGTAGCATCAAGTCTGAATGTCTCCTCATCTGCAACACCACATACCATCATTAACACAATCAGAGTATTTTTCAGAAGCTGACTTCTTGAATAGGGGCAGCAGAGCAGATTTGGTAGATGATGGCATCTTACCAAGCCCTCCAGATGAACTGCAGGACCTGTTCCTTGTGGTTCCTTAGTGGCAGCAGTACCAGCTATACCCATGACCCATCCCAACAGCCTCCAAAAACAGTCGGCCTTCCCCTGACTGGTATGGTGGGGAAAGACTCCTGGTACACCAATTACTCCGCTGGCTGGCTTGGCTGAGGGTCAGCCGCCGAGGCCGGTGGTCGCGAGGGAGACACGGCAAGCGCAGCAGGGTCGGAGTCGGGCACGCTTCTGGCCTTAGATGGTGGGACTGGAGACCCAGTATATCCAGCCCGTGTGGTCGCGGTCGTCAATGGCGCGTCCGCTTCTTGCTGGCGTCCCTGTTGTTCCTCTGCCTTGTTCGTTCCCGCCTGATCACCAGCTGCTGGCTTCTTGCTCGACGCGTCCTTTCTGGGCCCGCCTTTCTCGTTCGACGGGCTCTGAGACTGCTGCTGCGCGGTCAAGCTTGGAGACTGCGGATCAGCACTGGGGTCGTGTCTAGGTGCTGCGGAATGACGAAGTGGCGGCGCAGCAATGATCCTGGGGCCTCGAAGTGCTGATCCCACTGGAATGGGAGGCATGAATCTTGGGCCTGGGACCACTACACAGGGTGTAGCTATTATCGGTGCCACATTCGCAACAGAAGCTGCGTTTCCCGCTGGCAGAGACGCTTCGCTGCTGGGGGCCACGGAGCCCGCAATTATAAGATCTGCAGTGGGAGTGGTGGAAGTGGGCGGAACCAGAGCGCCCGTTGAAGGGGTGACACTCAGAGCGGCAGCACCTCCACCTTGATGCTGCGAGAGGCTTGATGGTGCCTCCTTGGCTACACGCTTCCTGGGGGCAGTAGGGCTCTCTTCGACCTCCTTTCGCTTGCGGGAGGCGGCAGCTCCTGGCACCCTATGACTGCATGTTGACTCAGCAGTTGGGACTGCGGGTGGGGGAGGAGGATCACCGGCAGAGTCTCTCAAGGCATCATCGCCGTTTGTTGCAGAAGATCTCGGTACGGGCTCGACCACACGCTGCTGTGGGCGCTCATCAACACTCATTGCGGCCTCGTTGTTCTCTACGGCATTGCTGCCTCTATCCAAAGGAGTCACTGGGCCGCCAGCGGTGCGCACTAATCTCGCCTGAGAACGCTGCTGTGGTTGCTGCTGCTGCCGTTCTTGTACCAGCTCGCCGCTCAGATCTGGCACAATCATCCTTGTGAAATCCATGAATGGCGGGTAAACGTGCGCAAGGTCGAACTGGTCGCCGAATGTAGCACGACCAGTCATCGCCAGTTCTATGTTGGAGTTCCCGCGGGCCGACTGCTCTAGATCGTCCAAGAGGTATCTCATGCGAGAATCGCCTGGCTCTTGAACGGAAGCAGTGTCGTCGGTGTCTGGAAGGAGATTCAAGATGTCGTGGGGAATGGGGTCGAAATCAAGACCTCCATGATGATCACCAGGACCTTCTTCTCCTCGATCAGCCACAGGTTCGTCATCGTCGTCATCAGGAAGGTTTACGAGAGCTTTCCAGTCTTTCTCCTGAACATCCGCCGAGTCGTCAGCTGCGGCCCCGTTGGTTGGGATCATCTGGATGGGAATGGGGGGTCCAAAGCCAGATCGATGCTGAGCCAGGTTGGGCTGGTGTGCTGGCATGCCGGCCATGATCTCAGAAAGCTCGTTGATGGGCTCTCGCGGCTCCTGCTGCGGCTCACCTGGGCCATAGTTGGCGATGGCTAGCCCATCATTGATGGCTAGTCCGTCAATTGAGCCCTCGAGAGCTTCCGGTTGTCGACGAGGTGGATCTGCGGACTGCGGGAAGTCGACGAAGGGGTCCGACATCAGGACGTCTTGATCCTCTGCCTCATGCCCATCATGCTCGTTGACTGGCCCCTGGATTGCGTCAAGTTGTGCGCCCAGTCGGGGGATTTCCATATCGACAAGTTCTTCTTGGGGCTGGGCCCAGTCCCCCCTGAGCCAGTCAAGTGCTCCTGGTGTGAGGCCATGATAATCTTGCCTGATTCCACTGGAAACGGCCTGCTGGAGAGCCTCCACGGACAGGTTTTCCATGCCGTCGATGGGCAGGAAACCCTCATATCGACCCTGCAGCTGAGAAATCGTCTTGGCCCAACCGACCTCGGTGATGGAGTTTAGAAAGCTAACACCCTTCTTGATATCGAGGTCGTCGACGCTGCTTGTGCAGAGGCGCAGGGAGTAGTGGTGGTCGTGGTGGCGCCGTGCACAAAACTCTTGCCAGGCCTGCTCCTCACGGTCGTACAACTTCTTGAACGCGAGCACCTGGACAAGGTCCAGGTGGAGGCTCTTGACAGCTGTGAACAAGTCCGTGGTATCGGTAGCGGTCTTCAGGATGAGCCACTTGGCGCCGTTGGGGAGGCCATCCCATGGCAGAGCAGGTCCCTGTGGACAATGAGGACCATATCAGCAATTCTGTCCTTCATTCCCAGCTTGCTGCAATAATATGGATGCCTTGAAGGAGTCATTCATGGGAGTGGGTGGATTGACAAGACTTACCATAGTACCGTCCATGGCCAATAACCTATCGCGGCCTGCATACCTCCAGGGGACAATATTGTTGTTATTGATGGGCTGGATGCCGCTACGCTGCGCTTGGCCGTCCCCATCGTCCCTGTAAGTTGCCTGTCGAGACCGCCGCAGAGGAGGGATCGAGTCCCTGGTCAGGCCCTGCCCGTTTCTGAGCATCTCAATGTGCTCCGCATGGGTGAGGCCTCTGTCGTCCAGCCACTGGTTGTATAGGACGCGGGATGGCCATGGGCCCGGGTAGTCCATGGGGAGAGAGCCTGGCGCGATGAACCTGGCGAGGACCGGGTTGAAGACTGGGTCGGGGTGGACGGCGGATGGACGGTCGAGGGGATAGACTTCGTCTTCACGATAGCGGCCCGGCATATGGCGCGACGACGCAGGGCGGAGGTGCATGGTTCGAGGGGCTGTGGCTTGAGTATCTCCACCTCTAGCACGGCTGCCTCCTTTGCGCGAACGCCCAGCCCTGGACGCTGACGCAGACCAGTTGCTGGTTGTCGAGTCCGTATCCGACATTTTTGCGGTTTAGGTGATCCGCTCACAGGAGTTATCGGCTCTAGTTTGGGTGGAGGAAAGTCTCTTGTGAGGAGACGGGTAAGAGAAACAAAACGGGAAGGGAATGTGATGATGGTGGGCGTATCTTGCTTCTGGGAAATGGTCAGCTTGATGAGAGGCAGCTTTGACATCAGCTGGTCAAAGAGGGGAGGTATGAAATGGGCATGTGTTGAGCTGTGAACAGCACTGGAGGAAGGTCACCAAAGGGATCAGAATCATAGGATCAGCTCCCCTATCGAATGAGAAGGATATTTTCTTTGGGCTCAGACCAAAAGAACAAGGGGAGGAATTCTGTGCTGGTGAGAAGGGGAGGAGGTGGTGAGGCGCTGTCATCAAAGGCGATGGAAACAGCACATCTTGGGGGAGGGAGCATATGCTTCTGTTGCACGAGAGCAGGATATTGTGGAGGACAACAATCAAGAATGGCTAGGAAAGAGGAGGGTGATGTGTTGCTGAGGGTGGGGAAATGAGTGGTGGGCAGCCATTTGGCGAGGTCTCAACAGATTTGCCATCAAGATGCAAGAGGAAGGCATACCAGCCTGCGCAGAGGAGGAAAGGGCGAGGTAGCAGCGAGAGAAGATATTGACTTACCTTGCTATTCAAAGAGTGAAGAATCTTGGATGCTTTCGTCGTTGCACCTGTGGCTGGGTTGGCAGGAAGGCTGATGATGCTAATCGGCGAAAGAAAGTTGAGGTGGTTGTTGCGTTTGTTGATGTTGTGACGCGTCGAAGGAGAAAGGAGATCAGGTTGTTGTAGATGGACTTGTCTGGGCGCGTTGTTGAGATGGACTTGGTCTCCTGTGTTGATAGCAGAGATGACCTGGTGAATCACAGGCTGGAGTGAATCGATGGGATCATTCACACTGCGTCACTTGGCCCCACGTGAGGTTTCTTCGTTTGTTGGGATGGGAAAGGTCTGTCGAAATCGGAAATACTTGGAAGCAGGCTTTGATGCAAGGTGCTGAGGGGTTAAGCAGAGGGACAACGGCCTTGGAAGCAACCAGGACGAGACTGCAGCCAGGACACCAGGGGACAGGAGTCCTGGATATCAAGGAGGAGAGTGTGATGGCGGTCTAATAGAAAGGGTCATCTCCAGATGACCCATTCACAGATCATGTGGGATACAGACACCATTTCTACGAGGAGGCCTGCCTCATTTGTCCTGGCCCTTTGGCTTCGCGGTTCACAGCTAATCATGTCATTGGAAAGCCCTACATGAATACAGATCTAGAAGCATAAGGCCCAAGAAGATATTCAGTTGATGTTGTTAATTTCAAAAACAAAAAAAAACCAACACAGTCCCAGCATCTGCTGTAGAGCCATGGAGAGCAGCATTGGAATGGGCAACGACAACAGAAGCAGCAGAAGAACATTCTCCAAGGTACATTTTACAAACAAGTATTGCTCTACATAGATCTCAAGGGCTGAACACTCAAAAGGTTGAGCAGCCAAAGTGCCAGGCACGAAAAAGGCAAGGCCACCACATCATTCATACCCAAGGAGAAGAACTCCCTGCTACTTGGACAGGAGGGCTAGATTCAAGCTCAAGAAAGGGTGAAGAAGGCGCGAGAGGGACCAGATATCAGGAGCAGACCCTTGCACAACTGAGCAGTTGGCAATGCTGCTGCTGCTGGCTGATGACAATATGCTGCTCCTACATATTAATGGGCTAGGTATGTGGAAAGGCCGGGAGGATCTCAAGCATGACTACTTGCTACCATGGCATAGCTGTTTGGGATTTGAGAGCCAGAAACCCATAGCTGGTATGACTGGACTTTTGTCGTCATCAACATCACCATCATCAGGACCTTGTTGGAGGTAGCTGCCTGAGTATTGCCAGCTGAGAGGGTAAAAAGAGACCAATTGAAATAGCAACATGCATGCCTGCTCATAATTTTTATTTCCTCTTTTATCGCAGGTACATCTTTTTTGAGTTACTGCTCCAGACTCCAAGCCAATTCAGAGAACTTCAAAAGGGGGGTATCTGTTCCCTGTCTTCCGTTGACGCCGATCATTGCCATGAGTTCATCCGTTGATGCCCTAGTTCTGTAGAATGGATGTGCTGAATGACCCAAAATGCGGTGATGTATATGGGACCAGTGCAAATACTCAAACCAAGTTTCCTTTACAGTCCTGTCCCCTTCCTTCCTATCATCTCCACATCAGGATCACCCTGGATGAAAGGGGCAAAGGCAGATCTGTTCTCGTACCGGCCCATGTCCATGGCGAAATCGTCCATCTCCTCATCCTCGTCCATGGTATCCTCGATGCCTCTCTTCCTGGACGGAGCGCTCTCCTGCTGACCCGCCAGCTGGCGAGAAGAATTCAGGCCATGCTGCTCCTGCACCTGGCTGGCACGCATGGTCATCTGCTGCGCATGGAGGAGATCCTCAAAGCTCTGCAGCCGGTACTTGGTGTCCTCATCAAAGGTGCAGCAGAACCGCTGAGCCGACACGAACTGCAAGGCCTGGACCATGGACCGGCCAAACATGGCCATCAGGTATGCCGCGATCACGGTAGCGCTCCGCTCGTTGCCGGTCTCGCAAAACACAAGCACCTTGCCCCGACGAGGGGAGGTAGCAGTGGCAGTATCATCATCAGCAGCAGCAGCCGCCATCGCCTCTGCCTGTGCTTTGTTGAAGTGTAGCATGTGGGCGTTGATCTTCTCGACGGCATCAGCCAAGCTGGGGATCCAGTCATTGGCCGCGATGTCGACGTAGGCTGCCTCGACGCCCAACTCCTCGACAGCCTTGTCGATCATGACCATGCGGAACTGGGCCATGCAGGCATCGCGGGCGGCGAGGAGGCAGGTGAAACCCTCTCTGCGGAGGTAGTCGCGGTCGCGGACGGTGGACATGGGGCCCAGGTAGAGGTAGTCCAGGATAGTCTGTGCCTTGCGGCGGTCCTCGTACACCCATGACTGATTGGCCGTATACGAGACACTACGCTGCTGCAGGCCGCCGGTGATGATGTCGAAGTCCTCGGCAGTGAGGTTGCTGGCGAAAGAATGCTCGTAGGAGGGCGTGATGTGGATCACAGCGTCGGGGCCAAGGCTCAGAGGGGTGGGGATGTGAATGTATGGAGGGCTGGGTGGGCGGGTGGTGGTGGGACCAGCCCGTCTGACACCATGAGAGATGGTGTTTCCACTGAGGGACTCCATTCTTTTTCTACCTTCCCCCCCTATTCTTCTTCTTCTTGTTATCCTTCTTCTGTTTTGTGACTGGCAGTGGTGTAGATATCTTGTTTAGTGTCGAGTGAGGGTGGCCTGAAAATGTCGATGCGCAATGTTGTCTTTTGAGGTGGTTGTCGTCAAGTGAGATGAGAAATACAGACTGTGTACCCCTCGAGGATAAGGTGAGCAGTTTGACCCACTGTCCCCTCATACAACAGCAGCAACTTTCTTTCAAACCGATTATTGGCAGTGACTGTGCTTCAGTATGTGTTCAGGACTGAGGATTGCTTCTAGGTAGAGAAATAAAGGTAAATAGGAGGAAAGAGGTCAACCATTCAGCTCTCAAAGAGCGTCGAGTCGAGGCGGCCAATATTAAGGACGTGGAGGAGTGCCTAGGCGAAAGCCTAGACAAATGACAACTGAAGTGAGGTCTAAATAAGGGGCTCCACACCCACCACAGGGCCCCTGCCGCCTTTGCAGCCGCCCGAGGATAGTGGGTCCATGCCTACTAAGTAGAGACACACGCTTTGGGGGCAGCAGGGGAACCCCCCCCCCAAGACGACGTTGTACATGAAGAGCCTCTTCATTTGTCACTTGTCCTTCTGCCCTTGCGCAGCTATAACAATGCTGCAGCCTATTTACCTTGTTCTTGATGATAAATGATTTTACTATTGAGGAAAGCACATGTGCCTGCTTACTGTATGCATTTGTATATCTCTTTGAAGATGGTCACATAGCAAGACACTCATAAGAAGTCAAGAACTTAACTTGAATCACCACTGAAGAATCTCCTTCAAGGTCTTGAATCAAGAATCCATTAAGCAGACTGCTACTAGACTAGTAACTCGATGGTTCTGGACTCTTCCAACTTCCTCCCAATACACCATCATCATGCTGGATCTGTGGATGTCTTTGTCCGCTGACCTGATGACGATGATGATGAGGACGAAGACGATGATGCTGCAACTGTAGCGGGTTCCTTGGCCATCATGTTCATGCTGCTGCTCTCCTTGGCCAGCGGCGATGGGAATTCTGGTGTGACGGACCGTGACTCGACGCCAGGCCTCTTGCCTGGCTTGGGACCCGACGTTGACAGCGTCTTCTTTTTCTTCTCGGAGGCGTTGCTCGACCTGCGGCTGACATTGCCTTCCCTTCCACCTTCGACTGCCGGAGTTGCGCTCCTGCTAGAGTGGCCGGATATGCTGCCTCGGCGGTTGCTCCCGCTTCGCGACCGTCTGCCCTCCTTCTCGACGACCGACAGCCGGCGGTGTTGGGGGGCGGCGGCGGCGTGGTGAACCTTTTCGGGGTGCGCGTGGTGGTGTGGTCTCTCCGTGTTGGCTGCTACTGCTGCTGCTACTGCTGTTGCCGGTGCCACTCTCTCCCACGGCATCCACCAGAACCAGCCCCCAGAGGACCTCCTCAGCTGGCGCTGGCGTGCCTTGAGCTTGGACCGGATGGCCGCCCTCCGCTCGTTCTCGCGCTCCCAGTATTCGGTCCTGTACAGCTCCCAGTTCTCCCTGAAGGTGGGCGAGAAGGGCTTGGCCAGCAGGAGCAGCTTCACGTAGTCTCCGCCCGGGGCCAGGTCCTCCTCATGACCGCCCTTCTCCTCGTCGCCGCCGGCCCCAACGCCGCTGCCGCCCAGGATGACGGGCAGGGGCTGGTGGTGGTGACTCCTGCCAGCGAGGTCCATATCCCTCTCGACCTCACGCAGGAGGGCGGGGTCGACGTGCTGGTAGGAGGAGGCGGCGGTGTTGGAGAAGAGGCCGTAGGTAAGGAAGAAGGCGGCGGTAGAGAGGGCCTCGGCCCACCAGGACCTCCTGGCGAGGACGAGCTTGAGGTTGAAGGCGCGGAGGCCGCGGTTGGAGATAGCGAACCATCTCCTGGGCCACCTGACACCGCGCTCCCAGATGCCCGTGGCCCAGACGAGGGCGGCGGTGATGATGCCGCCCATGAAGCAGAGCTTCTCGATCATCTCGACGCCCCAGTAGACGCTGCCGCCGACACCGCGGCCATCCTCGCGCGGGGCGAGGAAGAGGGCGTAGCCGAAGCCGACGATCCAGAGGGACAGGATGGACAGGAAGAAGGTATGGTGGCGGCGGCGGGCGCGGAGCTCGAGGTATTGGGCGCGCAGGGAGGCCTCGAGGACGAGCAGGTTGAGATAGATCATGGACGGGGAGGAGGGGGCGTGGGAGAGAGGGTCGTTGGGCCTGCCCGAGGACGGAGTGACGCCGCTGGTGCTCGAGGTGACGGGGGCGGCTGCCTTCTCGGCAGGGAGGGACGCGGTGCCCTTGACGATGGAGTCGAGGTCGTCGGCCATCGTGTGTGGAGAGGAGGAAAGAGAGCTCGCGATGCGGTCAGGTCAGGGCAGGGCAGGACGGCGACGACGAGGAGGAGGAGGAGGAGCTCCTCCTGTCTGGCGCATTCAGAAATATATCGTGCTCGTGAAGGAAAAGAACGCTGGTTGGTGCATGCATCTGTTTTGTTTGTATACGATCGGCCGGCGTCGAGGTTTGTTGGGTTGTGGGTGATCAATGGCCCCGTATCCCGTTGTCCCCAACCTACGTAATGGGGTCGATGTGGTGCCGTGTGTGGTTCGAGGCTGAAAATACAATACGACCAACAGCACGCGGGTGGAGCTGGCAGCTGAAGGTGGCCCTGAAGCCTGACCCCTGTTGGTTCTCTGCTGCTGCCCGGACTGACAGTGACGGGCAGTAAGCCCCAGTACTATTACAGCCAGCCTACTACTGCGGATACCGCCACTGTGGTAACTGCCATCCGCGCCAGCAAACCCCTCCCCCCACTATAACCCACTACCAATATCCATCGTTTGCTGTTGATCATCGCACCATACACCAAGTACTATGTGGTGACCAGTGATTTGTATGGAAATCAGTTACTATGCCGCTACAGGACTATGCAGAACCCAGTCAAACACCCAAACAGACGTCATCCCGAAAAGCCAATTCACATAGTACTGTGTCTATATATAAATAAATATATATACCTTGTCAGTTCTCAGGCACTATTCAAACCAATGAGCGACAACGGCAATACGGGATGAATAAAAGGCTACGGGATATTCAGGGTGATCGGACTCCGGTGCAATACTGACGCCGATGCCGACACCCCAACAAAGACAAAGCCGTGGCTGATGACACTTATGGAGCAATTACGAGACGAGGTTAGCACTCTTTTCTAGATATGTACTCGTCATGCGGGCCTCAGCGAAACCTGGCTGTTACCACACGGAGAGATTCTATTCCCCTTCAGGCGAAATCCTCCCCTTAGTCATTTTTGTATGATTCCACTATGGTCTGGTACATTACACGCACGACGCATTCTCTATTTGTACCCGAATCCGAGGGTTTTCTCTCCCTCTCTCCTTAAGTCCGCTTGCACCCGATGAATGATGGATTTCTGAGCCGCCCCTAGAATACAGACACGTACACAGAGAGACAGAAAGAGAGAGGGGAAAAAAAAAAGAAGACCATGTAGACAACAAGCCAAGTGAAAGCCACAACATCCTGCTTACGCACTTAAAAGAAGGCATCTGCCCCCTTTTCCTTGATCTTCCTCGAGATTGTGAGAAGAGTAGGAAATGCTAGTATTCAGACGCAACTGCACTCACCACCAACTGCTGCGATATTCCTGCTCATATTTGTTGTCATCTACAACTACTTTTTCGACGTGTTCGTCATCTTCATCTCTCTTGCCATCTCCATTTTTGTCCTCATTGAAATTCCACAACTCATCGAGGTTCAACATCCGTGTCAGGCCACCTTCCTCGCCCACGTGCAGTCCCAGTGGCAGCAGGAGCAACAGCAGTACCCGAAGCAGCGGCAGTGGCAGTGGCAGTGGCAGTAGCAGCACTAAACACCCCTACCACCACTATTACTACGACTCTAAGTCTACTAATCCCCGCCGCCGCCGGCCTGTTAACGTCAACGCCTACGGCCTCGGAACAATGTCTACCGTGGCAATTCCTCAACAACCTCAACCTCTCTTTCCCCCACCCACCCACTCGCATACAGACCCTCTCCCCAACGACCACGACCACCACAACAACAACAATACTCCCAGCGACTTCTCTGACGTCGAGACGCCCTCTGCCTCGTCTTCTCAGGAGGCACTTCCTACAAAACGATTCAGAAAGTCACGGACAAAATCCGCAAAGGTGGCGCAACACACGAACAAGCCGGGGGCGCCCGGGGAGCAGAAACTCATGTCAGGATTCTTTCCTCTGTCCTTACGAGATGCTGCTCACCAATGGGTATGTGGTTTCCCTGTTCTGCTAGATTTCCTTCCCATCTGTCTCGAACTGAGAGGCTAACATGATCGCTGCGGCAAAGTGGACCAACATCTCCCCGCCCATGTCCGAGAGGGCCGTTCTCAATCTCATTCCCTACCTTAAGGAGGCCGTCTCCTCTCCTACCACCACCTCTTCCTCCGAGCTCACCACCGCCACACCCGACCCCTTTGGCCACCGGATATGGCGCTCCACCATGGTTGCCCTCTCGGGCAAGAACCGTGTGCTGAACGAGTACTCAGTCGAGCGTGTTGGTGAGCCCGCCGAGGAGACCCTCGTCATGCTGCACGGTTACGGTGCCGGCCTGGGCCTCTTTTACCAGAACTTCGAGCCTGCTACCCGTGTCAAGGGCTGGCGCCTCTACGCTCTCGACATGCTGGGCATGGGCAACTCGTCGCGGCCCCCCTTCCGCATCAGGGCCAAGGACGCCGCCGAGAAGACCGTCGAGGCCGAGAGCTTCTTCATCGACGCCCTCGAGGAGTGGAGGAAGATCCGCAACATTGAGAAGTTCACCCTGCTGGGCCACTCCCTGGGCGGCTACCTCGCCGTCTCCTACGCCCTCAAGTACCCAGGCCGCCTCAACAAGCTCATCCTCGCCTCTCCTGTCGGCGTCCCCGAGAATCCCTACGCCTCCAAGGCCGAGCTGCCCGCGCCGGGCTCCTCCACCCTCGCCAACGAGTTCACCCAGTCCCAGGAGAGCATTGTCCACCAGGACAACACCAACTCCATCTCCGCCACCAAGCACGTCCCCCAAGCCGCCGCCCCCGCTCGCACCATCCCAGGCTGGTTCGCCTGGCTGTGGGACGCCAACCTCTTCTCACCCTTCAGCATCGTGCGCGCCGCCGGTCCTCTCGGCCCGCGCTTTACTGCTGGCTGGACCAGCCGCCGCTTCAACCACCTGCCGCGCCAGGAAGCCGAAGCCCTGCACGTCTATGCCTACAACCTGTTCCGCCAGAAAGGCAGCGGCGAGTTCGCCCTCAGCTACATCCTCGCCCCCGGTGCCTACGCCCGCAACCCTCTGATCAACCGCATCGACCGGGTCGGCCGTGGTGTCACCCCCGACAACAAGAAGGAGACGGGTCTCCCTGTCGTCTTTATGTACGGCGACAGCGACTGGATGGACGTCGCCGGCGGCTTCGCCAGCGAGGAGAAGATCAAGAAGCGTGTAGAGAAGGCTCTCATGGAGGGAACCCCCGATGAGAGGCGCGATGAGAACGGCAGCGCCAAAGTTGTTATCGTCCGCAGGGCCGGCCATCACTTGTATCTCGACAACCCGGACGAGTTCAACGAATACCTGAAGAAAGAGCTAGAAGAGACGAGGGATTATAATCGCCGGAGGAGGGAACAGGGCTTATCCGTCTGAGCACCAGGTCAACCCCTCCTGTAAAGGGCGGGGGTTGCCTACTCTCTTCCGTTCTGAAGAACTCTATATATAAACTAATACGAGGCAAAGAAGGAGAAAGATGATGATGAAGATACATGGACTGACATTAGCTTGGCGTTGAGGATTGGGCGGCGTTTGTATACACGGCAAAGAGAGTGTGCCTGTGAAAGAGAAGGAGAACTTTTAAACTACATCTGTCGAGAGAGTGAGAGACAAAACAGCGAGCCATTATGGGTAGGGGACGGAGGGCGTCTTGAGACGCATTCATGAGCCGGTTAGACAAGACCTTTCTATAATTAGATGACGAGAACCCGTATTCTTAGCAAGAAGAGAAATTACAAAAGTATTTCCATGTCTTGATCACAACAATTCTTGAAGAGTAAAGTAATCCTCGTATGAGAGTTAGAGTGAGAGAGAGTGAGAGAGAGAGGGAGAGAGAGAAAGGTGAGCCAAGTGAGAGGGACCAATATTGGTATAAAATGAGGATCAACAAATCATCACATAGTACAGAACGATCAGTTCATCCTCAAAAAAAAAAAAAAAAAAAAAAAAAAAAAAGAAGCAGCCTCATGATTCCCAGAATAGCCCTGCTTTCAAACGAAGGTATATATATATGAATGATTTTCCCCCTTCCAGATATCATCATATCGTTCGGCATGGAAGGCTGTCCAACTGCATGAATAAAACCACAACCATTGCCCTCTTTCGTATACACTTGAGTAATAAAAGAATGAATAAAAAAACATTACACAAAAAAGTCATTACATGTTATAAAGGGATGTCCATTCATTCTAACCCATCAACGCTGTCCTTGTAATCCAATTCCATGCACCCCATGCGCTCACTCAAACACACACTCTCTCAGTCTTCCCCGCCCAGATCCTCCTGGCTCTCTCTAAACGCACTTCTCCTACCGCTGCCCGGCGGAGGCGCCTCGCCCCTGGCCACCACAGGGCTGACGACGGCCCCAACATAGTCTTCGGCCTCGACCGTGCTCCCCGTCGGTGGAGACACCACAGCAGGCAGCTTGCCGTCCTGCGGGCTGCTCCGCGCGTTGGCGGCTGCGACGGCGCCCTCCTCGAGGATAGGCGGGCTCGCGACCCGGCCGCTGATGGTCTGCGACTGGTGCTGCTGCTGCTGGGGCGGCGCCACGCTGGCGATGGTCGCGTCCATGGTGCTCACCGTCGCGGGGTCCGACAGGTTGCGCATGTGCGTGCTCTCGCGCTCGCTGAGCACCGACACGCCCGAGCTGCCTCGTACGCCGCCGGGCCTGTTACTGTTGCTGTTGTTGTCGTTATTGTTCTGCACCGTCGTCGCAGCTGGTGCCGAGGACCGCCCGCCTATGTGCTCGCTTGACACGGGCAGTTCTGGGAGGGTCTTGTTGGGGTCGTATTCTGCCGACAGGGATTTGGGCAGGACTGCCGAGTCTGGGACGGCGGGGCTGGGCTTTGCTTGTTTGGGGGATGCTGGATGGGGCCCCGCGGCGGAGGAGGTGGCGTGTGAGGTGGACGATGGAGGCGCGGGCGGCGATGTAGTGTTGCGCTGGTAGGAGGTACTGCTCACGACGCTGCCCTGGTCGGTATTCTGGATCGAGCTGTTGTAGGGGTAGGAGCGCACGCCCTGCGAGGGGGTTGCACTGCTGAAGCGCGGGCCGTCGGTGTAGACGGACGACGTAGGATGGTCAGAGAGCTCTGCGACGAGAGGATTCGCTGCGAGAGTCAAGAAAAGTCAGCATGAAATACAACACAATAGAGGCTACATGCGGTCCAGGAAGATCTTTTGATCAAAAGAAGAAGAAAAGAAATGGAGGCCTGGGGAGGGGCTTACCTGGCAGCTCGAAGAGGATGCCCGTCCCGTCTATCTCATGGTGAATGGGTTGTGTCGTCTGCTGCATGTCTTGTTGCGGGTGCTCACGCCAGTTTTGCATGAACGGGTATTGGGGATTGTTTTCGAACCTCGGCCCTTCTGGCGTCGGGCTGGGATGCGCGAGCTCCTCGCTGGTCGTGACCGTCTCGTCCTTGGGCTCCGCCACCCTCTGCCCGTTCATCCACGATATGATATTCTTCCACTTGTCGTCCGATGGCGCCACGCTCATGCCGCCGTTGGCCTTCATCAGCTTCCGACGTCTCCAGACGATGATACCCACGGCGACGGACGACACGAAGATGAGGCCCAGGAGAACGCCCAGCAGGGGCGCGAGGTACTTGGGCACACCACTGCCGCCGCCGCTCTTGGTCGTTGGCGTGTACGTGGGGTTGGTTACTGAGGTCGAGGTCGACTCGGGGTAAGGGTACCAAGTCGAGATCTTGGAGGTGGCGTACGCGGTCTGGAAGACGGCGCCCAGGGCCGACGTATCCCAGCTCTTGGGCGCAGTGGACGTTGCGCCGCCGGACCCATCGCCCCCAATCGCGTTGTAGATGACGCTGGGCACAGCATAGTCCGAGTAGACTGTCGGGTCGTAGCGGTCGAGCCACTGCGCGGAGCTCACGTTGAAGATCTGGATAATGTCGGGCACGCAGTCATAAACAGTGCTAGCCTGCGCCGGCTGGCCGCCAATGACCATCATCTGGTCTGGATACGGCATGACACATTTGTGTCCTGCACGCGCGTATCCCGAGCGTGCCGTGCTGGCCTGTTTCCACGTGAAGCTGGGCAGCGACAAGATCCAGACTGCGTCGTTCCAGTACGAGTCGTCCGTCGCGTGAAGACCATCATAGCCGCCATACCAGTAGATGTTGAAACTCGAGTAGTCTGCGGCTGGCTGCATGACCGCACAGCCCTGCGCCAGCTGTCCTGGGCCGCCTGTTGTCTTCTGCGTATACCACGCCTTGTTTGCGATATCGTAGACGTTGATGCTTGTCATGAAGGCCGGGCTTTGGTCCTCCTGTGGCGTGAATCTTTTAGTATCGAGCTGTTGCTGAGCGAGAAAAGAAGAAGAAGAAGAAGAACAAGAGAAATAGGGACGGAATGGATTTTCACTTACACTTGCGGTCTCGTTTTCCGAGACGTGGTCAGCCGTCACAAATTCAGGATACACCACACCTCCCAGGGCGACAAGAATCCCCTGTTTGCCGACGGGCACCCACACCAGCTCTGGGCTCGCACGCCCCGGTATATCATCTGGCAAGGTGACGTTGGTCCACGTCCCCTGGTAGTCGGCCGCCATGTCGAGCGTGATGAGCGTGAGAGATGTCTCAGTGGCCGTGTCTGCATCATCGCCATCCGGGTAGTAGATATCGTCCCAGGTGGGCCCGTGAAGTCCAGCAAAGTAGAAACCGAGACTCTCCGAGGGCACGCTGGCCGCACCTCCATACGCAATATATCGTGTCATGTTTCCGCTCAGCTCATACGTGGTGAACAGAGGTGAGAAGGCGGTCTGGCCCTCTTCGGAGGGGTACTGCTCCCACTCCAGACCCGTGTTGCTGTCTGGCTCGGCGGACTTGTTTGTGACTGTCAGCAACCCGCCATAGAGCCAGTAGTCATCATAGCTGGCGAGCATCGCTCCGTCATAGTAGAGAGGCTTTAATGAAGTCCTGTCAGGTTCTTCAAAGAGAGCGCTGATGTTCTGTGAGATGTTGAACGGTATGCTGAAGTTCAGCATCAACGAGATCCCAGGCTGGTCGTCTGCGTAAAGAGTCAGAGTGCCTTCATACATCAACAGCAGGGGCTTGAAAATCAACGTACGGTCCTGGATTGCGCTGCCATATGATCCATCGGCCAAGCCGGGCCTCCAGTAGATGTAGCCACCATCCATGTATACTGAGTCTCTGATGACGGCCGCTGTGTCTGTTAGTATGCAGGACGGTCCTCTGTTGAGAGAAGAATCCACTTGCCCCGCAGTCCTTGCCATGTACACATTGTAGTGTTGACCTCGTTGGCTACCCATCCTCCTAGCTGAGCGACCACGATGGGCGCGAGACCCGCAAGAAGGGACAGCGAAAGCGTCCTTGAGACGGCCATCGTGATATCAGATCCCGGATATCAGGATACGCTTGTCGTGTGAGGTAGGATCAGGTAACTAAAGCTGCTATGAGACGAGATCGCTGCGATGCATTGCGCAACGGAGAATGCTGTGCTATCAAGAAGAAGAACAAATCGCGGGTCAGCCATACACGACTGGCATAGAGAATCAGAGGAGCACAAGTGGCACGCGGCCCGCAGACCGAGTCTCTCTTGTTCCAAGTCGGAATCAATCGCGATGAAGGTATTCGCCGCAGTTGACCAGATCAGGCCCTAGACAGTGCCTCAAGAAAATATCGAGGCAGGGTTGGGAGTAGCGGGGTCTTGAAAAGCCAAGACCAGAGCCAGAAATAGCACAATGTGGAAGAGCCCGGCTTACAGAGTATAGCACCAAAGTACCTGCATAAGAAAAAGCGAGTGCTTCAGCAGCAGATGCCAGTGTTGCAGCCCTACGAGGTCGGGTATCTCGCAGTCAGGTTATGGCCGACGGATGCGAGAGGGGCCGCCTCTTCGAGAACGCGGGGAACGATGACTGCAGTCGTACAGAGCCGGACTGTATGCAGCTGAAAGTTGTAAGCAGATCTATGCGGTTATCAGGCCTCTCTGGGGCGCGCGAGAAGAGTTGCCACTGGTGCTGGAGCAAGACAAGGCTCGATATCAGGAGGATCTGCCCATGCCAGGTCCTAAAAAGATCCAGCCTGGGTTTCCCTGACGAAGTGATGGGTGTGAATTCACAATTCGCGATCAGAAGTCCGCAAGATGAGAGTTACGCTGGAGCCATAGGATTTCTAAACCTCACCACGGGTGGCGAAGTGAGACCAGTTGGTCCAACATAATTTTGTGTCTTGCATGGAGAGTACAACAAAGTTGTCTCTATCTGGTCCAGTGGGAAGAATATCGGCTGTGCATCCCGCGGTCCCACACACAAGGTTGCATGGCTCCCTAATGGATGGTTGGACGCAGGTCACTCATGTTTGGTGCGTTGCTGCGAGTGTACAAGGGGGTTCGCCGCCCGAGGAGGGGTTAGGGGGGGGGAGGCCACAGCATCAACCCACGACATGCTCACGTTGGATCAGGAAGATTTTGCGGCTGAGTTGAAGTCTTCCATTGCTTCCAAGGATTCGTACTTAGGCCTGCCAGGCTACCTCTGGGCGGAGACCATGATTCTGGACTTCCCAAATTGTCGGGGACAGCGCACGTGAAAAGACGAGAGGAGGAGGAAGAGGTGGTGGTGGTGGTGGTGGTAGACCTTCTCAACAAGTCGAAAGCTTATCTGCAGCCGGTCAGGTCGATGGGGGTTCTTAGTTTCTCTCTTTTTCCCCTAGCTGAGCGGGACCCATGCTTAATCGAGCATGTCTATGCAGGCAGGCATTTCGGCCGCATATCGCGGAAGTGTGATCCAGTTGGAACCACCGACCTGTTGCTTTTCGTTTTATGTATAGCAGGAGACTGCCGCGGTGTCTCACTCTCAGTATCCACACGATGCACAGCATATTCGCTTGTGTGTTCTCGCGGATTCAAATATGAGTCCAAGATCTGCTTCAATTTTGTTATGTTGTCGGAACCATACACTCACTCAAGCAGCCAGCTGGGCAGACTGTGTCCCCCCTCGCGTCGAGGACGAGGTTCTTGTGCGGAAGGGTCCACCCCCTACGAAAGGGCAGTCTTGCATCAGCTCTGCACCGTCGCTACGATGCCATCTCGGCCTGTCAGCGTCGGTCTCACACACAAGACTCATCCACTCACTCACCCACACCTCGTAGGTGTCGAGGCTGCCTCCTTATTTTTTCACAGGCAGGGAGTAGCAGCCCGCGATCAAAGGACGGCGACTCTCGGACGGCCGGTGCGTGCCATGTTGTTGACTCTGGGGGCGAGAGACAACAGCGGGGGAGAGGTGTGTCCAGTATTGGGTAGATCGGCGTGTGCGACGGTCACCTCAGCTCATCTGCCCACCTGCCCTGCATGGCTAGGTTGGTTGAGCGAGGAGCGCACGTGAACCGTCGAATCCTGCGGCTCAGATCTCATCAAGCAGGCGAGCGCCCCAGAGAGGAACCCGGCAGAATCCTTCGCGTCCGCTTAGGAGGGTCCCTTTGTAAACCACTCAGTGTATGGTACCATTACAGTAAGTGCAACGGTTCCATAGTGCCAGAGTACAACACAGCAGTACGCAGCAGTGTCCACCCGGAAGGCGGAGACGGACACCAGAAGGATGACTTTTTAGTATTTTTTTTCTCTCCCCTTCTCAGCCGCAAATGTGGACTCTCTCTGGGCTCCTCCTCACTTTCGAGTCCCAAGCATTGCGTGGTAGGCAGTAGCGACAGCAGCGACTTCGCCCTGCTATAAAATGCACATTGCAGTGAGGTGCAGACTTTTTCTGTTCAAATTCCAACAACAAACGGCATCGCATAGTTACTTCTGCTGAAAGTGCAGGAGGCTAAGGGCTCCGGTTCATCGGTTGGGTGGAATGGAGCTCGGGTACGAGAGCGTGTCGATCGCGACACATGTGGTGCCCTCCTGAAAGTCGTCAAGAACCGGGTGAATCATGATTCTCCGCCCTTGCTGACAGGTGAAGGGAAGTTGAGGGTTGGAAAGTGGCGTAAGCCAGCGGTGAGTGGTTGCAGTGCTGACGAGAAGAGAACACACACAACTAAGAGTGATGTTGGTTGTGGTAGCTTTTGAGCCCTACCCAAGATGGATACCAATGTCAGCCCACTTGGCAAGGGCTACTCCGCCCATGCGCCCGCCTGGCCAAACCAGAATGGGCAGTGACACCGGGATCTAGGATTTAGAGCCCAATCAATCGATAAGCTCAAGTGGTAGCGGACCGTTGGGGCGGGTCTTCACTGGCCCATCCTCGACCGCACCTGCCACCCCTGTAGGACAAGCTTACTATGGAGCATATTTATGGTACCGTACATAGTAGCGGTGACTTTATACCAGTGCCATAATCACTGCAAGACAGCATGTACTGTATACAAATATAGTAGTGTGGAGTACTCCCGATATGGTAATTTACCCCTCTCGTTGCCCCTTCCCAGTCGACTTGTCCTTCCTCTTGTTGAACAACCTTGACGACGTACCCTCTTGGCTGCCCTCTCAAAGCTTGTCCCTCGAGTTGTTGGTTACCGCAGCTCGACGATACGACAGTGGGACACTATGAAAATTGGAAATATCCTACTAAGCCGTTCCCTTGTAGGGAGCGTCAGGTAAGTGATACGTCCTGTTGACAGGCAAGGCAATGCGATCAGGAACTTTGTCTGACCTCTCGCAGGTTTTTGTTCCCCATTGGCCACCCCCGCAATCGATCGATCTCCTCCTAGAGTAAGCATGGTACCCGACTTTTCCAGTTTCTCTCCGCTCCACGGGGGGGGGGGGACAAAAAGGTGTCTACATAGTTGACATGGTCTGCTTCTTCCACCAGTCGGCCTGCTATTGAAGGTAGGTCTCGGGACGACTACGGCCTGTATGCAAGCCATCTGTACGTGATGACAACTTCCAAGGTCTAACAACGCGGGTGGCGTAATAGGGCAGCAAATAAACACATGGCATCAACGGAACGGCACCCCGGGTGCGGCCTACGTGAGTGACCAGATTCTGCCGATCACTGGGGATTAAGGTCAGCACTAGAATCAGACTATTGTTGCCCAGACGCCCTGGCATGTTACCTTGTCGTGTTGTCGTGTCGAGGCAACACTTACCTCACATTATTACCACAGAGTGTATGCTTTTGCTAACATAGTACGCACTACATACTAGACTTGTCTCACGCCCGCATTGGTCAGATCAATACGGGAAAATATGTCTAGGGCGGAATCTTGTCTGCGCGAGCCCATCTTCCTCGCCGGAGAGAGAGGCGGAGGGGGTGGGGGAGAAGAGGATGCGCAACGGCTTCAAGGCAGTGGTGGGTCATAACCAGCTCAGCTCAGTCAGTCATGTCTAAGACCCAACGGGAACAACGGTCAACCCGTCAGGACTTGACAGGAGGAACAAGAGCTGATGTCAGGGGATCCAGAAGAGGCAGAGTGCCCTTACGTGTCGGAGAGACCTTCGTAGGGTTGGGCAAGCAGCGCCCTCATCCCTCCAACAGGTATGTGCGATGGTAGGGCTTGCAGGCATCACACTGCATCGGGAGCGGACAGCTCCGCTCTACTACTACAGCACACACAGTCCGAATCGCGTGCCTGACTCCACGAGCCTGATCTGGAGTGGACAAGGCTACACCAAAGGTGCCTGTTCGTACACCCTGGCAGGCCCTTTTCCCTGTCGACAAGGGTAGCTCTTCTCGACGTCCCCGCTTCGCTGCTGACCGACTCCACCTCGAGAGCCTTGCCTCTGCAACCTACCTGAAGGGACATCAGCATGGTAGGGCTCTGTGTCTGCCCTACCTTGCCCTGCCCTGCCCTACCGGCTCGACATCGCGAGCGGGTGGATGCATGTTGCATTCATTGCGCGCAGCTCACTTCGATAACACCGTAGGACCAAGATGTTTCTTATCGTGCTTCTTGGTCCACAACCGAGTGCTGCATGCCCTTGGGCATTTCTTGTGTGCCCTGTCTGCTGTCATCATCGTATCGGCCGGCGGGGCTAAGAGTTTGTCTTTCCTGGTCCGTCATGGCCCCCATCAAGACAGAAATCCACAGGCAAACTCATGCGAGAATTCAGGTCTCGGACAAAGCGCCAACCAGAAGCGTGGTCCGGCCGCCAACGCAACCCGCGTCGTGGCTGGTTACATCCAGGAAGGGCATCCGTCAGCACTTTGTACCATACACCGATAACCGTGAGGTACCTCTTCCAAGGTCTGGACCTCCTCTTCGATGTCCATCCTGTTCGGTCCTGGATCGATCGTATCCATTAGCAGAATCTTCGACCCGCCCATGCTTCCTCACACACATGGGCCTGCAGGGTCAAGATGCCATGTTCGGTAGTCCCGGCAGGTATTGCACTTCCCTACATCCCGATGCTCATGGAGTTGTTTCTTCTGTCTCCCCCCCCCCCCCCCGGGGTCCCTCCCAGATCAAGTTCGGTAGGTATCTTGCCACACTCTCTTAGTTCTGGGAGTGTATTCTGTATGTCGACGAGCCCTTCTCGGACCCTCGCCACGCCAGAGACGAACCGCACCGTACACCCTGTTGTGTTGTTGTTGTTGAAGAGGGCTGCAGGGCCCACTCCCTTCAAGACGTTGACAAGAGATCCTATGGTCCCATCTGATCTCCGGACTGGTTTCTCTCTCTCCATCAGCGCCGTCCTTCGTGTGCCCTAGGTCGGTTTAATTTCCGCCGGGCAACGGTCTTCGTACCTCTGTAATTGGCCCATAAACAACCTGGCCTGGCTGAGAGGTGTGAGGTGCACTGCTTGCAGGGCTCAGCCTCTCGTCCCTTGAGCGCACCCCTCCTCCCCCCCCCCGGTCTGATCCGCCCAAGGTCCGAAGGCACATTGGACCCCTCCCCCAGGCGACCAGCCACTTGCTCATAATATTGATCACAGCTCGCCGACCGTGACAGAAGATTTACTTCTTCTGTCTCATCCCTCGCTTGGTGGCGGTCTACTGGACACTCGTTTTTCTGCTCGATTTGCAGAGACACAGCAGTTACAAGGCCCGAAAACTCTGAAAAAATGGTCACTCGCTATGGGTTATGGGCCCTCGGGGCCATGGTGGTGGGAGCCTTGGCCAACTCGACGCCGACATATACCAACGTCACAGCGGCAGTT